CCCAGGCAGAAACAGTACGTCATTAAGTCGTCGGTGTGACGTAAATTACAAACGAAGACGTAAATTTCCCAAAACTGGACGTATTTATTACGTAAACAAAAACACCAAAATATTACGTAATATACTTACGTTATCTTTCGGTCGCAATAACGTCATGTTTTTATGTGATAAAATAAATTCTAAAACTTCTGATTATTGTATCAAAATTCAAAATTCGTGAAAATAAATTGATTTGATTCAAATCTAATGACACGAAAGAGTAAGTACAAGAAACAATACCTGAAAACGGCAACATCTTACACGCGCATTGAAGCAAGCTGGCATCGTGGCACCTTTTACGCATTCGCGCCATTCCAATGTAATGTTAGGTTAGGGTGTTGATGTGAATCACGTTTTATTGCGGTAATCATAATTAGATTGCAAAGGTAAATGTAAAATATTTGATAAGTATGTTAGTTAATTAATTTACGTACAATATGACCATTTGCCTCGATTATTATTTGCAGGGCGAAATGTTTTCATTAGTGGAATTTGCAGAGGAGTCTGGAGGAGGCTTGGCCATTATTCGGACAGAGTGGTTTACCCCTCGCAAACAAGAAGCGTTTTGGCCACCTACTAAACAGTCAAAAACATTTGAAAAGGTTCTTCTAAATGAAGATCAAGTAATCGACAACAAGTGGAAGCTTTGTTTCGTTCGGCGCACCTTATTTGAGTCAGGTACGTTTTATAAATTTAGATACTGGTAATATGAATAAACTGTGGAAGCATTTTGGCACATTGCATGGTTTTAAGTCATGAGAAGCATAACGATACACTTTTCCATACCATAATACTGTCAAGACGAATTGCGAAGTACAAAATTAGTAATGAATGGGATTAGGCCGATATGTAGCACACGGCTTACGCAACTACCTATAATGTCATTAACATTATAGATAGTTGCGTAAACCGAAGCTGAGCTGTTGTTTATAATTACCCAAGTAACTTTAGAGCAGCTTACATGCTGATCGAAGTTATGAATTTCATATCGATAGTATAGTATACAGAACCCTAATAAATACTTTTATCAAACAGACGATTATGAACGTGTAAAAAGGAAGTTACCGAGGGCCGAATATACTTCTGATCTACAAAGTAGTGAGGCTGAGGTTGGAAGTCAAGGTGATGCAGACCAAGATAAATTTCAAAAAAGGAAACGTGCACCTTCTCGTAGACTACTTTCAAGTAGTAGTGACGAAGAACAAACTTCAAAGTTTCCTCGGCCACCTACTCTTAACTTAAACAAACAAAGTAAGTGTGACCTAAAACTGGATTATTTTACTTAATGCGTATGTTATTGGTATAAAGTAGTAAGACATGTACCATCTCCAAGGCAATTAGAGATCTGCGAACCTGTTCCTGATCTGAGTAGTGAACAATCCATAGCTTCTACGTCACAATCTTCACACAATGACAACAATACAACTCTAGCTTCTTGTTTATGTAGGTAGGTACCTAAATAAAGTATAGTATCTTGTATTTTTTCTTTTTAGCTCTTCAAAAAAAATTAGTCAATGATATTATTTTTATCAAAGAACAAAACAAATTAATAATAGAATTGCTGCGACAGCAAAAATTGACCCAAGAGAAAATCCAATTTGAAAATGCTCTACCGGCAAATTTTCCTGTAAAGTTGCCGGTCAATGCTGAACAAGAAATTCAGCTATTGGAACAGTATTTGACAATACAGGACAATTACGATTTACTGGTAATAATTTTTTAGCATTTACAGTAGCATTATAATTTATTTTATTGTTTCAGCGTTGCCATTTATCTACATTTGGTGGAAAAAATATTAATGACACCACTTCTAATATATTAAAGAGAGTCATAAACGATAGTGTGGCATGTAGTTACAATTATCTGGGCACTAGGTCTAATAAAAAGCCATTTTCTCAACTATCTTTAAAAAAGGTCGTTGTTGGTAAGTTAAATTATTATTTTTTTAACTTTTGTTTACAATTTGTTGCCAAAGATGCAGTAAAAGCAAAGCAACCACAGGCTGTTGAGTGTGACATCGAACAAGTAATAAAGGGGTGGTTGAAGCATGCACCCCAACGTTGCAAGCTTAAAAAAAGTAAGGATACTGTTGAATCTAACACTTAAGCTGTATTTTTTAACCTCATCAAGTACCTATGTAAAAATCGTACCTTAAGATTTACATTTAGTTTAATTTATACTTAATAATGTTAAAACGACGTAAAGGTAGTGTTGGAAAAAGGCAGATGTATAGGCGAATTGCAAACGAATTTAAGGTAGCCCTGCTGACAGATAGTACTTCAGTACAACAAAGTCTTTCAAAAGTACAAAATAAACTGAATTCTTCCGATTGTCAGAGAGATCAGGAACATTTGTCTGTAACAACTGATTTTGATCTCTCAAGTTCACCTATCGAACACAGTTCACTTATGTGCGAACTTCAAGAGAACAGTGATTTAGGGATCAACAGTTCCAATAACATTGACTTTGTTACTACAAACGGTTTATTGGATGATCAAAATACTTTCCAAACTCAAATTATAGAGGATAATATGCAAAGTAATAATGACAATAGAGATTCCTGTTCAATGCATTCTAATGTTGATTCTAATAATATAAATTCAAAGTTAAGACTGTGGGCTACTCAACATCATATAACACACTCTGCAATAAACGATCTTTTAAAAATTTTAGCTCCACACCATAGTGAATTACCACTTTGTAGTAAAACTCTATTAGCTACCCCCTTAAGAACAACTACCACTAGGAATTTTGTAAATGGTGAATACTGTCACTTGGGGTTAGTTGAAGGCTTGAAAAAACAAATTGTGAAACATAATTGCCATAATTTAATACCAACTTCTTTGGCATTAAATTTTAACATTGACGGAATACCTTTATTTAAGAGTAATCGCATGCAATTGTGGCCTATACTATGTAGTATCTTTAAATTTGAAAATGACCCCTTTGCTGTGGGAATATTTGCAGGTAGTTCAAAACCCACTCCTATTGAAGAATACTTGGAAAATTTTGTCAGTGAATTAAAGGACCTGTTAAAGAGGGGATTTACTTTTAACAAAATTCATTACACAGTTACAGTTCGGTCTATAGTTTGTGATGCGCCTGCTAGAGCTTTTTTAAAATGCATCAAGTCCCATAGTGGGTATTCATCTTGTGACAAATGTACGGTTGCAGGTGACTATTATAATGGTAGAGTAATATTAAAAGAGCTTGATTGTCCAAAGCGTACTGATGAATCTTTTTGCAATAAAGTGGATGAGGATCACCATACAGGTGATTCGCCTCTGTTAAAGTTGAATATTGGTATGGTGACCGCATTCCCTACTGATTATATGCATTGTGTGTGCTTAGGGGTTGTAAGAAAGTTGTTGAATACATGGATAAGTGGTGACTTACGTGTTCGATTGAGTAATCGTACTGTTTCTGAATTGTCGCAGCGGTTAGTTTCATTAGCAAAATGTATTCCTGTAGAAATAAAACGTAAACCTAGGTCACTATCAGAGCTTTCTTACTGGAAAGCGACAGAATTTCGTTCATTTGTTTTATACATTGGCCCAATTGTTCTTAAAAATAAAATTGATATTGCAATTTATGATCATTTTTTACTTTTGCATTGTGCTATGCAAATTTTACTATGTGCAGATTATATCAAACAATTTGGACTAAGTTTTCCGCGAACTTTTTTATATCACTTTGTTAAACACTGCAAAAGAATTTACACTCTTCAGTTTTATATTTATAATATCCATCCTCTTTTACATATAACAGATGATGCAGAAAGATTTGGAGATTTAAATTCAATTTCGTCCTTTCCTTATGAAAATTATTTAGGAAAGTTAAAAGCTTTAGTACGATCTGCTAATAAACCTTTACAGCAAATTCAAAGACGACTACATGAAATGTTCACAATTCCAAGTTCCCTGAAAAAGGATATCCAATGTCATATGGAACATCAGTTAGGACCAATTTTAAATATTAATTTTGAAAAACAGTACAAAAAAATTCAAATCAATGATTTCACACTTTCAATTAAATCACATTGTTCAGCAGATTCTTATTTCATAACTAAAAACGGACTTGTAGTTGAAATTTGTAATTTCTTATACAACCCCAACTCAAACATTACAATTCTCGGAAAAGAATATAAATGTTACCAATCATTTTATAGCTACCCTATTGATTCTAAATTACTAAATATATTTGAAATTAGTGATAAATCTGAGTTAATGTCAACATACAGTATTAATGATATTCTTGGCAAATGTACTTTGCTTATTTCAGGGAGTTCTCAAATAGCACTACCTTTGCTTCATACTTTGTAACTTTGTTAATGTAAGAATGTTATTGTTTCTGTTTTATGTAGGTTTCATGCAATGTAACTATAGGTACTCGACATTTGAATAAATTGATATTACCTAGCTACAATTTTTTAATGGTTTGAATTTCCCCTATGTCCCAAATTGGTAATTTGGTTTACGTCTCAATTACGTTAATTATTCAGAAAAATGACGTATTAGTTTAAGTCATAATAACGTAAAAATGTACGTTATACGGACGTAAAAATTTACGTAATCGGGCTGTGACTTATGCACGTTACATTTACGTTTTATTTACGTCATTATTATGGTTATTTTGACGTAATTAGGTACGAAACATCGACGTCTATATTACGTACGGTTCTGCCTGGGGTAGTGTTATAGCTTCTATTTACAAGTTTCCGATTTGAAGTTTTGTCGAAAATCCTTCCATCTTGAACCTGAACGTACCTTTACGACTTCTCCAGTCCTGGGCCTAATAATTTAATATCCAGGGTTGTAGCCCCCATAGTCTCCCCCTTAATCCAACGCCGCCGACGACCTCTGCGATGGATCAGATCGAATTCAAGCCTGCTTTCGACCCAGTTCAACGATTATAATGGACTTGGTTCACGCAAACGAGGTGAGCACGTCACTGACCATTATAGAAACACAAAACTTTACGTAATTTTTTTTCAGTTATTGGTAATGGCGTTCGAGGAGAATGCACACCAGTAGCCCGTGGTGATCGTGAACTCATGGTGATGGTGCTTCTTCCTAAGCAAAAGTGGATTAATAAAAGGCTAAAGGTAAATGTTCACATCTTCATTAAGACGTAATAGCAAATGTAACGCAAAAGTGCCTCACCTCTAGGGTGTCTCTTTCAATAAAGAACCCCCACCCCCAACATTACCTTTTTTGATTAATTTCAGATCAATATTTCTATTATTTTGTTTTAACTTATTTTTCTTCTTGTTTCAGATTTTCGATGAGCAGCCTTATAAAGGTAGGATTTTTCTTTTCTATGCATTATTTTGCAACAGTGGGGGAAAGTGAAGTGTATAGTGCGACTAAAAGTGATCTTTAATGACTTGTGGAAATCAGCTCAGTTTTTCAACTGGGTTGATTCTTCCTAAGGTCTCTCTCTCGGCATCAATCAGTTTGCTTTGTGTCGATCGGCATGACTATGACTTCATAGCCATACCGATTTTACGAAGCGAAGTGATTTTTCTGCGAATCTCACTGTGATAAAAGAATGAGGTCAATTCTTTTATTTCCAAGATGAGATCGATGGCTTTTAAGTTTCTATCACTAATGATGAATAAACGAATACGCTTTATAGCATCTTTCAGGAGCAATCTCCTAGTAATCTTCTCATTGTTCTTAGAACTACTGGCCGGCTTACTGTAAGACATGGCACGCGAACTGCATCTCTACTGGTTAGGATATCCATTCCTACTTGATCATGTTTAAACAAAGTTAAGTACACCACTAGTCTCGATCTACGTGAAAATTTTGTCTGGAGCACCAAATGTGCACTGACCACAAATTTAAAGTACGTAAATTGGTAACTTTTTACATTTTTGGAATCCATAAAATTTGTTTTGAAGATTATTCAGTGCTCCAGAAAAAATGTTCACCCTGCTCCATCTGTCCATAACTTTGCGCCTTCGTCAACTAGTTTCTATTAACAGCATCTGTGGAGATAGCTCGACCTTTCTCAGCGACTTGCAGTAAAGAATTAATTTGGTCCCATAGTGTTCATTCTCCCTCTTGTCTTCTCAAAAGGATTCAATGCAGGAAACTTCTTCTTCAATAAAGAATGCCATGGGGCATTTTAACGGTAATTTATTGAATTGTAACAGTTAAGTGCGTATACAAGGTCAACAAGTTAGCAATCGCGTTAAAGGGGGCAAAATAAGTACTTTCGTCTAATGCACCATATGTCGTCAGCGCTTCTGTAAGGAACTTGGTATCCTAGTCATTGACGCTTGCTCGTCGAGCAGACTTCTATAGTCCACAGGGTGGGACGAGAAGTATAAATGTGGGGGAGGCGCAGGTGAAAAAGTTCTGATGGCTAAACATATTTTATACTCCTCAGCCTCACACATCCCGGATTTGCTTTCTTTGTCGTATTTCTTGGTAGTAGAAGATATGTGGCAACCCCTCTCCATGTCTCTGGTGGCAACCTTCCCTTAAACTATAATGAGTTCTGATGGCTACTTCTACGTTAAGTGTAATTTCTAATTGATTCTTGCATTGTGAATGAAGCTTTAACTTCGAAAATTTTGTCTGGAACACTAATGTATCTTCAAAACAACATTTCTTTAAAACTTTTTATGGTATTCAACATTATAGGAATTTGCTATGAATCTACGCGCTTTAAATTCGTGGTCAGTGGCGTACTTCTGCATGGCCAAGGGGGCATGTACAACTACTAGTTTCCATTATCTTAAATAGTACACTTTCTTTGAATATAGCAGCATAAGAAACTTATTGTATTACACAATCAAATTGAAGAGAAAAACTCAATATAAGGAAAATAGTTCTGTTAGTTAATTTTACAATTTATAACATTTTTCGTTCATTCTTTAATAATGCCTCACCAAAAATTGTGCTTTCCATTAAAAAATGACCCCCTTAGTTACTTGGACGTACGCCACTGTACATAATTTTTACGCATACATTTTTTTGGTTACCAGAATTAAGTGAATCTGCCTTTAAATTTAATTAATTAATTTAATTGACTAAAAGAGGATTAGGTAAAATGTGATAAGTGTTATAAACTTTATTCAATATTACATGTTGAAAGCCTTTGTTGCACAGATAATTGTATTTACATACACAAATTATAGATAGTCAAAAATTGCAAATTACATTTTAACAACAATCGCTCTATCAAAGTCGTATGATACCAAAACGCATTTTTGTTTTCGGTAGATAGCGTACAAATTCGTGTAGGTTGCATATATCGATGGTCCTTTCCCAACAAATCACAAGAGTTAAAGAAATTCCTTCTCCCCATGACACCATGTAATGCTCGAAAGATTTTCCACTAAGAGAACTAAAAGATACCAACATAATAGACCTTACAAATAAGTAACAATTTTTTACATTGCGATAAAATCAGATATTTACATAACAAACAATTTTTAGAAAAATTATCAGAAGCTCCTTCATTAAAATCAGTAGTACTTAGGATAGATTATTATTATTGACTATAAAGTTATGTCTAGCATTTCATTTTGCCATCGTCGACAGATCTTTCGGGGCACCCGACTTCAGCAACGCCGTTTACAAAATAAACTATCGGCAATAACATTAAAATATGTCCGGGCATTGCGACCAGTCCCCCTTCTCCTTCGCCTCCCAGTATCCGCCCTTGTACACGTGCGAGATCGTGTCCGAGTCGTCCTCCTTCACCTGCTCGAACCAGATCGGCTGATAGGGCATGTACGGTCGACCCTCGGCGGCCGCGCGTTCCGCCTCCGTCTCGCGCTGTCGCCGCGTCGCCCTCTGCTTCTCCTCGAGCCGGACCTTCTCCGCGTTCGCCTCGTTCCACTTGCCGTTCTCCATGTAGCGCTGGTCCGGTCGTAATCTTAAAAGGAAAGCAAATTTTCAAAAATTGATCGACCAGTAATCCCCCCCACTCTTCTTTCTTTATTTTTATGGCTTTGTTTACCTTTGTTGACGATTTTTTTTAATTTTTCTGAAAATGGGAAGCGTTTAGCGATAACGAACGGGTTATACTTGAGGGGAGGGTGTGAGTGTACCTCTAAATTTGAAATTATTGACCCCTCCCACAAGTTTTTTGAAACTCTTAAAATCTCTCTTGGGAGTCTGAAGACGACTGTACCTCTAATTTGAAATTATTGACCACTCCCACAAGTTCTTTAAAGCTCTTAAAGACCCTCTTGGAGTCTTGAAGACGACTGTACCTCTAATTTGAAATTATTGTCCACTCCCACAAGTTCTTTAAAGCTCTTAAAGACCCTCTTGGAGTCTGAAGACGACTGTACTTCTAATTTCAAATTATTGACCACTCCCACAAGTTCTTTAAAGCTCTTAAAGACCCTCTTGGAGTCTTGACGACGACTGTACCTCTAATTTGAAATTATTGACCACTCCCCCAAGTTCTTTAAAGCTCTCAAAGACCCTCTCGGAGTCCAAAGACGGCGATACCTCTAATTTGAAATTATTGACCACTTCCACAAGTTCTTTAAAGCTCTTAAAGACCCTCTTGGAGTCTTGAAAACGACTGCACCTCTAATTTGAAATTATTTACCACTCCCACAAATTCTTTAAAGCTCTTAAAGACCCTCTTGGAGTCTGAAGACGACTGTATCTCTAATTTGAAATTATTGACCACTCCCACAAGTTCTTTAAGACCCTTTGGAGGACTGTTGGTAACGGGAACAGACACTTTGTGACCTTTAATGATTGTAAAAGGACATAAAGAATTTTCAAAATTTGAATATTAAATCCTCTTTAAAGATTATTAAAAGCTCTAAAGGCCGCTGACAACCTCAAAAGGCCTCCTATTGGTTACCTCGAGTCAGTAGTGGCGACTCCCTCCTCGTACTCGTTCAGTTGCGCGGCAAGAGTGGTGAAACTGTAAAACTTCTCGGCGTCGGGCGCCGGCATCCTTCGCTTCCACGCGACCGTAACCGCCCCGGTCTGGTAAACGGGATTCTCGAGCGTATTGGAACTGCCGATAACGGGCGCGATCTCCACCTTGTCGTCCCACGTGCCGTTAATGATCCACTTGACGTTCTTCAGCGAATCCATGACGGCCCCTTTCCCCCGCCGCTGAGTCTCGCGCGTGAAGTACGAGTACGGGATGTACTTCAGGTGGCACTTGATGCCGGCGGCCTGTCCCTTACCGACAATGTCCATGTCGCCGTGCTGGTCGACCCAGAGCTTGCCGACGATTATGTTGTGAATCGTCGTCGTCACCTTTCGCCACGAGTACTTGTTACCGCTTTCGGGAAATTCGACGTGCGCCATTCCTAACGGTATAACCTGCGCGCGGACAATCAAAATTTCATTAATAATCCGGAAGTAGTGCGACCACGAACTTATAAATTAAGATGGACTGCTAATCAAACAGTTGCATAGAGGTAGAAATGGCCCTAGCATGGGGCGGCCATGATGTGCACTCTTTAGTTATTTTCTAGGGGAATTTTGCTCAAGTGTTGAGACTATTGCAGCCTTGGAAAATGACATGTGTCACAGTAATTTATTTAGAAAACGTGAGGTTAATGCTTGTTTATTACTTGATTTGAATTTCGCGCCAAGTGAGTGCACATCATGGCTGCCCCCATGTAGGTTTCAATTCAGCATTAGCAGTCCATTTTAATGTGTAAGTTCGAGTGCGACCTACCTGTAAATATTTTCCCCTAAATTTCGAGGTCATCGTAAACTCCTGCCAGCACTTCCAGCCTTTACCCTCGCAATGCTGCGCGACCATAGGAGGATGATGCGAAACCTGCTCGCTTATCGCCCTCCATCCCAAGTCGTCGGTACGATCGCATTCGAACGTTTCGCCTGAAAGACGAGTTTCAAAATAAGGTCGCCGTGTTTTATGCATTTCTTTTGTAAAATTAACACTTTTCGAGTGTTTCTGATTGGTGGAGGACAAAATTGTAGTTTAAAAGAAAAAAAAGGGACCATACAAACCGAGCTATAATTGTTCGTCGAACGCTAAATAAAACACAAGAAATGGCGGGAGAGTGAAATTTATTTAAATCAATAAATAAAATAAAAGTTGAGAGTATCGAACCAAATAGCGAAAAAAGTCGAAGCACTAGGGACGGACAGACGGACGGACAAAGTTTCTTTCTAATTTCTAATTTTTACTTCTATCAAAAAAGCTTCTAATATAAGTGACATTTTGGGCCAATCTTAAAAAATAACAAAATCAAAATTTGAAAACATTCGCTTGATAAAGAGATACAAGGGAAAATCAAAAATTGTCAATATCAGAATGAAAAGAGACACGAAAAAATGTTTATTACAAAATTACTTGCACAGTAGTCTGCCGTTTTTGAAATAAGTACATATACGATGTCAACAAAAAAGTTCCTGGACTAAACTTCATTTTTTATTCATTTTTTAAATAGAAAACCCTGTATAATCTAAAAAATTGCATATTAAAATTTTATTTTTTAATATATATAAGGCTATCGCAATAAATAGGGAAAATACAAGTGATTCAAAAAATTCAAAATGGTTAAAAAAGAATTAAAAACATACTGGAATTTTTTTATTTTTTGAAAAATCTAATATTGTTCCTTTAGTTATATTTTTGGAAAACGAATTTAATATGCTCTTTTCGATAAAATATACAGAGCGTTCAACTAAAAAAAAATGAGGTTAGGTCCTATAACTTTTTACCTGATCCCGTACACTTATTTTAAAACGGCAGATTATTCAACAGTCATTATAAAGAAACTTGTATGTCTCCTTTAATAAATATGGGTTCCTTCAGAGATTCACATTTTTTTGATTTTCCAACATACCTTTTAAATTGAAATATTTTAATACAAAAATCTCTTTTCCAAAATATAACACTACAAAAATTCCATATTGATTTAAATAGATTCAAAAGATTTAAAAAACAGAAACAGCCAAACAATTTTTTTAAATTTTGTTGTATTTATCAAATTATTTGACATATTTTTAAATCGTTTGAGCCCTTTTTGAATATCATCCTTGGTGTATTATATTTTTTAAAAGTTACTACGTTATATTTTTAGATTAATAAATAAGACAGGACGTTCCGTTTAAAAAAATAAGGTTAGGTCCAATAACTTTTTTGCTTAATCTCGCGAGGCGTGTGATTGTACCTAAAAACAGGTGGGGGCGTGCACGATTGCAAATGTGATTGTCCCCCCCCCCCTGGTTCCACATCCTTCCTGAAAACAACCAGCCCAAATGACTCCTGTGATAATTTTTTATAAAGGTGGCCCTTTCCTCACAAGTATGATACAAGTGCCGTAAGCAGTAAATATTTCGGGAAGGAACTGGCAACCGGGGGGTCTGGGGGGTATGGAATATACCCCCCAGCCATTCCCTATATAGCACACATGATTGTAGAAAAAGGAACACACTCTTTCTTTTTCGTGGGCCCAGACCCCCCGGTTGCCAGTTTCCGAAATATTTGCCACTTGTATCATACTTTTGAGAAAAGGGCCACTTTTATGGAAAAGTATCACAGGAGGCGCCTTTGGGCTGGTTGTTTTGAGGAAGAATGTGGAACCGGGGGATCTGGAGGAGGTATGGAATACCCCCCAGTCATTCCCTATCGCACACGAAAATCTTATAGTGCAAATGTCACACCACAATTTCAGAGCATGTAACTACTCATGTTAAGCATTAATAGTTTTTGGAGAAAAGGGGTAGTTTTCACCCCTAAAAAATGAAAAGCGCCCTTGGGCATATAGACTTTGAAGTGAAGGGTGGGCTTAATCCATTTTCTACTATTTTAAGCTCGGTTCCCTCGGCTAAAAAGCTTCTCAAAAAAGCGAGCGGTTACTTACCTAAAAGAGGGTTGAAGGGTTTTCCAGTTCTGACACTCGTAGTCGCATATGACGATACTGTAAACGCAGCCACATGCGCCAACTGTTCGTACGGATCCGTACACCTAAAAACCACCAAAATTCAAGAAAAATTCCACCCGTCGCGCTGTACCCACCTCGCCGCCACATCCAAAATTTCCGCGTACTCGTAATCCTCGGTGAGACGCTGCAGCATGCTCAGCGGTTCGCTAAAATTCACCGGCATCGGAATCTTCGACAGGTCCTTTCCGATGCAGTTCTTCATGATGCTCCACAGATTAAGGGGATAATTCGGCTTGTCGGGGACGCGCGTCCTCCTCTGACCGGCGCGTGTCGTAGCCACGGCGGGCAGTTCCAAGCTCGACGCCGCCTTCGACTCGCTCTTTCCCGTAACGACGACGACCTGCTGAGTCTCCTGGCTCTCCTCGGGCTCGCTCGAACTGTCCGAGCTGCTGCGTCGGTGCAGGCCGCCCTTTGGAATGTCTAACGTGAAACGGCCATCGCCGGGCGTGCTGCTACCTTCGGCGAGCGCGTCGTAAAACTCATTTTCGTCCTCCTCCTCGCCCTCGCTCGCGCTTACGGGGCCATCTGAGGTCAGTAAGGCGACGGTTAGAACCATTCAATTTGTACGAATGACTTTATCACTCAAATTTATTGCCAAATGTCAAAAATGATTAGGGCACATGCGTCCAGCTTTGACAATGGCTCGGTCTTATCAAAAATTTGCAGACGGGAAACATGATAACTCTAATAAAGCAATCTTAATTCCCTTCTATTGGCCGCAATCAAAGCCAATTAAAGACAATTATTGACACATTAAATCGGAGAGTAAGAATTCCGAAAAGCTTACTTGGCCTGTGAGCGTGCGCGTTTGCCGCCTGCTCCAAACGCGAGTGCTGCTGCGCCAATGTCTCCACCATCTCCTGCAGCCGCTGGCGCTGCTCGCGCTCGTGCTGCAGCAGACGCGTCCACTTGTGCCCGTGCGTCGTCGCCGTCTGCAGATAACCGTTGCACGCCTAAAAATCGCAAAGTGAAAACGTTCCCCTCCAGCCGTCGTCTTACGTTTATCATCGCGTTACTAGCAATTCGGAATAGGGTCGCGCGTTCGTTGACGAGCTTCGATTTGCCCTGCGCCAAATCGGGATCGACTGTACTTTCGAGTTCGCCCAAGGCCCTTTGTAGAGAGGCGCCGTGCTTGCTGATCAACTCCGAGCACGTTTGCAGGTCGTCGAGGCACGCCTGCAGCTCGCGAACGACGCCCGACCACTCCTCCGGCGATCCCGAGGCCTCGTCCGCCTCCTCGTCCTCCTCCGACTCCATGTTGCGACTGTAAAAGATTCTGACATCTCTAAGACATTTCAAACTGAATCAAAAAACATTTGACAGACAAACTGTCAAAGAAGTGGTGGCCCATGATACCGTACCTTGGGGGGAGGTTACAAATTTTACTTACATGGCTTTCGCTTTGGCAAGTTCCAGCGCGGTCACCCATTGCTGACGTTCGACCTCCGACGACGCCTTAATGTGAAACGTCTGCGTGCCGCCGTTCGATATCACGAAGGTGCAGGCGTCTACCGTGTGAATCAGGGCGCCGTGTAGCGATATGCTCCCGCGACACGTGTGCACCATTTCCGCCTGGTTCCTGTAATGTCGAGTTCGAGTTTTGAGGCGACCGGTGACGTACGGACAAACGGAATGTCTGTGCAGGGCTCGTGGCCTAAGACTTACCCCTTGAATCGCCTTCGTCTTCGTATTGATAGTGTGGGAACACCGCCATTGTTTTCAGCCCTGCACAACACATTCAGTTTAAGTACGAGTGCGATACACACAGTGATGAGAGGGGGAGGGTGGTGATCAAGGTCCAGGGGGGTCACGTGTGTTAAATGAGTTGATGCATGTTTAAAAAAACGGTTATTTTGGGTTAATCGCAACTGCTGCGAGGGGCTCACCTGAAATATGACAGATGTCCATTTTGCAAAACAAACCACCGACGTTGGTAACCTTTTAAATAGTTCGTCCATTTACATAGCCAGCCTTCCATCGACGGCTCGCCATGGCTAGAAATAGTTTTAGAATTCGCACTGTCACCCATTTTTAACACTTGGAATGTTTATTTAAGAGGGACGTTCGCGAGACACGTCTTCCATTTTTATTTCTGATGATTGTCATGTCATTCTCCGAACTGCCAACATACGCACCTGTCAAACTTGACCAATGCTGCCAACTCTATTTCATACAGGGTGAACATACTTTCTAGTGTCAAAAAATGTTCAAAGAAATTTCTGCTGTTTCAGCTTCAATAGGTTTAGTCTCTTGGAAACTAATCAGTTTTCCTAAAAGGAAACGCTCTGATCCGATTCCCTACTCGTGTGGTTTACAGATGGGTCCCTAAAGGAAAGGGGTGTGCTGTAGTACCTTTATTTTTATTTTGAAGCATTTGTTTCATGGAATCAAGACGAATTCGTAACTTCCTATAATAATAATAATGTCTTTTATTAAGTTACATTACACACAATTACAGTAAAAAAAAACTAAATGGCATATTTCAAAATTATAGTAAGTAATGCAACTTAATGGGCGAAGTTCAGTTAGTCAATTCTGCTCTTTCACTTAACCCAATCATTTAATAAATGATTACAGAAAAGATTATAACACAATACACAATAGAACAATTTATGGCTCAAATAATAATAATACTCAATATAAAAAAAACAATAAAGTTAAGAAAAACTATATAAGTATTTTTCTATTTTGAGTGATGCAGGGGTGGATGGGGAACCAAAAACCGGTCCGTGAAATATACCTGCCTATCGGCCCACTTAGGGGGGGATAATCAATGTAAAATAAAGAAATGTAGGATGTTCATTGAGAATTTCGATTTCCGCCCATTTAGATTTTGCATCGATGCAAACTCAATAACGCTGGTAATTTATCGGCCCTGCATAATCCACATGAATACGGTCCCAATATTCTGTTAGGTATTCCCACTTATGCGTTATGTAATTTGTGTTGGTGCATTCGTACTTTTTAGACACTCGCGACAAGATTTTACCTGGTTTTCAATGTCTTTATCAATGTTTTTCCAGTAACAATAGCGTTTGGCTAACTGTTTCATTTTCTATACAGGGTGTTTTTTTGGGAGCTTTAAAGTTTTAAACGTTTCTGGGAAAGTAAAATACGTAGGTTTTTGAAAATTTGTACTTAGGGCGAGCTACTCTGAAGGCCAAATCTATGTAAAATATTTTCAAAATGTCCGCACTTCCGGAAACGCCGGAAGTAGATAGTAACCTGGGTATCAAAAGAAGTGAAATTTCACGTAGAATTCAAAAATGCAATAAAAAATAGGGGTTGCCATTTAAAATAACGAAGTTACTATCTACTTCCGGTGTTTCCGGAAGTGCGGCCATTTTGAAAATATTTTACATCGATTCGGCCTTCAGAGTAACTCCTAAGTACAAATTTTCAAAAACCTACCTATTTTACTTTCCCAGAAACTTTTAACTAAAGCTCCCAAAAAGACACCCTGTATACCTAAATGTGTACTGTGTAATTCCTCTAACAAATCTGATTGCCTACGCCAACACTTATTCTCTCGGTACACCAAACAATCATTTCGCAGCCTTGGTATACAAATAACTATTAAAGTGCTAGCGGGCGATCAAAAATGAGTTGCTGTCGAGTCGCCTTTGGAAGTTCAAATTAAAACAAAATAAAACAAAAATTCCAAAGGTGACTCGACAGCAACTCACTTTTGATCGGTCGTTTCCTTCAGAATGTAGAAGAACATTTTTTATAACTTTTATTAGCCCCTGTATCGGCTAGATAAATTAGTAGCGATTTAAAACTTAAGGGTTCATAATCTACATACAAATACCTTCAAAATAAGGTACCTATCACTCGACCCCCCATTCGATTTAAAAAATTGGGGGCGCTTGTCACCTTCGTCAGGGGGGCGAAACTAGCAAAAAAAAAATTGTTCCCCCTTGAATAAAAAATTGACGGGTCCGAGGATTTTTTCGTAGATATTTTGAGGTTCCCAAAATAGGCTCTGTTTCGTTTTCAAATGGCCACCTTGTATTATTATATTATGAAAAACACCACAAAGGGCAAGTCAGTCTTCTAAACTTCTCAAACTGAATAGAAACTTGTGGAGGAACCTATCATTATTATTATTACACAATTGGTAACATAATTATCAGTGTGCTCTCGCACTAAATTTCCAGGGAAACATCGGACTATGATGATCAAACAAATAGGCGAAGAGGTATTCATGCTATTTTTTTATGTAAACAAAATCCCTAAACTAAACAAATAGAAGATTCTTTAATTGGAAAAATTGTTTGTACAGTCAAAGTTAAGATCTGTATATCCCTGAGAGTAGATGCAATAAATAATAATAAACAAAATTCTTGTGGCTCAATCCTTGGCAAGTTCAAGTGCGGTTATCCATTGTTGACATTCCTCTCGCGACGCCGCCTTCAAGTGGAACGTCTGCGTATCACCATTCGATGTAACAAAAAAAGTGCGGGCATCTTCTGTGCGAATCGAGGCGCCACGTAAGGGCATGCTACCGCGACATTTGTGTTCCGTGTCAGCTTGTTTCCTGCAATGAGTCATGCTTAAAACGAATGTATGCACAGTTCTCACCTTTCGCACTGTCATCACCACCCCCCCGGCACAAAACATTGGGTTTTAAGCTTGTCTTTAACTCCTCGTCGAGCGGGTTACATTCAGAATTGCAATTACCAGAGAATCTCATCTGAAATAAGACAGGTGTCCGTCTTGCAAAACGATCCATCGCCGTTGGTAACCTTTGAAACAATTCGTCCACTTGCAGAGCCATCCCTCCATGGTTGGCTTGCGATTGTTCCACACAGTTTCAGTATTTGTAGGACTGTCGCCCATTCTAGCAATTGCAATGCTTCAATTATCAACTCAAAACACATTTCTTGCTTGAGGTACAAAAAAGGGATAGGGCTCCCCTCTGACCAGATCAGTAGCTCTACTGTATTACATTTGATCTACTTTAATTAGTTCATCAGCTCTACTTAAGTACATTTTATCTACTAAACATTCCGTTATTAATAATCAATTTTAATATAAAATAACAGTGTTTTTAAAGCTGTGTAACTCTTTTTTAGAGTGTTCTAAAGCTGAGTAATTCCCCAAATTCAGAATATGCAAATACCTTGCAAATCCAGTATAAAAAATGTCCCCAGTATGTTAATTGCCACGGATTTCTAACCTAATTTTTCCTTTGTAATTTGTTGTTAATTGTTCTGTGGGAAAATGTCTCGAAAACGAGACATTTCGGTAAGTTTTCATTTAAGTGGGCGTTCAGGGTTGATCACCCAAATCTTCCAGAGGGAAGAAATTGCGAAGCAATTCCTGCTACCCGAACGTCAATCGAAAATCGACACGCTTCTAAGGCAGGACGGACAGGCCTACTGCATCTGTCGCTCTTCGGACAGTTCGCGATTTATGATAGCATGCGACGCGTGCGAGGAGTGGTACCACGGCGACTGCATCGGAATTTCGGAACGCGAGGCGAAGCACATCAAGCAGTACTTCTGCGTACGTTGCATCGAGGAGGACTCCACCTTGCAGACGCGCTGGCGAACCAAACGCGACGACACCGGCAACAAGGACGAGTACCGCGTGCGGAAACGCAGAGAGCGCGGCGAGACCAAGTCCGATAAGAAGAATAAGAAGTGCGGCGATTGCATGGGATGCTATCGGACGGATGATTGCGGACGGTGCGACGTGTGCCTGCGGAAGTACAAGCACGGAGGCGGACGTCAGAAGGAGCGTTGCAAGCAGAGGATCTGCGTGAATTTCGGAGGGTGAGTCGAATTCGACCGGCGCCGGATGATTAAGGTGGCGTTTTAGAACTCGGGGGCGTCGGCGACGTCGCGACTCCGGTTCCGACATCGAACAGCCGCCCAATGCGCATTTAATGACCGACTATCCTCGTCAGTGCTACGGACCAGGTTGCGTTAATAGCGCTCGGTACGGTTCGAAGTACTGCTCCGATACTTGCGGAGTTCGCTTGGCCACAAATCGTATTTACCAAGTGCTTCCGCAGCGTATCCAGGAGTGGGCGTTAAGTCCGTGCGTTGCTGAAGAAAAGAACATCAAGGGTAAGCGGAAGAGGGAGGGGGGTCTACCGCCATCACACAACTTTCAGTTTGTTGGCTTATTCAGCTCTGAAATGGTCTTGGGAGGCTCTGGAAAACCTTAGTTGTAGCTTTTGGGAGTAATTGATGGTTTTCCAGAACCATCCAGCTCTTTCTATCGCATAATCTGAGGGAATCACTCAAAAAATGGCAGATTTTAGTTTGCGCATGCGCTATAGTTCAAATTAAAGCTTAGTCTAGCAAGTGTTAAAGGAAATAGCACTTTAGCGGGTCCGTTAACTTGGCCCCCCCCACTGAGAGATTTCATAGTCGTATTATTTTGAAATGAATGCGATCGTTATGCGCTCATATGCGCCACCGATAATAACTCTTGCGCCATTATCGTTTTTTAGAAATCCGAAAAAACATTTGGGGGGGCCAAGTGAACGTAGCCCCCCCCCCCCAGTACGTATTTTGTCCCTTGTAACTAGGTCACCTGATACATTTGGTTATGCGCTCAATTGCGCCACTTGAATTAAAGCTAGCGCCATTACGGTTAAGCCGTGACAAATTTTCAAAAAGTGGGGGGGCCAACTTAACGTTTTTAAAAGTTACTTTTTTTTAACATCTTTTCATACGAAATTGTACTCTCAGGTATGCGCTGAAATGCGCCGTAAAAAGATATCTTTGCGCCATTATTGTTTTTTGGATATCCTTAAATATATTGGGGGGGGGGCAAGTGAACGGAATCCCCCATAACGCATTTTGCTACCGGTATTTGTGCCACTTGATACATCTGGTTATGAGCTCAATTGCGCCACTTGAATTAAAGCTAGCGCCATTACGGTTAAGCCATAAAAAATTTTTAAAAAGTGGAGGGTCTAACTTAGCGTTTACAAAAGTTATTTCCGGAAGTGCGTCCATTTTGAAAATATTTTACATCGATTCGGCCTTCGGAGTAACTCCTAAATACAAATTTTTAAAAACCTACCTATTTTACTTTCCCAGAATCGTTTAACTAAAGCTCCCAAAAAACACCCTGTATAGTGTTTCTGAAACACTGTAATGGCGCCAAGATTTTTGTTTACGGCGCATTTTAGCGCATGATGAAAGGTACGATGTAGTAGAAAAAACATGTTAAAAAACGTAACTTTTGAAAACGTTAAGTTAGCCCCCCCCCCACTTTTTAAAAATTTTTTATGGCTTAACCGTAATGGCGCTAGCTTTAATTCAAGTGGCGCAATTGAGCGCATAACCAAATGTATCAGGTGACCTAGTTACAAGGGACAAAATACGTACGGGGGGGGGCTACGTTCACTTGCCCCCCCCCCCCAATGTTTTTTCGGATTTCTAAAAAACGATAATGGCGCAAGAGTTATTATCGGTGGCGCATATGAGCGTATAATGAGCGCTTTCATTTCAAAATAATACGACTATCAAATCTCTCAGTGGGGGGGGGCCAAGTTAACGGACCCCACTTTAGCCACTCGCGCGCGTGCCACGGTTTTGCCGCTGGTGAGTTCTGTGTACCTCAAACTTCTTTGGCGGTAGACCTCTTAGTGCGCCGTAGTTATTCACAAACTGTGACGTTTAGCCTTGGACCAAGTACGTAAAAACCAGCTGGAGGTGCGTCAGATTCTGCAGGAGCTCGACAAGCGACACAAGGAGCTCGATTACATCGTCGAGCGCGCAAAAAACGCCGTCATCGATTCGAATTTAGACCAGGACAACGACGAGGAGGCCGATCTGTCGACTTACTGCCTGACGTGCGGCCACGAGATACACTCGCGCACCGCCATCAAGCACATGGAAAAGTGCTTCAACAAGTACGAGTCGCAGGCCTCCTTCGGTTCCAAGTTCAAAACACGAATCGAGGGCAACAACATGTTTTGCGACTTCTACAACGCCAACAACCGCACGTACTGCAAGCGTTTGCGCGTCCTGTGCCCGGAGCACTGCAAGGACCCGAAGGTCGGCGATAACGAGGTGTGCGGGTGCCCGTTGGTCACCAACGTCTTCGACCTGACCGGCGAGTTTTGTCGCGCGCCCAAAAAGTCTTGCGGCAAGCATTTCGTTTGGGAAAAGCTGAGACGTGCCGAGGTATGCCGAACATTTTTGTTTCGTTGCTCGATTAGGTTTACAGGGTGCACAAAACCCCTCCAATACAGAGGGAATCTTCTCCCAAAATTCTCACTTTAGCTGGGGGGGTGCTACAGCCTCCCCCAAAATGTTCAACCCTGACAACTTTCGTCTTTGATGACACCACCTACAAAATAATCATAATCACACTAATTGTCATAATCATTTTGGGGGAAAGAATGCTCCTCCAGCACCATTACCTTTTTCTGAAAACTACCATCACAGTTGCTTTTGGAATATGGTCATCAATTCTCCCTTTAGCTGGGGGATATTCCATACCGTCCCAAAATACGATTTTAACGCAGCGTGTGTCTCTGACTTAATACAATCTCATGATAAAAATACGATGCCGTCTTTTATATGTATATTAGTGAATTATAAAACTTCTGAACATCATTTTATTTCGTGCTCCGCATCCCATTTTTAATTATGACAGATGTCATTGGAATGCACAATCATTTGTTTCACCTTATCTCCCCTTAGCCAACTAATTCAAACCGATTAAAATGTCAATTTGACAATTATAAAATAAAATAAATACAATTTTTGTACGAAAATGTGTCAGTTGCATTCATATAACTTGACACTGACAATTCGTCTTCTGTAGATCGACCTAGAGCGAGTGCGCCAGTGGCTGAAGATGGACGAGCTGCTCGAGAAGGAGCGCCACATCCGCCAGAGCATGGCCTCGCGCGCCGGCGTTCTCGCCTTGATGTTGCACTCGACCTACAACCACGAGGTGATGGAGGAAATTACGAAGGCAAGCCAGCAGGATCAAGCCGCCGTACAGTTGGAGTTGGCGAAACGTTTCAAGAAGCGAGAGAAACCTCGTCTGTAAAGTTCACGCTTCGGGGTTATCTATTTCACAATAATCTTAACATTCTAAAGTGTATTGACTTAACCTTACGAAACTAATAAATTAAATTGAACACAAATAAACCACTTGTTGATTAATCTCGAGCTATCGCCGGGTCAACATTATGATAATACCAATTATATAAGGTGTTCTCGCTCCGGGTTGGCGTCAAAACATGTTTTGGCAACTGATTGCGGTCGCTATCGTGGCGGCATCCGGACAACGGATCGACAATCCGCAGTGGAACCGTAGGCCCACGGGCGATCCGCCGAGAAATAGAGAACTGAAACTGATTCACATCGTAAGTCGTAGCATTATATTGTTTCCGTTCGAACTGTGAGGCCCCATTTTAGATTTATCGACATGGAATACGGACGCCTGCCGACACCTACCCGAATGACCCGTACGCGAATAGCGAGTTTTATCCTAGCGGCTGGGGGCAACTGACCAATGTAAGTCTTTTGCAAATATCCTCTGTCTGGTAGCGCTTTGTTTGATATTATTATTATTATTCTGCTAGGGGAGGTCCCAGTCGGTTCCTGCCAGAATGCCTGTTAGTGTTACTTCCTCTTGTCTTTTGTTTTCATTTCCAAAGTAGGCGTTCCCTTGCCTTTGTGTATGCCTCACGTTGCCAAAAAATGACGTGGTGTGGTGCTTCTTCCTCCTCCCCCACAACCTCTTCATAACGGGCCGTCCGTCAATCCCATATTGTGCAGGTGTTTCATCAAACCATCTCTGTCACAAGTTTTATCTTCATCCTTACCTTTAAGATGGATGATGCTGATTCCCCGTTTGGGGTATCCAGAAAAATCTTGGAATGGTTCTGTCCTGGAATTTTCTCCTTTTTAGGGGAAGTTTTCGAAAGAAAAAAAATTCCCCTTATGTGATGGTTTTGTCCGTCCGTCTGTCTGTTCCTCGTCTAACTCGAGAACGAAAAGAGAGCGATGTCAAACCTTCGCCAATCGATTTCTAAGAGTTCAAAGATCAGGCTATTGAATATGAGCCGGATTAAAAGTCTGGTTTCCGAATTCGACTTGAATGGCAAAAAATTCCCCTCTTGAAAATCGTATGCGATTCTTCGTATGTTGTTTTCTGTGTCATATGTAATCCCACAGGCCTCTCTCTATCTAACAACGCTCTTGGAGCCACCCCCTAACACGAGATCGCCCTTTTAACTGCATTCACTACTCTGGATAGTAATTTCACAGGATTTTCCGGATTGATTGATAAGTGCGGTCTCCAATAGTTTTAGGAAAAACGAGGTTAGACTGATAGGCTTGGGAGTCTCGCCCAGGTTTCGGTATAAATACGACTTTTAGGTCCCTCCACTCCCAGAAACTTGCCTTTAGATAGTGTGTACGCTAGCAGGTCGAGACCTTGTTGTAGTAGAATAGAAAAAATTCCCGGGGATTTATACGGATCGAAACTCCTTCACTGCCCACCTAATTTTAATTAGGTTCACTATATCTGTCGAACCAAAACTCAATCTCCTCTGTTCCCCCTGAGTAGTTCCAGAGTAATATTGTGAGTTCTAAGGTCTCCTTTGCGGTCTCTGTATAACCCCCCTCAATTTTCTTCAAGGAACTGATTCTACATTCTGTTCCTTTTTGTAAAGTTTCCTTTAGAGAGGAAAACCCATAGCTGAACCTTCCTCCCTGGCCATTATTAGGTTATTTTCTATTATCACAGCCTACTTGGGTGTATAAACATGTAACTAATTAATGGGTATGTACTTTTGTGATAAATATTGAATAACCTAAAAACTACGGGGTTTGAGCACAGAACATCCCCTACACAAATTGAAGAGAACTCAAAACACAATCGAATAGCGAACTAAAATAAGGTAGTTCCAATTGAAAAAGAATAGTTTGACGTTTTGGAAATTTTACCATTTCATTCGTGAACACCCTGTATCACTTAATCCAACTTTCTCATTATCAAAGTGTTACCCTTTACTGGAATTAACATTATTGATCAAATGTATTTCTTAACTTCAAAATCAAGGTGGCTTCGATTCATGGCAATGTAGAGATTAACAAATGCCACTAAAACAAGTAAAAATATACAGGGTGTTCTATTAAAAAAATCTTTTATTAATTGACACCGTAAACATGAGACACCTTGTATATTAAAAATAATTTCTGTGGATCCACAACCATCTATAGTTGACATTTGCACAAAATTTATTGTTTACTAGGTATGAACTAGGAAAGACCTGCGCACTTTTGCAGGACCCTGTATATAACCAAATACTACGAAAATTTTTAGTAGCTCTTTAAAAACTAGGAAATTTTGCAAATTGTTAACTTTTGCCCCTCCGTTTCAATAGGTTCCCGACCCCCCGGTTAGCCTAGTCCTGTGGCTGCGATTCATGGCAATGTAGAGATTAACAAATGCCACTAATACAAGTAAAAATATACAGGGTGTTCTATTAAAAAAATCTTTTATTAATTGACACCGTAAAAATGGAACACCCTGTACATTCAAAAATAATTTCTGTGGATCCACAATCATCTATAGTTGACATTTGCACAAAATATTGTATACCAGACCGGCGCACTTTTGCAGGACCCTGTATATAACCAAATACTACGAAAATTTTTAGTGGTTCTTTAAAAACTAGGAAATTTTGCAAATTGTTAACTTTTGCCCCTCCGTTTCAATAGGTTCCTGACCCCTCGATTAGCCTAGTCCTTTTCGTCAATTCCGAAAACTACCAGCTTCCCTTGATGTTGCTCTTTCGCGCACCTCCAAGCGCCGCTTGATCGCCACCGGGTCTTCGAGTTCCCCCCGGGACCAAATGGCAGCCTTGCGGAGCCTAGTAAGGCAATCTTCCTGCACTACCCTTAGCAGCCCATCACCTCCTTCAGCCACTCGCACGACATCCTTACGATCTCGCCCAGTACCTCCACTCCCTGAAAGTGGGTGCTAGTGTCGCACGCCTTTTAGGGCGAACAGAGGAGTTAGCTCTAGGAGCCTGCTTCTGAGTCAGGGTTTGAAGGTGACCGTTGGCGCAGTTTGACCCTTTCGGGCCAGTCTGGCCTCCTTTGCTCAGCGCCGGGGTTTAGATTGTTCTTGAGGCTTGGCGACCTGTAACATAGGTGGAGGGGTATCCTGAGACGCTCCCTCTGGACCCGTGTGAAAGTATCAAGCCATTTTTCCAATGTTGGCCGAAGATGAAATAGTGACGTCAGGGTTTAAATACCTGCGTATGCGGTGACGTCAGCATATCATTGACTAACTACCTCAGAATTGCAGCAGGTTGCTTGAATTATGTTTTTTAATGCTATGTGATAGCATTCTTATCAAGAGGAAAATGAAAATTACATCCCTTGCAAATGATAAGAGAAGTTCCAGTGGCGTAGGTAGTGACAAATCGTTCTTGTACAAGTTTGCAAGCACTTTTCTCAGAATTGCAGCTGGCCTTATGTTTTTAATTCAATGTTATAGCATCCTTATCAAGAAGAAAATGAAAATTGCATCCCTTGCAAATGATAAGGGAACTTCCAGGGGCGTACCTAGTGACAAATCGTTATAGTACAATACTAGAAGGGTATCTATATACACTGTTTGCACGGCACGTACGCTAAATTTCTTTAATAAATAGGATCCTTTGCTCTTGTACAATAGCGATTTGTCACTTGGGACGCCCCTGGAAGTTCTCTTATCATATGCAAGGGATGAAATTTTGATTTTCTGCTTAGCAAAGGTGGCCAATACATAGAATTAAAAAACAGAATGCCAGCAACCGACTGCAGTTCTGAAAAGAGTGCTTGCAAACTTGTACAATAACGATTTGTCACTTGGGACGCCACTGTAGCTTCCCTTATCATTTGCAAGAGAGCCATATTTTGTTCATAAAAGGACTGTAAATTGGAGTCCGCCAGTAATCCGCTATTGTTGTTCGGTTGGTTTTGTTGGGGAAAGTTACTACTGGGTCCTTTGAGGGTCTACAATATTTTGGAAACGTCGTTAATTTTACTTATATTTGTAGTGTTTGAAGTTTCATTTAAATATCTTGATGAATAAAAGTTAGCATTGCGCGTGCGTTAAATCAACTGTTCACTGCGCATGCGCAAAACAATTAAATATCGGTATGCACGGAATACTTGATCAAGTCCTTTCAAATGAGCCCCATATCACAGCTTAGATAGTAAGTAAGCTGTGCCCATATCGCCCAAATCGGTTCAGTGGTGTAGAAGGAGTACGTTTTGAAGAAAATACGTCAAAAATATCAATTCGAATGCAGAGCTACACGAATAATGTCAAGCGGATCACTAAAGAACGTTTTTATTTCAAGAATTAAGTACAAAATTGCCGCTTATTTATATAGTCGCCCAGTCTCCTCGCACCACCACTTCAATCTTCATTTCGCTAAGTATCTTGTCATTACAGGATGGGAAGAGAAAATTATTTGAGCACGGTTTATTCCTCAGAAACCGTTACGGGCACTTCATAGGCACTCACTACTCACCCGACATATACTACGTGCAAACCACGGGCGTGGACCGTACAAAGATGACGGCGCAGTGCATCAACGCGGGGTTCTGGGCGCCCAACAACGACCAGTACTGGGGTATACTCAACTGGCAACCGATTCCCGTCAATTCGGAGCCTCTGGATACGGACAACGTAAGTTGACCGAATGTATCCCCCTTCGCGGTTTAATGCCGTTGTTTGTGTAGCTTCTGTTAGTGAGGCGCCCGTGTCCTCAGTACCATTTGGAATTGGAAAAGGTGGAGCATAGTCCCGAGATACAGAGACAGTTGCAGGAGGAAGGTCCCCTATTTACCGAGTTGAGTAGAATTACGGGGAAGAATATCAAAAACTTCGAGGACGTGCAGGACGTTTACACGACGCTTATGGCGGAGGAGGCGTTCGGATTGCCACTGCCGGATTGGACGAGACAGTACTATCCGCACCGCATGTTAAAATCAACAGAGCTCAGTTTCGTACTCAACGTCTACAACGACCGGCTCAGCCGATTTAAGGGCGGCGTTTTACTCAAGAAGATGATCGAGGACTGGAAGAGTGTAGCCGACGGAACTCTAAAACCGAAGCAGCGCAAGGCCTTCTTGTACATCGGGCACGACACGACCGTCGTTAATATTCTGAGCGCGTTAAAGCTGTGGCATCCGCAAGTGCCCGGCTTCGCCATAAATACGTTCTTCGAGTTTTCGCAGGACCTAAACACGAAAGAGTACGGAGTCGAGGTGTTCTTTAGAAACTCCACAGATCCGCACGCGGTCCCGTACCAACTAACCATCCCCAACTGCGAAAAGTTCTGCCCGCTGGATCGACTGATACAGTTGACTTCGTCCGTCGTACCCGACGATTGGGAGGAGGAGTGCAAGTCGGACGATCCCAATTTCACGGTGCCGCCGCCGCGTCCGCCATAAGTACAAAAACGACGCTTTTTAACAAATTCTATAATTTTTACATTTTGTGTTAATTTTAATATAAATCACATTCAATATTGGCACGTAAAAAGAAGTGGAATGTTATTTCTTGTATAAATAAGCTGGCAAGTTAAGCGAAGATCCCCAGAAAACCCTAATAGCTAAGTGCTTATAATTCGGTAGTCATATGACGGGTGAGCAATTGGACTCGTTTCGCGTTGCACGATTTGCATAAGACGTGGTCATCCAGTGGGTAGCAGCCTCGACCTTCCGCCTCGGATGAGAGTACCAAACCGCAATCCTAGAATATAACACGCATGTCAAATTGGCCCCGCCCATTGGGAATTTTGTTTGATGTTTGTTTTGTGGGCGTGGTCAATTTCACAGTAACCGCAAAAACAATAGTCTGTTCAGCGATAAATTGATAACTGAACATATTGAAAAAAAAATCAAAGCGTGTAAAGAAACTTTTCCTAAAATGGGCGTGGTTACTGAGAAGTTGGCCCCGCCCACAGTTCCATGCAAACAGACGCTAAATAAAATAGGTCGCGCCATCTGTAATTGCTAACAGTGACTAACCTCACACTTGTAGCACTGAATGTGGAAGCTGCGATCCAGTGCGACCACCCTGACGGTTTCCTCCTGTCCCGGTTCGGGCATGATCGGCTGCTTGCAGACGCAACACCTCGGCGCGAATTTCCTGAAAGCTCTAAGCTCGCAGCGTGAACTTAACATCGGCGAGTCTTACTTGTGAAAATCCTCGATGCAGTGTATCTGATTCGTCGCGTCGACCGTGAACGGAATTCCGTCCAAGCTCTTCCCGCAGATTACGCAACAGAAGCACTTCGGATGGTAGGGCTTGCCGGTCGCCCGTAGTATGCGATCCAAGATCGGCTTCGTGCAGACGCAGCACTTCTCAAGCGTATTCTGAAATGGCCAGAATAAATACAGCTGCTTATTATTATTATTATTATTGTCCCTCTCTTGTTTTGGGCCCTCAACAGACATGCGCCCAATTACAGAATGCTATTTAGAGGTGCAAAACAATTGAAATCGAAACAAATGAAATAAGAAACGATTTTTCGCCCCCAAGCGGTTAATTACGTTACTCTTACCAAGTAATCCTCCTCGCAATACGGCTTCCCGTCGAGCGAATAAAACGGCTTCCCCTGCAAGTTAATGGCGCAATGCTGGCACGTGAAACAGGTGGTGTGATAGATCTTATCCATCGCCGTGCAGCCGCTATTCTCGCCGACGACCTTTTCGCCGCACTTGACGCATATGCCGTAATAGTCGACCTCGACGTTGTCCTCCATTCCCTGCACGAGCAGGTCGGTGAGCGTGTCGACCTCCTGCTCCTTGCGCACGCCGACGCGACTCGCCGACTGACTCGGTCCCGACATGTTGCTGCCGCCGCTCACGTACGGCGCGTAGAGGGAGTAATTCGACCGGGACGACATTTGACTAGGCGGTCTTGGGTTGATGGGCTCATAAATCGACTCGTACGTTGACGATGCCTGGGGAATTAACATACGCGTAATGAGAGCGCAATGGAGGTTTTTGACCTTGAAAAGAGTTAGAGGCTTTTTCCGTCACCTGTACAAACAAAGGACCCTTTGAAGATACCAACATCTCCCCTGGAATCGTAAAGAACATCATCTGTTTTGGTAAAAAAGTAAAGATCTAGTTGGCTAACGTCTAAATAGACATTTCCCTATCTCTCTTACCTCTTTCTCCAGGGGTAGGGAGCTAGGCGTTGGTATCCTCCAAGGATCTTTAGGTTCAGGTTGAAATCGATCTGGTTCTTACTTTGCAAGTTTAATGGCGGATGCAGATTTTAAATTATAAAAAAGAAAAGAACAGAACGTTTCTCTCACTCTTACAAAGTCAAATTTTAACAAATCTATGGTATATTAAGGCATTACCTGAGAGGGGGCTCTGTAATAGCTTTCGTATCCTGCATGCTTTTTAAAAAATTATCATTAGCATACATTTACGGCTAATCTCGACCTGAGGGAGAAATCACTTTTTGTAGAAAATTCCAGAAAATATCCAAAACTGTTAGAGGAATCATTCTAAATGTACACTGTTACCCCAAACTCCCCCCCACCCCACAGTACAATATGCAAGACAACACTTTAAAAAGTAAATACTCAAAACTCTTTCGGCAGTATGAAGGGAGAACCACTTTGAAATTGCTCGATTACTGGCCACTCTGCCCCCCCCCCACGCAAATTTTAAAAAGCTTAAAATGTGCAGTATCCTAGAAATTGTTCCGGTAGTGTGGAAAGGGGCATATTCGGTCTGCGCCGTTATTAAATACGAAAATTAGCTTGCGCAGTGCGCACACCTGATGTTTAAAATATGCGATATGTTTGTCTTCATTAGAAGAATCTTTGGTTAACAAAATATCTCTATAAAGGCCGTCGCGCACATACACGCGGCGCTTTTTTCGCGCAGTTTTTGAAATAGGACACTCACTTGAGCCAAGCGCGGCGTATTAAAATCAATGTGAGCGAAAAAAGCAGTTCGCGACGCCGCGTGTGGGTGTGCGACGACCTTAAATAAGTTGACATTGCGCATGCGCACATCTCACTTTTACAATATGCGATATGCTTGTCTTTACCAAAGCATCTGTGGTTACAACTTCAACCCTGCCCAAACCTGTTTCTGCTATCCCTCCACTCCCCAAGTTTTGGGTATTTCTAGTGACTTCCCCCTTGGCTCAGTAGCTCCGCGGAACTTACCTGTGATCCTAAATAGTTGGGGTAATCCTCTGGAAGCGTTGCCCGTCTAAGCTCGCTGTAGCTCGAGCTGACCGGGGATGGGGGCGGCGGTAGGTCGTCGGGTGGGGGCGGCAGGTTGGTGTTAACTGTACATGGTGCGTAATCGTTCATGACCTCCAGAGGTGGGGGTGGTGGAGGTAAATCGTCGGCTGTCAAAAGTGACGAGCTGAGTGCACTTGTAGCGTCTCGGCGAATACTTACTTCCATTCGTGTAGACGTTGCTGTAGACTGTCTCACGAGTCGAGTGAGGCAAGTTGTTGTAGATGAGGTTGTCGTTGTTCCGCGGCGCCACCTGAATGTTGCTGTAGAGCACGTGCTGGTCCGGTTTCGTGTACGCTTTCGGAACGAAATTTGAGCTAATCGGAATGGTCGAGTTGGTCAGGGGTTCGTTTATGGTATTCGGGACGTTCGCGTACGTATTGTAGTTCTGTCCCATCGGCAAAGTCGACGCGTTAAAGTAGGAGTGCGACGGCGGGGGCACATTAGAGTACAAGAGTGAGGAATTTGCACTCGGCAACCTGGAGGAGTACAGCGGCTCGGCTGCTTGTTTGACTGTGTGCGAGTAGGGTACCTGCGGTTGAGGTTTTTTGGGCTTGGGTGGGACCGCGGGGCCGATTTTCTTTCCAAAGTTCGGATTGGGTAACAAATCGGCATTGTTCATCAGCTGGAGCTCCGCCAATTGTTTATCGAGATCGTCCATTGTTTCCTACAAAAAAAAGGTAAGGTTAGATTACGCCAAAATCATAACAAAGCCTTATTTTACCTGACTGACGGAATTCCTGGGGGATTATTTTGATGTAGACGAATGATATTCAGCGGGACAAAAGGAAGTATGAGTAAAGGACATTGCGGTATGACAAATAGGACAATCGTCCAAGTGAATAATCGATTAAATACATTGGAAACTGCGCGCTCACCTTCACGACTTGTTTGGACTACTCGTCTCGCCCATTTCTTCTTATCCCAGTGGCGTACGCCCTCGTACTGGATAAAGAGTAATTTTATGTACAAAATATTACCATTGGTATCCCAATCAGAGTCTCTTAAGTGCTTTGTACAAACTCCCTAGGTCGTATTTAGTTAGTCTAATTACTCTAAACAATTAGAAAGGGTTTAAAAAGCATCTTTTCTAGCGCCTTCCAGAACCTCTTAAGTGTGGTAGGGAAAATACTACAAGTGGAAAGATTTATTAATTGCTATTGAAAGCCATTTACAGCTTTTCAAAATGATTGATCGAATCCAGAGACATGATGTCTCTGATCGAATCCCATCTAAATGGACGGACAGACAAACGAATTCAGGTCCGTAGCTAGGGGGTGGCTAGGTGGGGCCCACCTAGAACCTGGTTTTGCTCCCACTGGAAATTACGGTTAGTGGTTCCTTTACCAACTCGGCGCATTACATATACAAATTATAGGGGAGGTTTTTACCAAAAAGCTCTTAAACTCCGCACTCAGAAGAATACCGGCCACCCCTTCTACTTCATTCTGGTTACGGGCCTGCGAACGATAAAATATAAACTTAATAAGTTTGGTGAACTGAAATTCTACCCAAAAAAATTTTTAATTTCGAAAATTGGGGGGGGAGAGTACTAAGTGAATATTTCCGTAGGCGCTCATGCTGGGCCCAATTTCTAATTAACATGGAAACATCGAAATTTGCTAATTGACTTAACTTGAGCGTTTATTAAGTGGATGACGTCACGCTTTACATTTTTACAATAAATTAATCAACGACTCGTGTAAACAAGCGGATTTATTACTAAAATTAAGTACAGGCGAAATTAATACGCAGCCTCTACGTGTAGATTTTCATATCTGGATTGCAGTGATAATTATCGACAGGTGGAGGAGTGGGGGGGTAGAAAAATTCTCCAATTCCGTAAGGGACCTTTAGAATGTGTTCGTAAATTCGCACGTGCAAAAGGGGCCTACTTACGTAATCCGTCGTTCCCGCCTTTTTGTGCGCTATACAAAACGTGCACAGCCTATTCGAATCGGAAAATCTCAGGCAGGGCTGCGCCATTGGCCCTAAAATTGAAGGTGCGTCGAAATTATGAGTCGTGCCCAAATCGACGTTTTACCTGCGACTAGCTGCGTGCCCAAATGCGAAATGTAACTCGACGCAAGCCTCAGCGTCTCGATCTTGCTCAATTTGCGATCCTTCGGCTCTGTCGGGATTAAGGTGCGTAACGTTACGAACGCGGTGTTCACGCTGAAAAACGCGCTCAGGTAAGTTTATTACGCGAGGTTTCCGCTCGAGCGTCACCTGTGAGTGCGATCCCGTTCACGTGCGTTCGCCTGATACCGCTGCCGGATCGGCTGAGGTGCTTCCTTTCTTCTTTTGCACTGCTTCGGTTGTAAAAACTCCATACTTTAAACGTTATAAAATCAAACTGAAACAAGTGTCAAAGTGAACTAATTTCTCGATGCTCGAAACATGTGTGCGAGGCTCGGCTAATGGGACCACACACGAACAGATGGCCGCATTTCCTGCAAAATCTTCGCCAACTACCCAAAGCATTCGTCGTGCGAATTAAAGCAAAATTAATCCGAACTTATAATAGCCTTTGGGTGCCAAGACCCTTGCGTTTACGCGACTTGCTTTTGCGTGGATTTGCGCTTGTACGTCGATGAACCCATTTAAACGGAAGTCGTTAAAATTTCCCTTAGCAGCTAATTTACGCACTCTCGAGGATTTGCACCTTTTGCTTTGTTGGCGTAGGGCGGGTGGGACCTTTTCAAATCGTCCAATTTTTCGAAAACTGGCCGGCTTTTGCCGCCAGATGTTCTAATTACTTCAACAGATACACGTTTGTGATCCATTTTAATGTCTTTAACAGATCCTTCCCTTGTGAAATGACAATTTACGATTATAATTTTACGATTTCAAATCGGTTTTCAAGGAATTCTATTTCCCAGATCCCTCCATGGCTTCAGACTATCATTTCTTTAGTACTAACGCGATACCTGGATTTTCTAAAAAACCTTCGGAGCGTTTTCTAGACTTATTCATATAAATCCCATGATGGTAAAGAGGACAGTATAGGAACCAACATCCCCCCTCCCTTTACACTTTATGACGTCACACGTACTACGCTGTGATTGGCTGTGCTATTTTGTGGCGGAAAATTTGAATTTGTGTGAGAGATTTGAATTTCTGAATTGTCGTATGTCTGTCATTGTGTGTCGATTTCTTTTACACCTTGTATATTTAAAGTGACCCAGTCAATTACAGTACAGTGTGATTGCAAAATGGCCTCAGGAACAGAATCGACGCAAATTGGGAGAAAGTTCAAAAATTTAAATCTCCCGCACAAATACAAATTTACAGCACCAAAGTCGCTCACATTCTGTAATTTAAATCTCAAATTTACCGCCACCAAATGGCAGAGCCAATCACAGCGCAGTACGTATTACGTCATAAATGTAGAGGGGATGGCAAATTGGAACGAAAGAGATATGTGTGACCGGATAAATTGTCCTCAACTACCATCCCCATTTTCGACCCGGAACGTGCAACCGGAATGTCCTAGCATTGAATGGAACCTTCGTCTGTGCTTCAGCGACTCTGACCGGGCACGGCAGTTGGATAGACGTCGGCCGGGGGCTTGGCTTCACCGCCCGGACCGTGATGATAATAAAAAAAAAACAAGGGAACGGAATATAAGACTACACCACAGTGCTGAGGAGGAGGGTTATTAGATTGGCATGTCTCGGGGCGGGGGATACAACAAAGTGATGTATAGATCTAAGGCGCTTTGTGTCTATGGGTTAAGTGGAAACACCTGGTGGAGATGTTGCCCCTAGGTGAACTTCGCCCTTTAGATTTACAGCTAATAAAGACGTTATTATTATTATTATAGAAGAGTTCCACTGGCTCACAAAAAAAAAGACTTAATTAGAGATTCTAGCGTCTTTCCAGAAGTGTCTCGGTCCATTAATTGTAAAAGCGTTCCAGGCACTTTAGAGGCTCTAGAAAGCACTTGATAACCATTTTAAATACGTTACAGTTGTGCGCATTCCTGAGCACAATCTAAGTTTCTAGGCCTTCTCTCTCCTTCCTAGATCTTCTCAGGCCCTAGCCAGAACTGTTGAGGTCTTTTACCTATGCTAGAATTTTCTAGGCGTTGACCAAGGCTTTTTGTGTAATTTCAAGAGGTCATCCACTTCATATGGTAGATACCTTGCTAGCATTCAAGACCTTTTTCATACTAGCTCTCGTAAATATGCAAAGAGTCTAATGGTCTTCAAAGCCTTTTAAACAAATTGAAGCCCGCAAGACCTTTTTCAGATGTTTTTCCATTTCCTACAAGAGCCTCTTCACAGAGCTCTAAAGGAAGTAATAAATATGGGCTTACTCTCTTTTAATCTACATAATTTTATTAAAAAATAAATGAAAAAACAATCATTTTACAAGTAGCTAATTTAAGCATTTCTGCTATATAAAATTTGTAAAAAACGAATCAAACTTTTGAGGTACAGTCTATCAATCACTTTCGTCCGACGTCATATACTCGTCGAGGTTTCTGGCCGGATATTTCGTCTGCTTGGCATCGTTTCCGTCGTTCGCGCTAACCTTGTAGCCGTCTCTTATAAAACTTATCTCCTTCGATGACAAATTGTACAGCGGATTTGCAATATTCGGAATCATCTGTTTTCTGAAATGTTCTTTCATACTCTGCCAAGTTCTTTCGCCTGGCAAACTTTCCTCCATCTGCACCCAAAATTTACGACCCCGTAACTGGTAATATCCTTGATGCTTAATGATGTAGTTTAGAATTAGCTTCTCCTCTTTTATCGTGTATGGGGGGCGGTATCCTGACATCGTGGATGTTGAATAAAATCTGCGACAGAAAGAAGCATGTACTATAAGACCTTTGAAACGATTATTTCTAGGTCCATTTGCGGCCAAGCCAGAAATTGAACACGAAGACTTAGTGATGTAACAACCGTCAAACACTCGCGGGAACAAACAAATGATCTGAGGGTTTAGTGTCCCGATATAGTAGAAGTTAAGGTTACCTTTTATCTTTGAGATGTTGCTCTTAAACAGAGCACTCACAGCTCATCTATTTATTTAGGAAACAGATAACAACTGGAGGAAAAGACGCAAAAGTAAATATGTGGGTCACTTACCTCTTAGTAACTTGCCAGCATCGGAAATGAAGCAGAAATGAAAGAATTTATGCGTGGGATTGGGTAGGGAACAGTGAAATTGTCGAGATTGCAAAAAAAACGCCTTGGCGCCTTCGAATAAAGAACCCTTTGTGGAGGACAAATTCAAAATTGAATTGAGGTTATGTCAAACTGACAGCAGTGGATAATGTACCGGCGAGTGCTCGTTTCTGATTGGTGGAATTCATTTTCAAACTGCAAGGTGCAACGGTCAAGCAAACGGTTTCTGAAATTTTTTCCGTAAAATGGGCCCTACTCCTTCGCATTAGTTTTTTGATTGAGTGCCACAACTGAAAGCCAAAATGGAGGACTTTGTCAGAATGGAAAAGATCGGGGAAGGCACCTACGGTGTCGTTTACAAGGCTCGCAATAAGAAGACCGGCAAGCTCGTTGCCATGAAGAAAGTTCGGTAAGTTCACCAGCAACGTCAGTTCCTCCCCAATACACTTTCGTCGTGCAGACTCGAAGGCGAAGACAACGGCGTACCCTCGACGTCGATTCGCGAGATTTCGCTCTTGCAAGAGCTGCGCCATCCCAACATTGTGGCCCTGGACGACTTTGTCATGGACGAGGCGCGTATTTATCTAATATTCGAGTTTCTATCGATGGACCTGAAGAAGTACCTCGACAAACTGCAGAACGACCTGATGGAACCAAAGCTCGTTCAGAGTTACCTGTACCAAATTAACGAGGCGATCTTATTCTGTCACCAAAGGCGGGTGTTGCATCGCGACTTAAAGCCGCAAAACTTGCTCATTGGCGTTGACGGGTCGATTAAGGTAAGACGATCGTTTAAGGGTACTTGTAAGAGAGGAAAAATACTTGTAGGTGGCCGATTTTGGACTGGGTCGCGCCTTCGGCGTGCCCGTACGCGTTTACACGCACGAGGTGGTCACGTTGTGGTACCGCGCGCCCGAAATACTGCTCGGATCTGCGCGCTACTCGTGCCCGATCGACGTCTGGTCGTTGGGGTGCATCTTCGCGGAGATGGCGACGAGACGTCCGCTCTTCCAGGGCGACTCCGAGATCGATCAGCTGTTTAGAATCTTTCGCGTGCTGAAGACGCCAACGGAGGAGCTGTGGCCCGGCGTTTCCGCCCTGCCCGATTACAAGGCCACCTTTCCGACCTGGACGAACTACGGCCTGGAGGGTCAAGTCAAGTGCATGTCGCCGAGCGGAATCGATCTGTTGAAGCAGATGCTGATTTACGATCCGGCGAAACGGATTACGGCCAAACAAATGGTTTCGCATCCGTACTTTGCCGATTTAGATTTGTCTGTTAAACCGCAGATTCCAAAGTAATTGCGACTGTGCCGCTATTCTTGAAGTCTGGCAGTCAATTTCGTTTTTAAGTGTAGATATTGTATAGATTTTATTGTTGTCGACTTTATCCTCCCCTAGGATATGACTTGCAGTCCAGTTTTTAATTTATACCATCACAGATCTGGTTATCATAATTGTTCACGCCCATTATTGATATTTCTCCGACATACAGGGTCTTTTAGGTAACTGGCAGGTGAATAAGAACATCCTATAGATGAATCTTTAATAGTAAAATTAGATAAATTTTTTAGATAATACAATTTCAATTGTTGTTTTTTATGTAGTATTATTTATTACAAAATATACATTTCTAATGTGCATAAACGTCATTTTTGTAGATTCAAATGCAACATTTCAATTCACTTTAATCACTAGAATGCAGTGTTGCATTTTTAAAACCTTTTGTTTCATGTCACTATCAAATATAATATCAGAAATTTGTAGGGGTGAATACTACCCAGGAAAGTAGGGTTCCATGGTTCTTTATTACCAAAAGTCCTTTAGCTGAACATGTTTACTAAAAAATGTAGCACTGGGTACAGTGCAGAAATTATTGATAGTAGGGAGAACGTGGCATCAGTTGTTCTGGGGGTAGGATTTCTTTCTCCCCTATGAGTTGGGCTTTGATATTTATATTGTGTGTGTCTCTGTATCTTACTCCCAAAGAGAGCTACTGTAGAAAAATCTGAGCATACTCTCCGGCTGCAATTCCCTGATCTGCTGGCGGGGTGCTATTGCAGAATTTTACCCAGGTCTTGTAATCTCTGTTTGATGACAGCAGCTGGTGCGTTCCACTGTCTCTTCTTCCTTGAAGCAGAGGTGACATGTGTTGTCCTCATCTACCCCAATTTTGTTGATATGATCTTTCAAGGGGCCTTTATAAGAGCCTGATCCATATGCGCCTACAAACGTATTCATAGGTAAGCATTTATGATTGTTTAAATTCGCTCTTAGATACTGTTTAATACACGTCTGGAGGAACCTCGGAAGGGGGGGGGTTAGGGGATACCTTTAAAGTTTCAAGCTTTTTTGTGAGTGTATGAGCACTTTTAAACCTCGAACAGTTTCCAAATCTTTCAGTGCTATCTGTGGCTATTATTTCGCTAGGCTGTTTTTGAAATGCGTACCTATTGTTTAAGGGCTGAACCTAGTTTTTATAAGATGCTGTAGCTAATATTCGCCCAAGGAGTCTCTTGCGAACATTCAAGAGATATTATGAGCCTTTAAATGTGTCCCCAAGAAGTTTTTTTTAAACTAATTTATGGTTTTTGGGGATCCTTTTACGTTACGTTATTGGTTTCTTTAGCGTCTGTAATTTTTTAGGTCTTGAAAGTCCACAAAAGGTATTAGATAATGAATAGACTATCGCGGCGCCTTTTTTTAGAGACTTCATTTTTGAAAACATTATACAGGGTGCAACATAAGTGTTACAAACTGATGTTCCGAAATCTCAATAATTCTTTCTGAAAATGCCTGCACTGTTTTCACTTTGTTTAATTTGGTGTGCGTTCCGCTGTCCAGTCCGACCTGGAGACGGTCCACGCTACGCCGGTAGCATCGATTGAAAGTTTATGGAACGCACGCAAACCGTCGAAAGGTGCGCGCCATTTCTAGACGATAATAAAATTAGTAACGAGGTCGGCGAGTGGACGAAAAATTAAGAAGGTCATTTCGTCCAAAAGTTTCCGTCGCGGGGGTGGTGTCCTCTGGCCGGGCGAACGACGACAACGACGACGACGCACCGTGTGCGCGCCGGTTTTTAAAATAGCATGCTTTGAAAAGGCGCTAGTCGTGAAAACAAAATCGCGCTAATTTCGATCAAAAAAACGTCACCGAAGAATATTTCCCTTTTCCCGTAAAACTAGGAGGTTTTTTTTCCCCGGATCGTAAGAGAGTTGCGCGCGCGCAGCTGACGTCACACGAGCCAGGCGTGCGAAAGAGTGAAAAGGACGGGAGAGCTGTAGTAGGGTTGTGTTTCACGTCGCGGCGGCCATATTGTTAATAGTTCGTAAAAGGGATTTTTCGTGGTGGTGTTTGAAGTGTCGTGTGTTTTTCCATTTATCAAATAAGCGCAATGTCCGAAAGGGAGGATAACGTTTACAAGGCGAAGCTCGCGGAGCAGGCTGAGCGGTACGACGGTAAGTGTCTCCTTTATCGATTCGCCGAAACCTCGGCGTTTTTGTGGCCGAAATTCTGACGCCACCACCACCGCGGTCCTTCACGTCCTCGCTCCTCATCGGTGGTGGCGGCGGCGGCTTCTTGCTGTGAGGTGCGGGCGAGATTCTCGATTGATTTTTTCATCTCCAATCGGGCCCTCATCTTTTATTAATGAAATTCCCATTGTCCGCACATAACCTGTACAAGTTTTTTTTTAGCAGGTCAGGCGAATTATTTAATAATTCCCACTGCTGGTATGAGTCATACAGGTGGTTATCTAACTAAAAATGCCTTGACCTCTTTTGGGGGTGGTTGTGTGAATGTTGTGAAAACGGGGGAGGTTGGTGGGGAAACACTGGATCAATATCTTCGCCCCGCGCGCGTTTTTGAAATCTGGCGCCTTGTAAACGTTTTCAACTTGCAGAGATGGTCGAGGCCATGAAGAAGGTGGCCAAGCTGGATTTGGAGCTGACGGTCGAGGAACGCAATCTCCTCTCGGTCGCGTACAAGAACGTGATCGGGGCACGACGCGCCTCGTGGCGAATCATCTCGTCCATCGAGCAGAAGGAGGAGAACAAGGGAACGGACGACAAACTGGAAATGATCCGGCAGTACCGCGGGCAAGTCGAGAAGGAGCTGCGCGACATATGCTCCGACATCCTAACCGTACTCGACAAGCACTTAATTCCGGCGGCGAACACGGGCGAGTCCAAAGTGTTCTACTACAAAATGAAGGGCGACTACCACCGGTATCTCGCCGAGTTCGCGACGGGCAACGATCGCAAGGAGGCCGCCGAGCACTCGCTCGTCGCCTACAAGGCGGCCAGCGACATCGCGATGACCGAGCTACCGCCCACGCATCCGATCCGATTGGGACTCGCGCTTAACTTCTCAGTGTTCTACTACGAGATCCTCAACAGTCCGGACCGAGCGTGTCGGCTCGCGAAGGCGGCGTTCGACGACGCGATCGCCGAGCTCGACACCCTCTCGGAGGAGAGCTACAAGGACAGCACGCTCATCATGCAGCTCCTGCGGGACAATCTCACGCTGTGGACGAGCGACATGCAGGGTGACGGTAAGTCGAAACGATGGGCCGTTGTACTGTGCGCGCCCAATTTTATTATATTTTTTTGTCGTTATCAGGCGGAACTGCAAATGACGGTGTTGCTTTGGCAGGTGAGGCGGAACCAAAGGAGCAGCTGCAGGATGTCGAGGACCAGGACGTCTCGTAACTGCGCGACGAGAGGAACGGGTCGTGTCGTAAGAACTCGAGTGTTGTGCAGTGCTGCTTGGGCATCGCCCACGGACCTCAAAGAGGTGCAGTGTTGTATCACTCCCAGTACATAATGTATTATTATTATTATTAATTATTACCGACTAATATTATCTATAGCTGTAAACTTTACTTCTGTATTTACGTGCGCAAGGAGTGCCTGGGTGAATGTTCTTCGGGGACACAAGTTGTAGTAATCGTTTCGGTTCAGTTTGCATATTCCGCTGATAATAATACGGGGGCGTTTTTACAGAATTTCCAACAAAAGAAAATGAAAGTATATATATCACAATTTTCGTAGGTGTCGTTTGCATTCCTATTCCCAGTACTTAAAAAGAAAACTGTAGAAGAAAATTAGAGACGCTTTGTCCGAGTTCCGTTTTTATGTAGTCTATATAGCAATAAGTTCGGAAAAGCACATTGTATTTGCCGTCGCCAGTTTGTGTTTTAATAAAAAAAAAAGAAAAAATAATCGCAGCAACTACTCTCATTAATTGATGCATTACTATGACCAAGCTTTAGGGAGTTTTCCGAATGGAACTTCGGCGCGCCGCCGGCAGAGGCCGCCAAAGTTTCATTCTCCGCTCGGTTTGGCTGTTAGAGACATATTTTATGTATGTACTTTTTGCATTTTTATTACTCGTGCGTTTGATTGTAAAATGTGTAGAATGGATTAACAAGAAAAAGGATTTAATTGTAAAATTACCATAAAAATTATAAAAACTGCGATACCTCTTTTTATTTCCCTCATCTATCCAACCTAATTAATCGGAAAGATTTTTCTGTTGTAGTGACCTGGGCCAACTTGGAATTTGCGCTCAAGGGCAGAAACTAAATGGGTTTCCTTTTGGTGTTCAAATTCGCGTGAAGATAGGGTCAATGAAAAACACTGTAAAATATTAATTAAAAAATTTCTATTAAACAAATACACCTTTAGTTTATGCAATCCTGTTACATTAATTTTTTTCTATTTGTAGCTTTTTGTTTTGCACTTACATTTAGAAGTATCAGGAGATCATATAATCATTTCTGGCAGAATTTAGAATGGGAAAGTGTCAATTCAAAGTAATTAATTGGAAAGAATGTTGTGTTTAAGAGACCTGGACCAGCACCATACAAGCCTTTGGTGTTTATTGGACCACGAAAATAGGGTCGGTGAAAAGCACTGTAAAATGTTATTGATTAAACAATGTACAAGTTTTACAGAAAGAAAAATTGTACATGAACTTTTTGTGCACCTGGTGACCCTAATAACCTTCAAAAACCAAGAGACTAACATTACTCGAAAATTTGTTACAATTTTGTTTTTGTTCTTCTTCTTGTTACCAGGAGAACATGATATAGGGAGTTTTTCACCTACATCTTGCATTTCTGTGATCCTGATTCGAAGATTTGTACCGGGAGAACATGAAAGATGTGCGGTTATTAACTTTTTCCTACATATACCTCTAGTTCCCTGTGGTCTTTATGTATGATGCTTGCACTGGCGCATTTAATTTTTCACTCCTAGAGTTCCCAAGATGACATTTAACAAATTAGGACGATTGAATATTCTTGGGAAATTCTGGAATGTGCAGAAAGAACTGTTGGGGTAAATTTACCAGTGAACAAATGACGGACTGGTCCTCCTTGCATTTACGAAAAATCTAATCTCCACCTCCGAGTATGATACTAAATGCTGCACCTGTTTTTTTTAATAAACATTATTTATTTGAATCAAACTACACATATCATCCCCTAACAACCCTCTCCAATTTTTTAATGTTTTACGTATTTTATGGTGGGGTTATACAATATTAATTACCATTAGGAAATAGCCAATAGAAACAAAGGTACGCTTTTGTTTGTTAGCGACGCATAATAAATCTTTTGTTTCTATTGGTTTTTTCTTAATGATTTAATATGATTGTAGAAAGTCGTGAGCCGGGATGTGTGCGCAAGTGGCCACCAAAGGCAACTTGTAGGCATCTGATATCATCCAAGAACTCGTCCCGCAGGATTCTTCAGTTATACGTTCCCTAGCATAGCAGAGGAAGCAAGTTTTCCTTTTGGAAATGGGAAGAACACTGCAGAGGAAGAGAAAAAGAATTTAATTGAAGAATTACTAAACGCTTCAATTCCAAATAGCCCAAAAGATATTTGTGTTTTAGGAACGTGGACCGATTTAGAATTGCAACAGCGAAAATAATTTGAACAAGGACACACTGCCTCTTATTTTAATTCAATTCAGCATGAGAAACATGCACTAATAGAATGTTATTGATTAAAAAAAATTATAATATTCTACAATTAGCAGGTTTATTTTAATTTCCAACCCGAATTTACCTATCCTGTTTGATTTTGGGTGACGCCAGAAAATGGTTCTGATTTTATTTCGTACCGCCTTTGGGAAATCTTGTTTTCTTTACATGGGACATGCGCTCGGCGACTGCGCCGTCCCACCTCGCCCCCGGCAAACTATATAATCACATAAGGGAAATTTTTTTCTTTTGAAAAATTCCTCGTAGGCACCTTTAAGCGCTACTAGATGGTGCCCACAGATTTTCACTGCGACGTTTCGTCTTTGCGAGAAACCATCATCAACTTAATAGTTTTATATGGCCCGTAAAAAGTACATACTTTATTGGGTAGGATGTTTCTCCCAATCGGGCGATCCCTGGCTCGCTCGTTCGTGAATTGGCAATGTAGGCCGAAAAATAAGGAAGCCCCTTTTGACATCTCGGTTAGTTATGAACCGAATTGCATGGAATTCAAACTGGGCATAGCTTTAGCGATATAATACGCAATGACAAAAGTTGGGCCTAATTAATTCAACATTCACATTGCCTTTTTGCAAATTTATTTATCGGCGTCCATGAATTTTTGTTGCAATATAGCGAACACTTATGTCGATTCAGGTGCCGGATAAAAGGGGGGGGGGCAAGTGCCCCAGGCGGCAATTTGGGAAGAATGGCGGCAAAATACCAAATTTGCCCCCGTGCTAAAAACTTCTACCTAGATCCGGCACTGTATCGATTGTAGGATGATTCGCCCCCGGCGATTCCGCTCCCGTAGGATTAGCCCCATAAGATTTATTAATCCTCGGAGGTAACAGGGCCAGCAGTTTATAAAATGAATTTTGTTTAATTCTTATTTGTTTAATATGTTACCAAACCAACCTATTACTTGCGAGGGTTAATAAATGTTATGGGGCGAATTTTTCGGAAGAGAATTTGTTGGGGGCGAAGGGATCAGGCAATTCTACATCATATAGCATCCTTGATTTAAAGGAACCAACAATGAATTAAATTGACATTTTATTAACGCCTACTAAAAATTTAATGACAAGTTTTTTTTTACTTGTATAATAAACAATTTTTAACATTTTGGTGTAGGAGGCGTTGACAAAATAATTCAATGATGGTTCCATTAAATGACATACCTAATAAAGAATCATATTGTGCCATTCAACATTGTATTCCTAGGTAATAAAGAATGCTACTCAATACTTTTTTTGTTGATGATGGTTTCTCAAAGACGAAACGTCGCCGTGAAAATTTACGAACACCATCTTTTAGAGCCGATGAGGAAATGTTATTTGTAAAGAAAAACCAATGTTTTGTTTGCAAGAATCTTCGGAACTGATTGGACACACGTGGTGGGACGCCATACGTCCCCCCTCTCCAACCAACACATCCATATTACATTTTTGCGTTGGGTTGAAAATAAAGGCGCCAGATGGCACTTTGTAAATGGTCGATATCATTTTGGAAAGAAACCCACCAGACATTCCCTAATTTATTATTTAATATTTACATTTATTTAGATAACCGGGTACTCGCTCACAATACAAATTCTACAAACTGTAAACTAAAAACATGTAAAAAATGTACAAAAAATTACCGTTAAGAAAGATCACATACGGTGCCATTTTAAACTAAATCTCTTTGTTCTAACGCATATACGAAGAGGTAAATATACAAAAGTATACAAATTAATACAAACCGATTTTGAAAAAATAGAGCTTACGAGAAATACTGGATAGTTCAACTTATTACGAGACAGTCTTAAAGTACGTGTCATGTAACTCTTACATAAATAATTTCGTACAATCAACAATTAATTCTGCCGTGTAAGAATAAATCGTCAACAAAGGGCACTTTGTCCTTACGTGCACATTTGACACACGAAATACGCTTACAAACTATATCACACTTCTAAATGTTTGGATGTAGCTAATGACTTGAACGGTTCCGACCACATTCTTCTTAAATCGCCCTGAGAAAGAGAGCAAACGTTATTCGACTGCCGTACTCGCGTCCACTCACCTTCAGATAAGCCATGACGAGGAGCGGTAACAGCGTAAAAGGTACAAGATAGAGTAGTGCAGGTTGAGCCGCCTTAAATACTTCGGAACTAATCGTAGCGGTAAGCAGCCCCAAAAAATACCCCAGCAACGAACAGTGAAAATAGGTCAGACGCGAGCCCGCGAATCCCTGCGCCTTTTTATACGCGTCGTAGCGTAAGACGAAGCACAGCAGTAGACCGGGCATCACGATGTCACCTAGACCTGCAATTTAACGGGATTAGCTCACGGAACTCGTGGAGTTTCTTCCAGACCACTCTCACTTTTAACGAGGCGCTTAAGTGCCCCTTTAACTCTTTAAGACCTTTTTTCAGTAGACTTCAGTCTTTTAACAGGGTTTAAGGGTCCTGATATACCTGTTTGAAGTGAGCAGCCAAATTGCCGAAGAACACCCTTCTTTGGTCAAAAATATACATCTTCATGTTTTGAGAAGCATGAGAATTTGAATCCTTTTTTGCGTGGGGGTTAAACGAATTTTTTTGGACGTTAAGGGCAGATTTCACCCCCTTAGACGGTCGCTAAATGAATGCAAATTTTTTGGGGGGTAGGAAACATGAATTTTATTGTTTTGGGAAACATGAGAATTTGAATCCTTTTTTGCGTGGGGGTTAAACGAATTTTTTGTACCTTAAGGGTAGATTTCACACCTTCAGACGGTCGCTAAATGAATGCCAATTTTTTGGGGGGTAGGAAACATGAATTTTATTGTTTTGCGAAACCTGAGAATTTGAATCCTTTTTGCGTGAGGGTTAAACGAATTTTTTTCTACGTTAAGAGCAGATTTCACCCCCTTTGACAGTCGCTAAATGAATGCCAATTTTTTGGGGGGTAGGAAACATGAATTTTATTGTTTTGGAAAGCATGAGAATTTGAATCCTTTTTTGCGTGAGGGTTAAACGAATTTTTATGTAAGTTAAGGGCAGATTTCACACCCTCAGACGGTCGCTAAATGAATGCCAATTTTTTGGGGGGGGTAGGAAACATGAATTTTATTGATTTGGGAAGCATGAGAATTTGAATCCTTTTTTGCGTGGGGGGTTAAACGAATTTTTTTGTACGTTAAGGGCAGATTACACACCCTCAGACGGTCGCTAGATGAATGCCAATTTTTTGGGGGGTAGGAAACATTAATTTTATTGTTTTAGGAAGCATGAGAATTTGAATCCTTTTTTTCGTGGGGGTTAAACGAATTGTTTGTACGTTAAGGGCGGATTTCACCCCCTCAGACGGTCGCTAAATTAATGCCAATTTTTTGGGGGGTAGGAAACATGAATTTTATTGTTTTGGGAAGCATGAGAATTTGAATCCTTTTTTGCGTGGGGGTTAAACGAATTTTTTTGTACGTTAAGGGCAGATTTCACACCCTCACACGGTCGCTAAATTAATGCCAATTTTTTGGGGGGTAGGAAACATGAATTTTATTATTTTGGGAAGCATGAGAATTTGAATCCTTTTTTGCGTGGGGGTTAAACGAATTTTTTTGTACGTTAAGGGCAGATTTCACACCCTCACACGGTCGCTAAATTAATGCCAATTTTTTGGGGGGTAGGAAACATGAATTTTATTATTTTGGGAAGCATGAGAATTTGAATCCTTTTTTGCGTGGGGGTTAAACGAATTTTTTTGTACGTTAAGGGCAGATTTCACACCCTCACACGGTCGCTAAATTAATGCCAATTTTTTGGGGGGTAGGAAACATGAATTTTATTATTTTGGGAAGCATGAGAATTTGAATCCTTTTTTGCGTGGGGGTTAAACGAATTTTTTTGTACGTTAAGGGTGGATTTCATCCCCTCAAATGGTCGCCAATTTGTTGGGAGGTAGGAAATATGATCTTGGATTTTGAAACCATTTTTGTGTGGGAGACGAATTTTTTTAGTACATTAGGGGCGGATTCCACCCTCAGACTGTCACTAAGTGAATAGCTATATATATCCTTCTAGTAATTACAGCCATGGCTGCCACACTGGTCATTTTTTGAATATTTCTATTTAAATTAGGTCACTGGACATTTGGGGGAGGGGGGGGGGGGGTCTATGGCAATTTGGCTGCTAACTTCACACAGGTGTCTCCAAGTTCATTTAAGAGTCTTCAAAGGTTTTTGATCCAAGGGACTTCTACTTTATGAAGACTTAGATTTTTAACAGCAGATGAACTCATTTTTTCGGTACCCTACCCTAAAGGGGGCCCTCTCACCTAGCATACTGAAGTGTCCCGTATTGTGGATGCTGGGGAATACCAATTTGCCGGGCAAACTCAGCTTGGGTGCCTCTTTCACGACACCCCCCAGGTGAAGCTTTCTCGCAACCATACCCACCGGGTTGTCGGCGGGCCGTGTCGCCACCTATAACCACAGTTTAATAATCGGAGAACTACACGCGTCAACTCACCTTCACCATGACGTTCGTACTAAAAATATAAGAGGAGAAGAACACCCAAAATACGTCGTAGATCAGCAGCCCGGTCAGCAGCAGAGTCGACACCTTCAGGCTGGGAAGCCGCACGAACGCTATAAACGCGACGCACAGTCCCATACCCATCGCGTCCATCAGCAGCCAGTGACCTGCAACAATTCGTTTAGCCGATCGCCATCGGGCGCGAGCACTCACCCGTCAGCACCCAAATGCAAACAATAAACACCGACAGGGAGAACGAGAGAATTTCCGCGCCCGTAAACCTACCGCACATCCCGAACGAGATCTTATTTCCGTCGGAGCACGGTCTCGTGATGTACTGACACATCGGCAGGAGGAGAAACGCGAGGGCGACGGTCGCGATGATCGCCGTGCAGATCGCGAAGAGCATCTGCATCGAGTCGAAGAAGAAGAACATCACCAGCAACGAAATGCTCGCGCCCAACGGTAGACAGAGCGCCTGCATCGTGTCCAACGTCTGCACGTTATTGTCGGGCTGACCTTGCGCTCCCGGGTGCAGCAGACAGTTCGTACTGCCGCTGGCCCGATCGCGCGCCTCTTGCTCCATGTTAAGGCTCCGAAACGACCCGTATACGATCAGCAGCATCGAGATCAGGAAGGTCGAGACCCGACTCGAGTCCATTATCGAGTATGCCCACTGGTACTCGACCGTTTGCGTTTGGCTGTCGGTCATTTTTTAGCGAAGGAGTATCTAAACGTTAGGGTTCCATGACCTCAAATCAGTTGAGCTAAAAAAAAACTTAAAGCCCAGGCCTCCTCTCACCTTCTGAAAGGTTTCGTGGATTTACGAAGGGACGAGCTCGCTGTATAACGAAACATTACAGAAATTTCGCGGACGACGATTTTGAAAATGTTATTTTTATGGCCCGCATGAACGGTTATGTATACTTCATGTCGCCATATTGAAATTGAGGAGAAAGCCTTTCCCTTGTATCATTTAGAAATGTAACAACCTCCTTAGAAGCAAAACCGTTCAAAGCATCGTTAACGGGTTTAATTAATGAATCGACTTTAATGGGCGAACCCACGATCTCCACGGTTTTAATTATTGCAATTGAATGATTCAAAAACGCCTGAATGGTAGACAACTTAACATACACGCTTGCACTGCAGAGATCTTATGATCTAGTTCACAAGAAGAGGGCTCTGACCCTATTGGCTTCTGCCTGCCTGCAATGTCCGAATGCTCCAGGTCAAAGCAGATGTGAAAACGGTCGAAGAATGAGTCAAGAAAACTTGAAGAAGGCGCTCGAAGCGGACGCCAAAAGGATGAGGAAGCAAACAGCTCAAAAAGGTGTCAAAAAAGTTCAAAGAGGGAGCTCTGAAGGCGAAAAGCAGGCGTTGACAAATACAAACAAAAAAGTCTTAGGAACGCTTAGAAAGGTCGGAACGAGGCATGAAGACCGCTCAAAGGAGGCGTAGGACGAGAAAACTTGAAGGTCTAAGTGGGGTGAAAGGGACCCTCAAAAAGAAAAGAAAAAGGTGCCGGCTTTTGGGTTTTGATGGGTTCCCCCCTCTAGCGTTAGACTTGAAGCACCTTAGCGAGGGTTCGTTCACAGTCATCATTAGATGAACAAGGGCAACCTTTTGCTCTTTCTTCAACACTCTCCATTCCTTACTGTTGAAGCAGGACTCGCTTCGTGCTCCTGAGCTTACCAAAATGAATGCGTTCTGTATGCTTCTAAAATCGCCCTTTGAGCATCCCAGGAACATGGGGGTACTTTTTCTAACTTTAGACAGTTATCAAAAGGAAGGTGTGATTTTCCTCTGGGCTGCCGACACTTTTTGCTTCAAGAAAAACTTCGTTCACCGTATCTTTTTATTAAACAATTAAATACCCCCCAAACTATAATATCATACATCTATCACCCCTACTTTGACAAAATTCTAATCACACCCTCGACATCCCCATTTAAATGCTCGAGCAGCTTCCTCACGAATGCGGGGTCATCCTTAAATCCCATCTCCTGCAGCCTCTTGAGTCCCTCCTCAACCTTTTGCTCGGCCGACTGGGCTTGGGAGCAACCGGCTTCATTGCCGCCTGCGGCGTTTTGTTGTTTACCTAAAAACCCCGCGGCCAGGTTGCGTATAGTCTCGGCGACCTGCTCGCCCTGCGGTGACGCCATGAGGGGCTCCCTAAAAAATTCAACCATTAACAGAGCGATCGATTGGCGACGACCCCACGTACAGATACTGCCGCGCCAAAGCGTGCAAACTTTTCAAGTCGAAGGTCCCGGAATAGGGACAGCCATTCGCGCTTTGATTAGGCTCGCTGTCTACGTACAGCACCTTCGTGTTGCCCATTTCGGTAAAGGCGGTAATTAAATCCTCATCGCCAGTAATTCGAACGTAATCGCCATCGGTATCTGGGGAAAACGCGGGGAGTAGGAGCTTTATTTCTGGGTCAATGTACGTACCTTTCCATGTCAGCTTGAAATTGGCACCGCGAAGATTGGGGAAGATCGTCTGGATCTTCTCGTTGATGAAGAAGTAGTTGCTGCACACCGACTCATCGACGGACAATCGACGCGTCTCGTTTACACTTCTATTAAACACCTTCAAACTTACTTGCGCCATTGCGAAATCTACAAAGAAACGTCTTCGAGAGCAAAAGAAATTTGCTTATCTTTCGTTTGCACTTTGCAACAAACCTGAACTGATGAGGAATTGAATTCTCGCGCCGCTTTTATACGCGATATCCCAAGGAAATGTCGTCCTGAAACCCGAACTTTTGCCTTTAAAAGTGAAATTTCGTTGTTGAACACGACCTTTTTGGCTTTTCATACAGAATTTTGACTCTCAACAGGAAAAATTGTACGTTCCCAAGGAAATGTCGTCCTGAAACCCGACCTTTTGCCTTTAAAAGTGTAATTTCGTTGTTGAACACGACCTTTTTGGCATTTCATACAGAATTTTGACTCTCAGCAGGAAAAATTGAACATTCCCAAGGAAATGTCGTCCTGAAACCCGAACTTTTGCCTTTAAAAGTGAAATTTCGTTGTTGAACACGATCTTTTTGGCTTTTCATACAGAATTTTGACTCTCAGCAGGAAAAATTGAACATTCTCAAGGAAATGTGGTCCTGAAACCCAAAGTTTTGCCTTTAAAAGTAAAATTTCGTTGTTGAACACGACCTTTTTGGCTTTTCATACAGAATTTTGACTCTCAACAGGAAAAATTGTACGTTCCCAAGGAAATGTCGCCCTGAAACCCGAATTTTTGCCTTTAAAAGTAAAATTTCGTTGTTGAATACGACATTTTTGGCTTTTCATACAGAATTTTGACTCTCAGCAGGAAAAATTGAACATTCCCAAGGAAATGTCGTCCTGAAACCCGAATTTTTGCCTTTAAAAGTAAAATTTCGTTGTTGAATACGACATTTTTGGCTTTTCATACAGAATTTTGACTCTCAGCAGGAAAAATTGAACATTCTCAAGGAAATGTGGTCCTGAAACCCAAAGTTTTGCCTTTAAAAGTAAAATTTCGTTGTTGAACACGACCTTTTTGGCATTTCATACAGAATTTTGACTCTCAGCAGGAAAAATTGAACATTCCCAAGGAAATGTCGTCCTGAAACCCGAACTTTTGCCTTTAAAAGTGAAATTTCGTTGTTGAACACGACCTTTTTGGCTTTTCATACAGAATTTTGACTCTCAACAGGAAAAATTGTACGTTCCCAAGGAAATGTCGCCCTGAAACCCGAATTTTTGCCTGTAAAAGTAAAATTTCGTTGTTGAACACGACATTTTTGGCTTTTCATACAGAATTTTGACTCTCAGCAGGAAAAATTGAACATTCCCAAGGAAATGTCGTCCTGAAACCCAAAGTTTTGCCTTTAAAAGTAAAATTTCGTTGTTGAACACGACCTTTTTGGCATTTCATACAGAATTTTGACTCTCAGCAGGAAAAATTGAACATTCTCAAGGAAATGTCGTCCTGAAACCCGAACTTTTGCCTTTAAAAGTGAAATTTCGTTGTTGAATACGACCTTTTTGGCTTTTCATACAGAATTTTGACTCTCAGCAGGAAAAATTGAACACTCCCAAGGAAATGTCGTCCTGAAACCCGAACTTTTGCCTTTAAAAGTGAAATTTCGTTGTTGAACACGACCTTTTTGGCTTTTCATACAGAATTTTGACTCTCAACAGGAAAAATTGAACATTCCCAAGGAAATGTCGTCCTGAAACCCGAACTTTTGCCTTTAAAAGTGAAATTTCGTTGTTGAACACGACCTTTTTGGCTTTTCATACAGAATTTTGACTCTCAACAGGAAAAATTGTACGTTCCCAAGGAAATGTCGTCCTGAAACCCGAATTTTTGCCTTTAAAAGTAAAATTTCGTTGTTGAACACGACCTTTTTGGCTTTTCATGCAGAAATTATTTTGACTCTCAGCAGGAAAAATTGAACATTCCCAAGGAAATGTCGTCCTGAAACCCGAATTTTTGCCTTTAAAAGTAAAATTTCGTTGTTGAACACGACATTTTTGGCTTTTCATACAGAATTTTGACTTTCAGCAGGAAAAATTGAACATTCTCAAGGAAATGTGGTCCTGAAACCCAAAGTTTTGCCTTTAAAAGTAAAATTTCGTTGTTGAACACGACCTTTTTGGCTTTTCATACAGAATTTTGACTCTCAGCAGGAAAAATTGAACATTCCCAAGGAAATGTCGTCCTGAAACCCGAACTTTTGCCTTTAAAAGTAAAATTTCGTTGTTGAACACGACCTTTTTGGCTTTTCATGCAGAAAAGAATTTTGACTCTCAGCAGGAAAAATTGTACGTTCCCAAGGAAATGTCGTCCTGAAACCCGAATTTTTGCCTTTAAAAGTAAAATTTCGTTGTTGAACACGACCTTTTTGGCTTTTCATGCAGAAATTATTTTGACTCTCAGCAGGAAAAATTGAACATTCCCAAGGAAATGTCGTCCTGAAACCCGAACTTTTGCCTTTAAAAGTGAAATTTCGTTGTTGAACACGACCTTTTTGGCTTTTCATACAGAATTTTGACTCTCAGCAGGAAAAATTGAACATTCCCAAGGAAATGTCGTCCTGAAACCCGAACTTTTGCCTTTAAAAGTGAAATTTCGTTGTTGAACACGACCTTTTTGGCTTTTCATACAGAATTTTGACTCTCAGCAGGAAAAATTGAACATTCCCAAGGAAATGTCGTCCTGAAACCCGAACTTTTGCCTTTAAAAGTAAAATTTCGTTGTTGAACACGACCTTTTTGGCTTTTCATACAGAATTTTGACTCTCAGCAGGAAAAATTGAACATTCCCAAGGAAATGTCGTCCTGAAACCCGAACTTTTGCCTTTAAAAGTGAAATTTCGTTGTTGAACACGACATTTTTGGCTTTTCATACAGAATTTTGACTCTCAGCAGGAAAAATTGAACATTCCCAAGGAAATGTCGTCCTGAAACCCGAACTTTTGCCTTTAAAAGTGAAATTTCGTTGTTGAACACGACTTTTTGGCTTTTCATACAGAATTTTGACTCTCAGCAGGAAAAATTGAACATTCCCAAGGAAATGTCGTCCTGAAACCCGAACTTTTGCCTTTAAAATTGAAATTTCGTTGTTGAACACGACCTTTTTGGCTTTTCATACAGAATTTTGACTCTCAGCAGGAAAAATTGTACGTTCCCAAGGAAATGTCGTCCTGAAACCCGAATTTTTGCCTTTAAAAGTAAAATTTCGTTGTTGAACACGACCTTTTTGGCTTTTCATACAGAATTTTGACTCTCAGCAGGAGAAATTGTACGTTCCCAAGGAAATGTCGTCCTGAAACCCGAACTTTTGCCTTTAAAATTGAAATTTCGTTGTTGAACACGACCTTTTTGGCTTTTCATACAGAATTTTGACTCTCAGCAGGAAAAATTGTACGTTCCCAAGGAAATGTCGTCCTGAAACCCGAACTTTTGTCCTTAAAAGTGAAATTTCGTTGTTGAACACCGATACACTGCCTTTTTTTGAGCCCCGAAAAAAAAATTGTCTCAGATCGACCCGGAAAAAAAATTTTCTTATAGAATGTGGCCTGTAGAATCCATAATTTCAAACAGTTTCGAGATTGGGCTACTAGTTCAAAAGTTACAGCCCTTTGAATTTTTTTTCGAAATTCGTTTCTAGTCTATAACTTTTGATTGAGCACATACTTATAAATTTCCAACGGGCCATTATGATCTACAGGCCAGGTTGCAATCGCCACCCCCTCCCCCCCCCGTGCCAGTCCGCCCCTGTTTTCCAGAACCGTATCCCGTTTTAAACTTTTAAAAAACTTGTACCAGAAGAATATAATTAACGAGGGAGTGTTTCAGCTCCTAAAACAGTAGGAGAGCGCAAAAAAAGGTAACAAAGGGCAAGAAAGAGCAAGAGAAAGGAAGAATCCTGCAGAAAACTTATTTGGGGGGAGATATAAGGAGACCAGGAGATGATGGAAGAAGAAAGAAATAAAGCATGGAACATGGGGACGGTTGAGAGCATGACAGGGCGCGGAAGAGTAAGAGATGATTGAAGCGAGGGAGGGACAGGATAGTGCAATATGGGAGTGTGAGGCGGAAGATTAAGTTAGAAATCCGGCCGCTACCTCATTCCCGTTGTATTCGTATTACAATTAAACTGAGCAATAGGAATATTAGCGACCATGCGCCTAACGATAGGAATCCCACGTAGACCTCCGGCCTGAAGAAGTCCCAATTCCTGTGCAAAATGTTGCGTAAACTATCCGTCGGCAGCGTGAGCGGAAAATACGGCGAGAACTTCTTCAGCAGCGGATGCATGCCCTGGATCGGCCAGACGATTCCGCAGGTGAACACCATGATGAAGTAGGTGCCGGTCGTGACGAGCGCGATGGCGATTTGCGACTTGAACGCGCACGACAGGAACATGCCTGAAAATACGCGGCGATTAGCAAGCAAAGTATCGGCTGGGATTCTCAGCACCGTAGCAGATTCCGAGGATGCCGGCCAGGTAGAGGAGGATCGCCGTGAGCACCACCGAGCCCTTGATCGTCATGTTAAAGACGAGAAACGCGAACACCATCATGAAGACGATCTGCGGAAGCAGCGCGACTGCTTCGACGATGATGTGCGAGAGTATCAGCTCAATTTTGTTGATGCCGGCGACGAGGATGCGCTCGAGACCGGCCTCGTTTCGCTCCACGTACATCGCCAGAGCTGTCAGTAGTATGGATATGGTGAAGACGATTCTGAAAGGCAAAGCGATAAAGGGCCACGTTTTCAAAATGGGGACGTCATCTTACAAGGGTAAAGCTCCGGGAATTGTGAAGTCGGTGAAGTCGGTATCCATCCACTCGTACAACGAGCCCCACTGTCGGAGAAAAGACGATAATAATAATCAGCTGGTCAGCAATGTATTAGGATATCATAATATGCAAGAAAGTGGGGTTTACGAAACCTTCTTTCGTTTATGCGGCCCTGATTGACCGTTTCTGTACTCCTGGTCCTTCAAACATAAATTTGTAGCGAGACAGGACTCGGACCATGAGTTTTGTACACTTTTGCGCTTCTGATATCCTAATACAACCATATAAGTTTGTATCAGGAGATATTTACCCGCAATGGTACTTTAACGAGATCCTTTCTGAGACCGCAACTTTGCGCGTACTCATAAAGGAAGGTTTCGAATGTCTGATACAGCATCACCTGCATGTATAGCGACATGTAGCTATCTGAAAGCAACGATTACAGTCAAATTCCTTGAGCGAAACGGGTAACATACTCGAAACGTCCCTAAATACGTCAATGGTGGCGCCATCTATCTGCGCGTCAGTTGCTCGGTTCCAATCGGAAACGCGTTCGGCTATAGCCTTCGAGTAGTTGGCCTTGATCGTAAGGGACGCGTACGATTCGCCCTTCTGCACGGTTTCCATGGCGACATCCTCACTGGCGTAAAACTTCATGACCAACTTCCGTCGAGATAGCACGTTCAGGAACGCGCAGCTTAGTTGCGGGTCGTCGCAGCGCAACTCATGCTCGCTGCAGTTCCGCGGCCCCGTCTCCAGGTTGACGACGGAAATGGGAAACTCGACGGGATTGTGCCCGATGGCCGCGCAGTAAATCGAGAGCATCACGACCGGAAGCACCAACGCCCTGGCGAACGTTCGCCAGTTCTTGCGAAACCAGATGGCGTTCTTCCAGATCAGCGCCCTCATGTGACTGCCCCTGAGCGACCAGCCACGCTGCGCCTTGTCGATTTTACTGGCGAACCGCGAACCGAGGGGCTCAACGACCCGTTCCGAAGTCCTCCTCTGCGCTTGGTTCTGCAGGACGCTCAGTTTGAGGAAGACCATTTCGAGCGAGGAGGCCTCGTGCTCGCGAAGTAACCGTTTCGGAGTGTCCTCCGCGATCAGGCAACCTTTGCGCATTATTCCCACCAGGTTGGCCTGGAGGGTCTCTTCGATGTAGTGCGTCGTGATAATGACCGTGACGGTTCCGTTGTGGACAAGGTCGAGGAAGTGGTCCCAGATCAGTTGCCTGAGGACGGTGTCGACGCCGACCGTCGGCTCGTCGAGGATTAGGAGTTCGGGCTCGTGCAGGAAGGCGACGGCTAGGGAAACGCGACGCTGCTGCCCGCCGCTCATGTGCTTCAGTCGCACGTTGCGCCGGCGCAGGTCCAGAAGCTCGGTCAGGTACTCCGTCCTTTCCTTGATCTTGGCGTCTTTCATTTCAATGACGCGCCCGAAGAAGAGCAAGGTCTCCTCGACTGTCAGATCGCCGTATAGACCAATTTTCTAAAATTTCCATCAGCAAAAGATGCAAGTTTGTGGAGGCTCACCTGGGGCATGTAACCGATGCGTTGCTCGTTTTGGGCGTCGGGAATTTTTTGACCCAGCACGTAGATGTCGCCCGAATTCAGACGTTTGCGCCCGATTAGGCACTCCAGCAGCGTCGTCTTGCCGCAACCGCTCGCCCCTAGCAAACCATATCTGAAAGCATCTCCTGGTAAGTTGCGCAAGAAGGTAGGCACAATACGTACATTCCTCCTCTTGGTACGGTCATATTGAAATCCCTCAGCACCTTAAAGCTTCCATAACTCTTGAAGGCCCCTCGGACCACCACCGCGTTCGAGGCAAGGTCCACGTCCGGTTCGATCTCGATGGCGTTTTTGGGCTGCTAAAACCAGATGACGCTCGGAATTCCAATAGGGGTTAACTTACCTCGTCGAGCCGAGTCAATGCCGAATCGGCAGGCATGGTGCACTTGTTTGTGTCGCGAAACCAAATCAAACAGATCGTGAATTGAACCGTTTTGTATCGTCATTTCTTAATGGCATCGTTACGAATAGCTAATTGGTTATTCCTAATGATTTCAGTAGTTACGTGGAAATGTACAGTTTCCCAAATAAAATGCGTGTGCGTGCGTGGTCTGCGGCAAGTAAAATTTTTCCCTCCCAAAGGACTACTGAGTACACTCCTGAATTTTTTTGCGGAGGAATTGGATTAAGAGAAAATTATACGCAAAAGGAGTGAAAATATACCCCCCCCCCCAAATGAGAAAAAAATTGCAGAAGAATTTGCTTAGGGTTACTGAGTACAAAATCGCAACCCTTTGAGTCGTTTCCAACAAAATGTGGAGCTAAATTCAGATTTTCTGACGTAAGAAGTGAATTAAGAGCAGAGGAGGCGAAAATATACCCCCCCCCCCCCAATGGCCGAAAAAGGCCGTACCTTATTTTCTCTACTGTCGTTATCGATTAGACCTTTTAGCTATAGCGCAAAATTAGATGCGAAAGACCTTCAATCTTGACTATTCGGTGATTACCATAAAAATTCCAAATGGGTTTTATAGGTGTTTCCGGCATAATTACCCTCATCAAGGTTGGTTTTTTAAATTAAATGTCAAAATGCGGCGCGTGCAGTTGAATTTTTACACAATCGGCGAGAAATCCAGAAATCCACTGAAAATGCCTCCCAAGTTCTTAAAGTGTTCATCGAACGTACGCCCAATAACAATAACGTCGTCTAGGTACACCAAACAAGCTTCCCATGACATTCTTCTAAGTATTACTACCATTAGGCGCTCAAGGGGGCATTGCATAGCCCAAACGGCATGATCTTAAACTGCCATAACCCCGAACCAACGCTGAACGCTTCTCTCGATGTTCAGGTTCCAGTCAAACTCGCCAGGAACCACTCTTCATATCCAACATTGAAAACCATTTAGTTTCGGTAAGAGTGTCATCGATTCTTGGTATTGTCCATAATATCCGCAAAATCGTGTGGACCCATCTTTACCACAGGTGACGTTCACGGACTGGTAAACCGTTCAATAATGCGCCATATCTTTTATGATCTTCTCAGCTTCTTCCCGTTTAATCCATGGTAGCCTTCTCGGGTTTCGTTTAATCGATTGTGCAGCTCCAATGTTGATCTTATGGGTGACGAAGTTTTACCCCTTAGTCCTTTTTTCTCAAGCAAACACGTCATCTTGATGCACGATCACCAGTTATGGCTATGACTGGTAGAGATTAATTCCTTTCGTGGAGACCTTTCATTAGAGTACCATGAAGGATAAAATCAGTTCCACTCCCCCCCCCCCCCCCATCCCCTTCTTTATAAGGAGTGAGAAAATAGAGGGGGTAGTTGGTAGAAAAACTTTCCTTTTCTTAAAGCTTTTAATTGGAATAATATGAAAGATAAAATTAATATCTACCCCCTCCCTCCTCCCCCCAGTCATCTACTAATATCGGAAAGGAGTCGCGCAGGAAAGTTATAGTTTGTACAAACCAATTCATTTTGGTGAGACCTCTCATTAGAATACCATGAAGGGTAGAACATGTGTCCATCCCCACCTCCGGTTTTCAAAAATTTGACTTGGCCCCACTAAACGCATACGCATGTAAATTATTCTGAGAACCCATTGGTTGTCGCATGTAAAGGTTATGCACGTTTTACATTCAAAAACAGTAATTCCGAGCGTTTTCAAGGCGAATTCGGTGTCAGCCAATACCAAAAGCGCGACTTTCTTTGTTTTACAGTGTACTCCTAGGAGGAAACAAGTTTGATTTATGTTGAAACGACCTCCTGGATGTGTTAAATTAATATTTATACCAAAGCCGAAATACCAAAAGCGCGACTTTCTTTGTTTTACAGTGTACTCCTAGGAGGAAACAAGTTTGGAAAACTATGTGCCAACTCCGACGTTTTCAAGGCGAAGTAAGCAATACAAAAGCGCAACTTTCTTTGATTTAAAGTGTACTCCTAGGAGGAAACAAGTTTGATATGTTGAAACGACCTCCTGGATGTGTTAATTAATATTTATACCAACTCCGAGTGTTTTCAAGGCGAATCGGTGTAAGCCAATACCAAAAGCGCGACTTTCTTTGATTTAAAGTGTACTCCTAGGAGGAAACAAGTTTGATTTATGTTGAATTGACCTCCTGGATGTGTTAAATTAATATTTATACCACCTACGAGCGTTTTCAAGGCGAATCGGTGTAAGCCAATACCAAAAGCGCGACTTTCTTTGATTTAAAGTGTACTCCTAGGAGGAAACAAGTTTGATTATGTTGAAACGACCTCCTGGATGTGTTAAATTAATATTTATACCAACTCCGAGCGTTTTCAAGGCGAATCGGCGTAAGCGAATACTAAAAGCGCGACTTTCTTTGATTTAAAGTGTACTCCTAGGAGGAAACAAGTTTGATTTATGTTGAAACGACCTCCTGGATGTGTTAAATTAATATTTATACCAACTCCGAGCGTTTTCAAGGCGAATCGGCGTAAGCGAATACTAAAAGCGCGGCTTTCTTTGATTTAAAGTGTACTCCTAGGAGGAAACAAGTTTGATTTATGTTGAAACGACCTCCTGGATGTGTTAAATTAATATTTATACCAACTCCGAGCATTTTCAAGGCGCATTCGGTGTAAGCCAATACCAAAAGCGCGACTTTCTATGATTTAAAGTGTACTCCTAGGAGGAAACAAGTTTGATCTATGTTGAAACGACCCCCTGGATGTGTTAAATTAATATTTATACCACCTCCGAGCGTTTTCAAGACGAATTCGGTATAAGCCAATACCAAATGCGCGACTTTCTTTGTTTTAAAGTGGCCTCCTAGGAGGAAATAGCTTTAACTTATGTTGAAATGACCTCCTGGAAGTGTTAAATTAAAATGTGTACCAATTCCGAGCGTTTTCAAGGCCAATTCGGTGTCAGCCAATACCAAAAGCGCGAGTTTTTTTGATTTAAAGTGTACTCCTAGGAGGAAATAGGTTTGATTTATGTTGAATTGACCTCCTGGATGTGTTAAATTAATATTTATACCAACTCCGAGCATTTTCAAGGCGCATTCGGTGTAAGCCAATACCAAAAGCGCGACTTTCTTTATTGTAAAGTGTACTCCTGTTGAATTGACCTCCTGGATGTGTTTATACCATCTATGAACGTTTTCGAGGCGAATTCGGCGTGAGTTAGAGAAAGTATCAGGAGAGAAGAGAGATGTATTTAAGGGTAGTCAATCAATTTATGTTCTTTATTGTAAAAATTCCAAGTGTAAGGAGCACAAACCTACCGTCTCCAGGCCAACGGATTCCTGGAGGGAAGTTTGGCAACGTGGTATACACCAGTTAGCCTTTTTGATACCTGAACAAGCAGAAGGTAAAGAACAAAATCATCATCGACCATATGCACACAGATAACAGTCCATCGTAAACTTCTATCTTCGAGAGGCTCCAGTTCCGATGCATGACGTTTCTCAGGCTTTGCGTCAGCCGCACGAAGGGAAACACTCGAGCCGTCCACCGCAGAAGCCAGTGCATGGCTTCGATCGGCCACAACATCCCGGACGTACACAGCATGGTGAAGTACAGGCAGCTGGTTATCAGCGAAATTTCCAGAATTGATTTCATGTTGCTGGCCAAGAATATACCTAAAACATCAGCGTTTATTTAGTGCCTTAAGCGTCCCATTTTGGTTATTATTGCACCGAAGCAAAGGCCAAAAAATCCAGTGAGGTACAGAAAAACGAACGTAAGCGCAATGGGGCCTTTATTTGTCAGGCCAAATGCGAATATGGGAACCGCCATGGTGAGAACGATCTGAGGCAACAGCATCACACTCACGACGAAGAGATGGGATATCGTCAGCTCCAGATTGTTGATTCCTATTACGAACATCCGCTCCAGGCCGACTTCGCTACGTTCTGCATTAACCGCTAGAGCACTTAGTAGTATTGCCGTAGTGATGACTATCCTGAAAGTAGGCTAGCAAAGACGTAACTAACGTAAACAACGTGGCCTTACATAGTTAGCACCCCAGGAATAGTAAAGTCCGTGAAATTCGTACCCATCCACTCGTACAGTATGTCCCACTACGACCAACTATCAATAACGTCATTCCAAGACCGGCACGTACCTTAATCGGAATCCTGGCCCCACGCGGGCTCACCCCGCAGCTTTCGGCGAACGCGTAGTAGAAGCTCTCCAAGGTCTCGTAGAGCATTACCTGCGTGTACAACGCCACGGGTTTATCTGCAAGCGGCGTTAATCACGAGCTCGTGACGCCCACATTTGCTTACCCGTGACATCCCTAACGACGTCCACGGTGGAGGCGCTCGCGTCCGATGCGCTCATACGTCGCGGATCGTTAACGCGCGCGCGCATGGCGTCGGAATAGTTTGGCTTAATCGTAATCGACGCGTAGGACGCACCTCTCTCGACGGAATCGAGCGCCTCTTGCTCGGTACTGTACAGCTTCTGCAAAGGAAATAGAATTGGGTTATGCAGAATCCAGAAGTACAGTTCAACACAAATAAAAACTGTTGCCTCCAAGGAGTACACTTTAAAACTCGGAAAATCGCATTGTTGGTATTGGATTATGCCGAATTCGCCTTGAAAACGCTTGGAGTTAGTATAAGTATTAATTTAAAGCATCCAGAAGGCCAATTCAACATAGATCAAGCCTGTTTCCTCCAAGGAGTTCACTTTAAAACAAAGGAAGTCGCACTGTTAGCATTGACTTATGCCGTATTCGCCTTGAAAACACTCCGAGTTAGAATACGTATTAATTCAATGCATCCAGGAAGTCAGTGAACACAAGTATGGTCTGTTTCTTCCAAGGAACACACTTTAAAACTAAGAAAATCGAACTGTTGGTGTTGGCATATGCCGGATTTGTCTTGGAAAAACTCTGAGTTAGAATACGTATTAATTCAATGCATCCAGGAGGCCAATGGACACAAGTATAGTCTGTTTCTTCCAAGGAGTACACTTTAAAACTAAGAAAATCGAACTGTTGGTGTTGGCACATGCCGGATTTGCCTTGGAAAAACTCGGAGTTAGAATAAGTATTAGTTCAATGCATCCAGGAGGCCAATGAACACAAGTATAGTCTGTTTCTTCCAAGGAGTACACTTTAAAACTAAAAAAATAGAACTGTTGGTATTGGCTTACGCCGAATTCGCCTGAAAAACGCTCGGAGTTGGTATAAATATTAATTTAAAACATCCAGGAAGTCAGAACAACATGCATCAAACTTGTTTCCTCCAAGGAGTAGACTTTAAAACTAAGAAAATCGAACTGTTGGTGTTGGCACATGCCGGATTTGCCTTGGAAAAACTCGGAGTTAGAATAAGTATTAATTCAATGCATCCAGGAGGCCAATGAACACAAGTATAGTCTGTTTCTTCCAAGGAGTACACTTTAAAACTAAAAAAATAGAACTGTTGGTATTGGCTTACGCCGAATTCGCCTGAAAAACGCTCGGAGTTGGTATAAATATTAATTTAAAACATCCAGGAAGTCAGAACAACATGCATCAAACTTGTTTCCTCCAAGGAGTAGACTTTAAAACTAAGAAAATCGAACTGTTGGTTTTGGCATATGCCGGATTTGCCTTGGAAAAACTTGGAGTTAGAATAAGTATTAATTCAATGCATCCAGGAGGCCAATGGACACAAGTATAGTCTGTTTCTTCCAAGGAGTACACTTTAAAACTAAAAAAATAGAACTGTTGGTATTGGCTTATGCCGAATTCGCCTGAAAAACCCTCGGAGTTGGTATAAATATTAATTTAAAACATCCAGGAAGTCACAAGAACATACGTTAAACCTGTGTCCTCCAGGGAGTAGACTTTAAAACTAAGAAAATAGAACTGTTGGTATTGGTTTACGCCGAATTTGCCTTGAAAACGCTAGTATAGTTAAAATCAAGTCCGTGTCCTCCGAGATGTACACATTTAAACAAACAGTATCACCAGGAAAAGGCGACTTACCACTATTAAGTGTTGCTTGGAGAGTTCCTTCAGGAACAAGCAACCTAACTCGGTGCTGTTGCAGTGAAGCGCCGACGCGTTACAATTCCGCGACCCCGTCTCCAAATTCGCCACCGAAACGACAAAGTCCACCGGGTTGTGCCCGATCGCGACGCAGTAGATAAACAACGTGAAAACCGGAAGTAGCGTGATGACGAAGGTCATCGCCCAGTTCTTGACGAACCACGCGAAGTGCTTCCAAATCAGCGCCTTCATGTGACTGTGCCTCAGTCTGAAACTCTGCTTGATCTTCAACGGCTCCTTAACGTCGGGATGCTCGCACGAGGCGCGACTTTCATTCTGCGTGGCGCTGAGTTTTAGGAACACCTCCTCGAGGGACGACGCGCGATGGTCCCGCAGCAGCCGCCTGGGATTCTTCTCGGCTATGAGGCGACCGTTGCGCAGTATTCCGACCTGAAATACGTTCAGATCACGACGGATGAGGCGAGAACGGATGCCTACCACGTCGGCTTGCAGCACCTCCTCGATGTAGTGCGTCGTGATCAAGATGGTGACGCGCTTACTTTCAACAAGACTAATAAAATGGTCCCAGATCGACTGTCTCAAGATGGAGTCGGCGCCAACCGTCGGTTCGTCCAAAATTAACAGTTCCGGCTCGTGCAAAATGGCGATCGCCAAGGAGACGCGTCGTTGCTGTCCGCCGCTGATGCTGCTCAGTTGGAGATTTTTATCGGGGAGATCCAGCAGGCCGGTCAAGTAAGCCACCCTCTCCTTTACCTTGAGTTCTTTTATACCAATCGCGCGCCCGAAGAAGAGGAAGGTCTCCCCAATGGTCAAGTCGCCGCTTAAACACGTGCTCTAGGTGAATTATTTGACAGCTAGCAAAGAGCGCATACTCACTTGGGGCATGTAACCGATCCGCAACTCGTTGTCCGCATGCGGAAGCTTTTGGCCGAGAACGTACACCTCTCCATGGTTCAAACCCCGCCTCCCGATGAGGCACTCCAGCATTGTCGTTTTGCCGCAACCGCTGGCACCCAGCAAACCGTAACTGCGCAACGCGCAATTGAAAGGGTCAAGTTAATGGAGCGAAGCACTTACATGGTTCCTGTGGGAACGGTCATGCTGAATCCCTCCAGCACGTTAACCTTGCCGAAACTCCTGTAGGCGTCCCTGACCTCGACCGCGTTGAGCGTTGGGCACTGTGGAAGCGGAACGTTTTACTTGAAATCGGCCTTTTTACTTACAGTCCAATCGGAAATGTGCGCTTCTGATCTTGGACGATACATCACCTCCGGATGGAAAAAACTAGGTCAAAATACAAAACTTGACAGTCGTTTTCTGTGCAAAATTAAAATTTTCCTCACTATTTGCCTGGTATTCACGTAATGCTGCATGTGTGCCTCGTCAAATAATGTCTATTGTATTGTTATGAGAACTCCATGAATATTTACTTGAGAAGACCGTAACATTTTCAATAGAATTTCACAATTTCCGATAAAAGTACACGCGTCAGGGGTAATGACAATGATGCGTCACGGCGGAGGCCAAATGGGTGTTACTCAATTTTTATTCTGTATGGTGATAGTAGCCAAAGCTGGCACGACAGCATTTTCGTTAAATTACGTCACTGCAGATCGCTGATGTTCTCCTGGTACCAGCACCTCCACCTTTTTCTTTTTATGTTCACTTGATCTAGGCCATCCATAAAGTTTACCAGAAGCGCCTTAGATTTTCCTTATCTCAATACATTTGCAGATAGTAGCAGGATTATTCACGAACTGCACGAGAAAACCCTAACCCCTGATACCTAAACCTCCTCAAAAACACCTCCTGATACTAAAATCACCTCGCCAAACCATTTCGCCACCGAATAATGAAATATTGAAGCTTGGATAAACAAGTACCTTATAAAAACCTCTCAAAAATCTTTGTATCAGGATCGTAGAAGACGCACACCAAAGACGTTTTTAAATTAGGAGCGTAGAGAGATGTACGTTACCTAGCTTGTTCTCCTGATTCTTTCTTCGAAACATTATATCAGACCAAAAGCTTGGTATTAGGCGCACATGATACACAGTAAATAAAAGAATTATGTCCTCCTGACTATGACTACCCCACTGTTCGCATGAAAATGCCCGATAGAGGCGTTAAAAGGTCTGAGGGACGGAGAGGATAAGTTAGGAGGAGACAACGGAAGATAGAAGAGGAAAGATGATGACAGGAAAAGATAGGACATGGCACAGGAGTGGGCTTCATCAGGCAGAAGGTAACAGGAGAGCATATGAAAAGATTTTGTAAAAACCCAAAACTTACCAGTCTTTTGGGCAAAAACGTTGTAAAAACTAGAATTAATTGTAATTGGCGGAAATTTTCTGGTGTGATTATGAAACGCAACAACAAACAGGAACGCATGTAGTTATCATATAATTTTCACGGTGAGTGGGATATAGAAATAAACATTTTGATAAATCGATAACAAAGTAGTATCGAAAAACTGCTAAATCTGAATGTTTAAAGTATAAAAGCGGCGATTAAAGAATACCTCATTGGCCTAAGAAGAGATAATTGATTCCTTCCTTGTGCTGGGAAGTATTCCAACTATTACGGGGGGTCGTTGGGGGTGAACATTTTGAGAGAAAATTTAGCACCGGGGGGTCTGGGGGGTTTGGAATACCCCCAGCCATTCTTTCTAGCGTACGAAAGTCTCGTGATAGTTATAGGACAAGGAATATCAAATCTTTCAATTCCCAGAGCTACGTTCTTCCCAACATATTCTACAACATAATTTATTTAATGTTCCCTTATGAAAAACTATTACGGGGGGTTGTTGGGGGTGAACACTTTGAAAGAGAATGCACCACCGGGGGGTCTGGGGGGGATGGAATACCCCCCAGCCATTCTCTCTAAAGCACGAAAGTCTCATGATAGTTATAGGACAAGGAATGCCAAATCTTTCAATTCCTGGGGGGTATTCTATACCCCCCAGACCCCCCGGTGCTACATTCTTCCCAAAATATTCTACAATATAATTTATTTAACGTTCCCTTATGAAAAACTATTACGGGGGGTCGTTGGGGGTGAGCATTTTGAGAGAGAATGCACCACCGGGGGGTATGGAATACCCCCCAGCTATTCTCTCTAAAGCACGAACGTCTCATGATAGTTATAGGACAAGGAATGTCAAATCTTTCAATTCCTGGGGGGTATTCCATACCCCCCAGACCCCCCGGTGGTGCATTCTTCCCAAAATATTCTACAACATAATTTATTTAATGTTCCCTTATAAAAAACTATTACGGGGGGTCGTTGGGGGTGAAAATTTTGAAAGAAAATGTAGCTCTGGGGGGTATGGAATACCCCCCAGCCATCCTCTCTAAAGCACGAACGTCTCATGATAGTTATAGGACAAGGAATGTAAAATCTTTCAATTCCTGGGGGGTATTCCATACCCCCCAGACCCCCCGGTGGTGCATTCTTCCCAAAATATTCTACAACATAATTTTTTTTAATGTTCCCTTATAAAAAACTATTACGGGGGGTCGTTGGGGGTGAACACTTTGAAAAGAGAATGCACCACCGGGGGTCTGGGGGGTATGGAATACCCCCCAGCCATTCTCTCTAAAGCACGAAAGTCTCATGATAGTTATAGGACAAGGAATGTCAAATCTTTCAATTCCTGGGGGGTATTCCATACCCCCCAGACCCCCATGTACTGCACCTGTAACACTGTACGAGTAATATGTAAATTGTTTTGTCGTATCGAATTATGATTGGTTCTTTAGGCGAGTTTGTTACCTTTTCCAATCAGTTCATTTTTCCTTTCGAGCATGTTGGTGACGCCAAAATTTAAGCGGAGTGTATTGGATTAATTGCAAATTTTAAAGTATAAGTTAACCTGCATTTTTTTAACTTCTCGAATTGATGTTTGACCGAGCCTCTACATTTTCTCTCATTTTTGGAGGCTATAAAATTGGATTCATTCGATACGTAAGTGGCCGCCATTTGCTGAATTATTCAATCTCATACAATTGCCCTCGCTTTATACGCAGTTTGAACTAGATATTTTTATAAGCTTTTAAGAGGATTTATTACTCTGTGAAATTGTTTGAAGGTTTTCAGGGATCATTAAACGTTTTCAAGGGTTTTTTATGGTGCGGAGGGTTTTTAAACACTGTCAGAGTCGGTAGTCTGTGAGGGTCTTTCACTCCTGAAGAACATTTACTAGTATTAAGGCTATCTAATTGCGTTTAGGCGTAATCACTAAGAGTTTTCAAAGACATAGAAAAGTTTTCGGAAGAGTGAGGGCACAAAAGGGCGAGGCATTAAAGGGATGGGCATGAAAAAAAAGGCGAGAGTGCAGAATTTAGTATTAGAGGGCACATGGGATAAGAGATGATAGGAAGGGAGATAGAGAATATGTTGATGTATGTGAGGGCATATGAAGGTAAGATAAGACAGGACAGGAATAAGTTAGAATAAGGGAGGAAAGAACATACAAATGTAATCTTTATTAACATGCATGAACGCAAATTCAATTCGTGTACTCAGTTCTTGATCTTCATGTTGAGTTGACCGAGGAGAGTAAGGCCGAGTGGTTAATGTTAAACGCGTTTAAATCGGATAAGGATGAAGCAGAGTGCCAGTGGTAAGGCAGCCCATAGGACTATGGTAAAGAACCCGACATAGACATCTGCCCTTAAGAAATTCCAGTCCTTGTGCAAAATGTTTCTTATGCTGCGCGTTTGCATAGTAAGTGGAAAGAATGGAGCCAACGGTTTCAGGAGCCGGTGCATCGCCTCAACGGGCCACAAAGTCCCGCTCGCAAAGAATACAGTGAACGTGGTGCCTATGCCGATGAGGCAGACGCCAACTTCCGAATGCGTAATGCACGATATAAGCATTCCTGGAACGAATATTATTAGTGTCGCCAAATTCACGGGGACCATCACCGTAGCACACCCCGGCGAATCCGCCGAGAAACGTGAGAATTGCCGCTAGAATTAGAGATCCCTTCATTGTCGTATCGAACACAGCGAAGACGATCACCATGCTGAAGAAGGTTTGGAAAAATAGCACGACGCTGTTTGTCATCACGTACGACAATATCAGTTCGGTTCGATTGACGCCGGTCACCAGAAGTCGTTCCATGATCGTTTCGCTTTGCTCCGAGTGCATGGACAGAGAGGTGCCGATTATGGCGGAGGCGAAAATGGATCTGCTGGAACAATGAGCGACCCTGATCAAGATGATTCTGGGATACTTACAATGTTAGCACTCCGGGCATAGCGAAATCGTTAAAATCAGTGTTCATCCACTCGTAAATTGCGTCCCACTACGAATACTGGTTAAAATCTGTCGTTTGGTTAAGAACACTCACCGTCATAGGTACCTTCACCACGTTCTTGTTGATACCGCAACTCTCCACGAAGTTGTTAACGAAATCTTGTAGTATTTGGTAGAGCATTCTTTGCAGGTAAAGTGACATGGGTTTTACTATAAACCAGGTGACAAGTCGCAGTGGTGTTGTTTAAAAATTCTTACCCGTGGTATCCCTGAAGACGCTAATGGTCGAGTGCTCTAAGTCGTACGAGTTCGAACCGAACCAATCATAGGCGCGTGACCGCAACGCTCTGGAGAAATTGACGTTAATCGCTATCGAAGCGTAAGACCTTCCCGACCGTACGGACTGAATGGCTTCAAATTCGCTACTGTAAAATGTCTACAAAATTGGCGTATCCATTTCCGCCCGGTCTTACCATCAATAACTGCTTATTCGATAGGTAGTTGAGAAAGGTGCAGCTCAACTGCTCACTTTTGCAATGAATCGGTTCGAGCCTACATGACTTGGGTTCAACCTCCAGGTTCACGACGGAGATTACGAAGTCGGTGGGATTGTGACCAAACGTGAGGCCAAAACTGCTGAGTATCACCACTGGAAGTAACAGCGCGATCATGGTCGTTATCCAATTTTTACGCAACCATTGGAAGTTTTTCAAGACCAGCGCCTTCAGATGGTGGTGTTTCACTGTCATTCCCTCCTTAATTTTACCGGCTGATCTAGGAGAATTTGCCGACTTAGCGATTTGGCTTTGATTTTGCGCTACGCAGAACTTGAGGAGAACGTCTTCGAGCCTCGGTAGCTGGTGCAGCTTGAGGAGGTTCTTCGGGTCGTCTTCCGCCATCAAGCAGCCACCGCGCATCAGGCCGACCTGTGGTAAAACTCGAACACTATCCCCACCGAAAGATCGGGCTTACCAAGTTGGCCGTGAGGGTTTCCTCGATGTAGTGCGTTGTTATAATTATGGTGACCTCGCCGCTCGCGGTCAGGCTTCTGAAGTGATCCCAAATTAACTGCCTCAGAACTGAATCCATACCAACGGTGGGTTCGTCCAGAATCAGCAGTTCGGGCTCGTGCTGGAGCGCGACCGCCAAGGACAACCGGCGCTGTTGCCCTCCACTCATATCGCTCAGTCGTTGGTTTGGGTCGGGAATCATCAGCAATTCAATCAAATACTTCGACCTCTCCTCAATCTTGCCTTCCTTCATACCAATCAAGCGGCCAAAAAAGAGTAGGGTTTCCCCAACCGTCAGATCCGCGTAGAGCGATGTTGCCTAATCACAAAGCCTCAGTGAAGGTCCCTCACTTTAAGGCATACCTGAGGCATGTAGCCGATCTTGGTCTCATTGCGCGGCCCAGGCATTTCTTGACCAAGAACGCTGATTGTGCCATAGCTCAACCCCTTTCTTCCATTGAGGCATTCCAACAGCGTAGTTTTTCCGCAACCACTCGCCCCAAGTAATCCATAACTGCAAACCACCAAAAATCCTTGGAAGTGCCGAAATCGCTTACTTACATGGCGCCTTTCGGGACGGTCATATTGAAATCTTCGAGCACTTTAAGCGACCCATAATTCATGAAAGCGCCCTTTACCACAACCGCGTTCGACGCAAGGCTCGGCGCAGTAAACTTCGAATCCAGCTCGATTTCCGGCAGACACCTTGAAGGCTCGAACAGCTGGAAACACCCATCAACCCTTAGTGATCATATCGGTGAGTGACTTACCCGTTTTTTAAGGGCCACGATCCTTTGGAAGAACCCCTGCTTCGCGTTCGTCTCGGCCAAATCACCGAACATGTTCCCGTGTGCCATATTGTCCTAAATGACGAACGCGCACTCACTTATCGAACAGACGCGATAACCTCACCAAGCATCGCTATATGAACAAATATTGCTCAACACAATAAGTGCATTTTTGCATAGATCACCAAAACTGCCATTTATCTTACTACAAAACTAGAACTAGTCAAAGTCCTTTGAGACTGGGTCGGTTAGAACACAAACAGGTCTGTCGTGTTTACTACATCGTTTTGACAAAAAAAAAATGTACCAATTACGTAACAAAGATGTTAACGAGTGCCAAGGTCGTGTGGAAATGGTTTTAAATTACACTTTAGTCGTAAATCTGCACCAATCCTAGGCTTTAACTTTTTAGGGAACCCAGAACACCAGTCGCAACGTTCCCAATTTCTCTGGTTTTCAAAATGGTAGTAGATCCGCGTTTAAAAGGGAACGTCACTTCCATACCATTGTCTCACAAAACCCCAAACACTCTCATGATAACTTTCGGAAAAGCGCAATTGAATTTTTTTCCTGGGGGGTGTTACTCCTCGCGCCCAGATTATCGTATCGTGGACTATGATTTGGAGATGGGGTTTGGTTACAACATACCCCTAAGTACATTAAAGTTTGGGTACATCTCCACTTACATACGCTACCATGAGTCTTCCTATGTTGAGGGTACTCTCTCTGATAGGTACTTTCTGGATTACGACAGGGACCTCAAATTCGGGCCCTTTGTATCTACTACCTCCCTGACTGGAGTATGCCCCTATCTTCCCTAAAAAGTTTAGTGTTAGTTACAGTTACGTTTTGGAGGAAAATAGAGTGCAGGTGACCTAATACCCCCCCCAGCCCAGCAAAGGAGGCTTTGATGACCCCATGCCGGCAGTAACTGTGGTTTTCGGAAGCAGCACTGGAGGGTATACCTAACCCCCCAAACGCCGGTACCCCCCCCCCCCCACACTATGTTTAGGAAAGTGAGTATACTCTTGATTTTACTGGATAATTCTAAGAGCTAAACATTTTGGAGGGTAATGTAGTACTTGGGAACAAACACCCCCCAACCCAGCAAAGGATGCCTTGCAAAATACAAAGTTTCGAGGGTAAGTAATGATTTCTCTTATGAAAAAAATAAAAGAGTTTAGCTACCATGTACAGGGTGACCGCATTTCTTTCAAAGTGTCGCTTTACTTACTATCTTGTAGAAAAAATATAATATGGTGTAACTACCGTATACAAAGGATGTTCAAATAACTCAAAAACGCCCTTGTATGGGAGTTTTAACAAAATTAGAAATTGCCCAATGGCAGCATGGCCGCATTTATTCACGAAAGTGCCCTTTACTTACTATTGTGTAGGAAAAATATAGTATAGGTCTATCCACCGTATACACAGGGTGTTCAAAAATTCAAAAACGCCCTTGTATGGGACTTTTAACAAAATTAGAAATTGCCCAATGGCGGCTTTTTCACGAAAGTACCCTTTACTTACTATTGTGTAGGAAAAATATATTATGGGTCTATCCACCGTATACACAGGATGTTCTAAAATTCAAAATCGCCCTTGTATGGGACTTTTAACAAAATTAGAAATTGCCCAATGGCAGCATGGCCGCATTTATTCACGAAAGTGCCCTTTAGTTACTATTGTGTAGGAAAAAATAGTATGGGTCTATCCACCGTATACACAGGGTGTTCAAAAATTCAAAAACGCCCTTGTATGGGACTTTTAACAAAATTAGAAATTGCCCAATGGCAGCATGGCCGCATTTATTCACGAAAGTGCCCTTTAGTTACTATTTTGTAGGAAAAATATAGTATGGGTCTATCCACCCTATACACAGGGTGTTCAGAAATTCAAAATCGCCCTTGTATGGGACTTTTAACAAAATTAGAAATTGCCCAATGGCGGCTTTTTCACGAAAGTACCCTTTACTTACTATTGTGTAGGAAAAATATAGTATGGGTCTATCCACCGTATACACAGGGTGTTCAACAATTCAAAATCGCCCCTGTATGGGACTTTTCACAGAATTAGAAATTGCCCAATGGCGGCTTTTTCACGAAAGTACCCTTTATTTACTATTGCGTACGAAAAATATAGTATGGGTCTATCCACCGTATACACAGGGTGTTCAACAATTCAAAATCGCCCCTGTATGGGACTTTTAACAAATTTAGAATTTGCCCAATGGCAGCATGGCCGCATTTATTCACGAAAGTGCCCTTTAGTTACTATTGTGTAGGAAAAATATAGTATGGGTCTATCCACCGTATACACAGGGTGTTCAAAAATTCAAAAATGCCCTATTATGGGACTTTTAACAAAATTAGAGATTGCCCAATGGCTGCATGGCTGCTTTTTTCACCAAAGTGCCCTTTACTTACAACTGTGTAGGAAAAATATAGTATGGGTCGATCCACCGTATACACAGGGTGTTCAAAAATTCAAAATCGCCTTTGTATGGGACTTTTAACAAATTTAGAAATTGCTCAATGGCAGCATGGCCGCATTTTTTCACGAAAGTGCCCTTTAGTTACTATTGTGTAGGAAAAAATATAGTATGGGTCTATCCACCGTATACACAGGGTGTTCAAAAATTCAAAATCGTCCATGTATGGGACTTTTCACAGAATTAGAAATTGCCCAATGGCGGCTTTTTCACGAAAGTACCCTTTATTTACTATTGCGTACGAAAAATATAGTATGGGTCTATCCACCGTATACACAGGGTGTTCAAAAATTCAAAAACGCCCTTGTATGGGACTTTTAACAAAATTAGAAATTGCCCAATGGCAGCATGGCCGCATTTATTCACGAAAGTGCCCTTTAGTTACTATTTTGTAGGAAAAATATAGTATGGGTCTATCCACCCTATACACAGGGTGTTCAGAAATTCAAAATCGCCCTTGTATGGGACTTTTAACAAAATTAGAAATTGCCCAATGGCGGCTTTTTCACGAAAGTACCCTTTACTTACTATTGTGTAGGAAAAATATAGTATGGGTCTATCCACCGTATACACAGGGTGTTCAACAATTCAAAATCGCCCCTGTATGGGACTTTTAACAAATTTAGAATTTGCCCAATGGCAGCATGGCCGCATTTATTCACGAAAGTGCCCTTTAGTTACTATTGTGTAGGAAAAATATAGTATGGGTCGATCCACCGTATACACAGGGTGTTCAAAAATTCAAAATCGCCTTTGTATGGGACTTTTAACAAATTTAGAAATTGCTCAATGGCAGCATGGCCGCATTTTTTCACGAAAGTGCCCTTTAGTTACTATTGTGTAGGAAAAATATAGTATGGGTCTATCCACCGTATACACAGGGTGTTCAAAAATTCAAAATCGTCCTTGTATGGGACTTTTAACAAAATTAGAAATTGCCCAAAGGCTTGGCCGCATTTTAACACCAAAGTGTCTCTTTACTGACTGTCTTGTAGGAGATATATAGTATGATCTATCTACTGTATACAAAGGGTGTTCAAAAATTCCAAAACGGTCTTGGTTTTTTCCTGGGATTTTTTACAAAATTCCAAATGAATTACAAGGAGTTTCACTAAAAAATCCTCCACAAAATGGTACTCATTTTTTGGGTCTTTCCTTTGATATATGCCGCCATCCGTGGATCAGTGTCAAAGAGTAAAACCTCGAAGAACCTGTAAGAGCATTCTCCAACAATCTCAAAGGGTGCTCCCTAGATTATACTAGAGCCTTAGTGATACTTGTTCGATACGAGCACCATAATAAAGCGATGGCATCAGAGGTCAGTACAGAGCTGGAAAAAGACAAGAAACGGTAGTGGAAGATTAGAAAAGACAAGAAAAGAATAGCAACGGAAAGGGAATTGGGACAAGGCAAGCGAGGCCAGGAGAGGAAAGAAGATAGCGGGAGGAAGGGCGCAGAAGTGATCACGAGATAGCAATAGCCGGTGCGAGAGAGAAAACATGAGAAGGCAAGGGATGGTATAGAGAACATAAAAAAGACAGATTAGAGCAGCAGAGTGCAGTACAACATGTAACGGCACAAGATGATAGAAGACGAGAGTTAACGGCAGAGAACAAGAGGGCAGAAGAAGACAAACCGGAAAGAGGTACGAGAAAAAATAAGTAGAAAAAAGAGGGAAACAAGGAAGTGGGTTAAAAAAAGTATTAGGGCATAAAAGGGCGAGGAATTGCAGAGAAGAAAAGAAAGAGGAAGATGCAGATGATAGTACGAGATAGAACAAGGAAATGAGGTGATGGGACAGAAGAAAAGCAAGGGTAAAATGAGTCATCAAGAATGGTAAAGACAGGGTACTGTCGGAGGGGTCAGGATCGGGAGTGGAACAGAACAGGGCAAAGGGAGGCAGGAGAGAGCAAGCGAAGGCAAGATGGCAAACAGGTCACCAAAGCCCAAGGGATGGTAGAGGCAAAGGTTAGGATAAGACATGAAAATGCAATCTATTTATCGATCTAATTTATTAACATGCGAGAACTCAAATTCAATTCGTGTAGGTACTCATCTCTTGATCTTCACTTTGTGTTAAGCGCGTTTAAATCGGATAAGGAAGAAGCAGAGCAACAGCAGTACGGCAGCCCATAGGACTATGGTAAAGAACCCAACGTAGACATCTGCCCTTAAGAAATTCCAGTCCCTGTGCATAATACTTTTCATGCTGCGTGTTGGCATAGTAAGGGGGAAGAATGGGGCCAACGGTTTCAGGAGCCAGTGCATCGCCTCCACGGGCCACAGGGTTCCGCTCACAAACATTATAGCGAACGATGTACCTATCCCTATTAGGAAAATGCCTATTTCCGAATGTGTAAGGCACGATATAAACATCCCTGGAACGAATATTATTAGTGATCGCTAAATTCACGGGGACCATCACCGTAGCACACTCCGGCGAAGCCGCAGAGAAACGCGAGGAATGTGACTAGCACCAGAGATCCCTTCGTTGTCGCTCCGAACACGGCGAAGACGGTCACCATGCTGAAGAAGGTTTGGAAAAACAGCACGACGCTGTTTGCCATCACGTACGACAACATCAGTTCGGTTCGATTGACGCCGGTCGCCAGAAGTCGTTCCATGATCGTTTCGCTTTGCTCGGAGTGCATGGACAGAGCGGTGTAGAGTATGGCGGCGATGAAAATGATTCTGCTGGCACAATTGATGATTTTGATCAAGATGATTCTGGGATACTTACAATATTAGCACGCCCGGAAGTGCAAAATCGTTAAAATCTGTGTTCATCAACTCATAAATTGCGTCCCACTAGGAATACTGATCAAAATCTGTCGTTTGGCCAAGAGCACTCACCTTCATAGGTACCTTCACCACGTTCTTGTTGATACCGCAACTCTCCACGAAGTTGTTAACGAAATCTTGTAGTATTTGGTAGAGCATTCTTTGCAGGTAAAGTGACATGGGTTTTACTATAAACCAGGTGACAAGTCGCAGTGGTGTTGTTTAAAAATTCTTACCCGTGGTATCCCTGAAGACGCTAATGGTCGAGTGCTCTAAGTCGTACGAGTTCGAACCGAACCAATCGTAGGCGCGTGACCGCAACGCTCTGGAGAAATTGACGTTAATCGCTATCGAAGCGTAAGACCTTCCCGACCGTACGGACTGCATGGCGTCGAATTCGCTACTGTAAAAAGTCTACAAAATTGGCGCGTGCACTTCGGTCCGATCTTACCATCATCAACTGCCTACTCCCTAGGTAACTGAGGAAGGTGCAGCTCAACTGTTCACTTTCGCAATGGATCGGTTCGAACCTACATGACTTGGGTTCAACTTCCAGGTTCACAACGGAGATTGCGAAGTTAGTGGGATTGTGACCAATCGCGAGGCAAAAACTGCAAAGGATCACCACTGGTAGTAGCAGCGCGATCAAGGTCGATCCCCAATTTTTATACATCCACTGGAAGTTTTTCAAGACCAGCGCCTTCAGATGGTGGTGTTTCACTGTCATTCCCTCCTTAATTTTACCGGTTGATCTAGGAGAATTTGCCGACCTAGCGATTTGGCTTTGATTTTGCGCTACGCAGAACTTGAGGAAAACGTCTTCGAGCCTCGGTAGCTGGTGCAGCTTGAGGAGGTTCTTCGGGTCGTCTTCCGCCATCAAGCAACCACCGCGCATCAGGCCGACCTGTGGTAAAACTCGAACACTATCCCCACCGAAAGATCGGGCTTACCAAGTTGGCCTTGAGGGCTTCCTCGATGTAGTGCGTTGTTATAATTATGGTGACCTCGCCGCTCGCGGTCAGGCTCCTGAAGTGATCCCAAATTAACTGCCTCAGAACTGAGTCCATGCCAACGGTGGGTTCGTCCAGAATCAGCAGTTCGGGCTCGTGCTGGAGCGCGACCGCCAAGGACAACCGGCGCTGTTGCCCTCCACTCATATCGCTCAGTCGTTGGTTTGGGTCGGGAATCATCAGCAATTCAATCAAATACTTCGACCTCTCCTCAATCTTGCCTTCCTTCATACCAATCAAGCGGCCAAAAAAGAGTAGGGTTTCCCGAACCGTCAGATCCGCGTAGAGCGATGTTGCCTAATCACAAAGCCTCAGTGAAGGTCCCTCACTTTAAGGCATACCTGAGGCATGTAGCCGATCTTGGTTTCATTGCGCGGCCCAGGCACTTTTTGACCAAGAACGCTGATTGTGCCATAGCTCAACACCTTTCTTCCATTGAGGCATTCCAACAGCGTAGTTTTTCCGCAACCACTCGCCCCAAGTAATCCATAACTGCAAACCACCAAAAATCCTTTGAAGTGCCGAAATCGCTTACTTACATGGCGCCTTTCGGGACGGTCATATTGAAATCTTCGAGCACTTTAAGCGACCCATAATTCTTGAAAGCGCCCTTCACCACAACCGCGTTCGACGCAAGACTCGGCCCAATGAACCTTGAATCCAGCTCGATTTCCGGCAGGCATTTCGAACGCTTGAACAGCTACAAACCGCATCATTAACCTTTGGCGATGGTTTCGGTCAGTGACTTACCCGTTTTTTAAGGGCCACGATCCTTTGGAAGAACCCCTGCTTCGCGTTCGTCTCGCCCAAATCACCGAACATGTTTTCGTGCACCATTTGCTAACAATTTCGAACTTGGTACTCACTTATCGAACAGACGCAGACGCGATAACCTCTCCAGAACAGTTATTGGCCTACATAGTGGGTAAATTAGTGCGTAGGCCACCAACTCTACCACTTACCTTTTACCCTACAAAACTAGGATCAATCAAAGTCCATTGAGACTGTTTTAGCAGATGTGATTAAGGCAGGTCAGTCCAGAACAAAAACAGGTCAGTCGTGTTTACTGTTGCTTTAACATGAAATTGATCTAATTACGCATGAAAACTGTTGACAAATACCAAGGCCGAAGATTAATTTACAATTTGGTCGCAAATATCTGCCGAAGACCTTCAGTTTTGAAGGAGCCCAGAACGCAAGAAACATTCAACGTTGCTGATTATTCTAGTGTCCAAGTTTCCAAAGTTTAAAAAACTCGATTTTTGTCAGCTACTAGCTTTGCAATAAGCGAGAGTTTCAAATGTGGAACCTTTAAAGCTGAAATTCGCGACCTTAAGGCTTTTAACATAATTTTTTGCAACCTCAAACGGTCGCAAGGAGTTTTTGTATGAGTGCTAACAGTAAGACCGGCGATCCTGGGGGATCCACCTAGCAGAGCCTTAAGGTCTAAAAAAATCTCATTTCGAATTTTCAAAACGTACCAAGTCAACAACCACTATATTTGGTTGATAATTTTGTTGGCAAGTGCAGAAGTGGTTCTCACCCGTCGCACAATCAATAAACAAAACTGTACTTCTTCTTCTAAACCTGTTCAGTGTGCAGGGGGTGCCAAACTAAATCACTCTCTAAAATGGTACCAAGATTGTACTATCTGCGTGAGATACATTGTATGGAAACTGTTGTGAACAAGGTTAAAGAACTTCAGACTTTCTCATAAAACATCCTGTTATGCGTCTTAGTTGTAATCAATTAAATATATGTGCGACTTTCGGAGAACATCAATGGATAGACTTTGTGATCGAGTACCTTCTGCGTTCCTAGGACCATAGTACCTTCCGAAACTTGTTTAGATGGAGATGGACTATAACCCCACTGACTCTAGTCCGCGTGGAGTGCCACAAGGCTCAAACCTTGGACCTCTTTCATGCTCTCGAAGGTAGAAAGAGAGGAGAATTTATTTTAAAGGAACTTAATGCCACTCAAGTACAACATGAACTATAATCAAATAGACACTAACTACGACCACACTGGTGAGCATAATTGGAAAGCCAACCCTAAAAATGCACAAAAAGTAGTTCACTGCAGCAGTTCAGTTCATACTCACTTCATAAACTGCATGAAGGTAAATCGGTAGCCGTGCTGCTCGGCAACGCCGGCGCAAACGATATTTGACGAAGAACCAAATAAAGTACCATTGCCTGAAAGAAAAACGTTGACTGAGGGGTAACGGCGATGGCAGACCTACCCCCGAAGCAGGCGCCAAACGACAGCGCCCAAACTAGCGGCTGTAACGGCAGCTGAAGCTCCGCGTCGTCGGCCAACACCGTGGCGACCTTAATCATCATGGTGGTCAGCGGGATGTTGTCGACGAACGCCGAGGCGAGCGCCGAAACCCAAAGAATGAGCATAATGGCGACGGCCAGTCGCGACTCCTGCCCGACGGACATGATCACCTGCTGCGTTTGCTTCCCGATCCACTCGATGAGACCGAGCTTCGCCATCGCCTCCATGATCACGAAGAGGGCGCCGAAAAACAGAAGCGTCGACCACTCGACGCGCGAGAAGACCGACTCGATGTCGCCGCGATCGTAGAGCAGCAGTAAAAGTAACGCGCCGAGCAGCGAAGTCCACCCCAAGCCCAGGCGACCTAAAAATCTCACCCTACTTTGAAAAAGGCCACAGAGCGTCAGCTACCTATCTCCGGGTTCGAGTGTAAGAAGAACAGGACGACCACGAAGATTAGCGTGAGGCCCGATTTGATCAGCAGGGGTTTGTCTCGGATGGGGTACTGAAAGTGGAACACCTGATGAATTCGCAAAATTGTCGCTGGGCTCACCTTCTTTTGCAAGTCTTCCAGGTTGCCTTCGTAGTTTTCGGCTTGCGACATGTGGATGCGGGTCTTCGTGTTCAGTTTGCCGATGAGCCGAGACGACCGCTTCTTCAAAGTCTCCTTGACCACCTCCTCGTCCTTGCTGTAGCTGCTCATGCACGCCGCCGCCCTTTGCCACACGGCAATTTCGCGCTTTAACTCTGTAATAAACGGTGAGACTTTGTTGGGTGAATCCACCTCCTCACCTAGAACCTCCCGTGGCTCGTTGTACCTCAAGTCGCGCACGTTACGGTAGAGAAACCTGAGGTGGAGGTAGGTGAACACCGAGACTAGTAGCACTCCAACTCCCATATGCAAGATGAACGTGGTGAAGTTCACCCCCTGCAAGCACTTGCTAAGGCATCGCCACAGGCCTGGTGACTTACCGATTTCACTACGTCGGGGTTCGAGGCGATTATAACATTGGGCGGGTCGCCGATTGGGGTAATGGCGCCGCCAATATTCGAGAAGATGATCATGCTGATTAACACTGGAATTGGATCGAGCTTGGTTACCTCGCACAGCCTGCAAGATGATCGTTTAAAGCGAGCATAGAAAGAGCACCCCTCTAACCGAATGGTGATGGGTGTCATAAGAAGACCGGTGGTGACGTTGTCCAAAAAGCACGAGAGGATCGCGGTCAAAAGGCACAAGCTGTTGATTAGCGGCCATTCCCGTCCATTGGTCCACTGCAATTGGTGCCGTAGCAAAAGGTGGCGAGAGCAAACTGCCTTACCTTGTAGGCCAACACGGCCGTGTAATCGAAAATCCCGGTCTCGCTGAAGATGCTAACCAGCGTCATCATGGAGAAAAGCAGGAGGAGCGTTTCAATGTCGATCCAGGAGACGACCTCGTCCAGACCGGGACGCGCGTTGTTCGCGGCCAGAATCGCAATGGACAGCGTGCTTATTAACATCGCCGCTAGAGTGCGATGGATCACTTCGAAGATGATCAAGACGTAGAGAAGCACCAACACCAGCGCCGCGTAGATCACCCCATCGTCCACGTTGATGGGGTGCACGTTGTAAGACAATGATAAAGGTAGATTCGTCTTCAAGTTGGTCTTCATGTTCACCCTCACAATGCAGCTGCTAAACGGAGCCTCGGTAAAATTGGTCAGCTTAAACTCGTGCTTCTGCTTCACCTCGGGGACGACACCGATCAAATTCTCGGTGACCAGCGGCACCGTCCAAACACTCGAAACGTTTTGCACGAACAGTATGCTTGATTCTTTGATTTTCGTGCGGTTTTTCAAAGGGTTCAGCAGAACAACGAACTGAACCCAAACGCGTAGAGAATGGGTGGATAGGTTGCTGTAGTACGGTGGCAGAAGTGCTCCGCCCAGTCTCACCCATAATTTACCATGGCGTGGTATTTCCGTAATGATATACCCTGAAAGTTCAGTTACAGGCAGAAGATTAACGCGCGCAAACGACCTTTATTGGTATTCTTCGGCACGCTAACCTGGTGGACCTCCTCCACGGTGACGTGCTTCGCCATTAACACGCAACTGCACCCGATCCAAATCGCAATTAATACCGCCACCTTGGCGTACTTCACGTACTTTTTCCATTTCCGTTTCGCCTTCGGCAGATGGATGTTGTTCCTATACCCAGCCGCACTCAATAACGAAAAATTCCAAAATAACACTTACAATTTTTGCTGCTCTTTGAAGATGTCGACCTCCTGCAGGTCGACAATTTGCGCATCCTCTCCGAGCGGCGGTATCACCAATATCTTCACGTGCGTTCCGTTCGGGCAATGGATCTGCTCGGAGTTTTCCAGTTTCGTGCTGCAATCGAAAACGATCATTTCGAGCAGAAATGAACCGGAGGGATGCCGTACCTTTGTGGGGTATCGTGCAGATTTTCGGCGGAGGTTTTCGTTTTGGAGCACGTCGCACTCATTCTATCAATTTATTGTTCATGTCCAGGCGAATGTGGAGAGATAAACTTATCGGAACCGGGCACCTGTCGGTTACGGGGACGAGTTTTGCGCGCGCACCAAAATTTGAATTAGATTATGACTTCCACCACCTGAAGATTTAATTCCTAATCAATTCGTACTTTTTCGATCAGGCTTCTCAATCAAAAGTTATAGACCAATTTCGAAAAAAAATTCAAGGGGCTGTAACTTTTGAACCAGTAGCCTAATCTTGGAACTGTTTGAAATTATGTATTCTACAGGCCACGTTCTATAAGAAAATTTTTTTTCCGGGTCGATCTGAGACAAAGTTTTTTTCGGGGCTCAAAAAAAGGCAGTGTATTGGAAAAGACTTCCTCGTCTATCGTGTTCCCCTGGTGGCCAGAGAAATTTTATTAGAATTTTCTAACGGCCACTCCGCCGCCTCACGCGTTATATTTTCCTGTTAAAAAATAGTAAACATTTCGGGCAAAGTGAGGTGTTGAAATCATGTGCTCCTGGTAGCCAGAGAAATTTGACAAAAGTTTGATAACGCAAATATTCAGACACTAATACTCAGTGTATTAGAAACAGGAACATCTCGCACATTATATTCGCCTGATACAAGAGCAGAAAGACCTCCTCGAGTCTTATATTTCTGACACAAGGTGGATTTATACAAATTTAAGCCAGAGTAGGGTGTTGCTGTTGAAGTAATTGCTAATGGAAACAGACCTCCTCGACCATCACGTTCTCCTGGTAGCCAAAGAAATTTTGTAAGAATCTTCTAAGTAATACTCTGTGTATTAGGAGCGAAAACACCTCCCCTTACATTATAATCGCCTGATACAAGATTTGTGTTGAAAATATTTCTTTTGAGATAGAAGAACCCCTCCCCACCATCATGCTTTCCTGGTAGAGGGAGTTTCTCTGCACATTAGCAGCAGAAATACTTTCTGGTACCTTATGTTCTTCTGATACAAGTCTATAAAAGTTTAGCTAGAGTGAGGCCTTTTATTAATGGCACGAGACCTCCTCTTTTAGCCACTGCCGTTTATTTTTGCTCTATCCTGCTACACTGTTGTTTTCTTGTCTCTTCGCAAATCCTCACCTCTGCACTCCTCTCCCTCCCACCATCTTCTGTCTCCTGTTACATCCTACCTTCTCTTTCCTGTCCCATGCTGCATTCTCCTGTCTCTTCCTATACTTCAATCATCTCTTGCTCTTCCGTGCCCTACCATGCTCTCTATTGCCCTCTCTTTACTTCACCTCTTCCATTGTTCTATCACCTTCTAGTATTTCCTGATCTCTCCCTCTAGTAACTTTTATGCAGGATTCCCCTCTCTCTTTTTCTTGCTCTTTCTTGCCTGTCGTTTAGCTCGTTCCTAACCAATACCTTGTGCCTTTGGGAGCACCCTCGTCCATTATATTCTCCCGGTACAAAACTTAAAAGTTTAAGAGGAGGTACGGTGTCTTTTGATGTTGGAAAGAGACCTCCTCATCCATCATATGTTCCCCTGGTGGGAAGAGGAACTTTATTAGAATTCCCTAACTGCCTTTTCGTGTATTAGGAGTAGAAACACTTCCCCATGCATTATCTTTTCCTGTTAAAAGTTTAGGGCAAGATAAGGTGTTGAGATGGATAAACACCTTCTTTACATCCTGTTCTTCTGGTAGACAAGGGTTTTATCATTGATCCTCCGTGTATTAGGAGCAGGAATATCATCTCGCTTTTCATGTCTACATCATGCTCTCCTGCAATGTTTAGCGCATCAAATTTCGCTGTCATGGGGGGGGGGGGGGGGGGAGCATGAATTATTTCGTGAGATGCTGTTCCTGAAACCGACAACCAAATGGTCTTAGTGTTTGCATTTGTATGCCCGTAGTGTTTTATTCGAGCGAGATCAGTGGGTGATGGCTCAGAGAGGGGGGGTGGGGGTGGTAGACATTAATTTTATCATTCATGGTATTCTAATTAAAAGTCTCAACGAAAGGACCCGTTTTCTGCCAACTACCGCCTTTCTTTCTGACCCCTAATGAAAAGAGGGGGATTGGGGGGGGGGGGGGGAACTGGTTTTATCCTTCATGGTACTCTAATGAAAGGTCTCAACGAAAGGAATTGATTTCTACCAACCAAAGTCCTCCCCCTCGACCCCTTGTCGTATTATGCCTGGTAAAGCCTAACCAGTCAATTTTGAAATCCTTAGGGCACTAGAATTTTCCATTATAAAAGAACCAAATACCGTTTCAGACAACCCCGTACTGAAGCACCTAATATATAAGACACGACCCCTAAGTTCAAGGGTACTATCATCAAGCCAATGAAAATGAAACACGCGTGGTTTGGGGTTATTTATGTGCTAGCCAAAGGTGTATACGCAACCGGTACACTATAATTATAACAAATGCTTAAAACTGATTCGTCTTTTGACCTTTGGCCCGCCGGCTTGAGTGACCTGAAGGCAAAACCGTAAGAACACCTTACACTTCGATATTCCATAATTCATTCTTCAAGTTTAAAGTTCAAAGGTGGTTCTCTAAAGCTGAAGGTCTTATTTACGTTGTTTATTTACTAGACTCGCCATTTGGAAGCTGAGGGATGAAGTGGTGAAGGCGACATGATCAATTCTTTTGAAATTTAATCAGAACCACACTGAATGACAGCAAAACCAAGCTCCAAGTAATGACGGAGAGGAACCCGACGTAAACGTCCCCATCGAACAATCCCCAGCCTTTGTGCATGATGTGTCTTAGGCTTTCCGTCGACTTCGTCAGAGGGAAGAACAGCGCGAACGGTTTCAGGAGCCAGTGCATCGCCTCGATCGGCCAGATTAGTCCGCCCGTTAGAACTATCGCGAAGTAGCTTCCCATGGCCGCCAGGGCGATGATGATCGGCGAGTTTGACACGCACGATATGACGAGGCCTGAAAGTGTTCGGTCAACGCGTCGTCAGTCTACGTGTCGTACGTACCGTAGGAGATGCCGCAGAAACCCGCGAGCATGAGCAGTAAGGTGGATAACAAAAGAGAGCCTTCGATGGTCATTCCAAACACTAAAAATGCGCAGAGCATTGCTAGTACTATTTGCGTGCTCATTATGGCGTATTCTATGACGATGTGGGCGGTAAGTAGTTCCACTTTAGTCACGCCCATTGCTAGTGTACGTTCCAAGCTGGCTTCGTTGCGCTCTATAAGCATGGCGTAGGCGGTTAGAATGACCCCTATGATGAAGATGATCCTGAAACGGAAGCGTGAGTGATCTACACCTTGGTTGGTACTTACGAGAGTAGGACGCCCGGTATAGAAAAGTCGGTAAAGTTCGGATTCATGCTTCCATAAACGGCCTCCCACTGAAAAACCGACCTAGAGCAACTGTCTAAAGCGCCCCGATCCATACCTGTACTGGCACCTTCATGGCTTCCCAGCGTCGTCCACAACTTTCGATGTAGTCGTAGAAAAACTGCTGGAAAGTCTGGTAGAGGGTGATCTGAAGGTGAATTGCTAGGTGTTTATCTGAAACGACAGTGAAATCCTTTGATGAGAAAGTTCCAGGGGCATACTCGAGAGGTCCCTGAAGACATCTATGGAGGAGCCGGCCAATTCGCTCACGCTTAATCCTTGCCAGTCGTAAGCACGGACGTGCAAGCCACGGGAGTAGTTTCTCCTTATGACAATCGACGCGTAGGTCTCACCTTTCATTACCGACGCAATTGCGTCACCCTCACTCTCGAAGTAACGCTGAAACCCTTCGCTTACAGCCCGACGGCAAGATCGTGCGGACTTACCATCACCAAACCTCGTTCCTCTAAGTACCCGAGGAACGCGCAACTAGCCTCCTCACTTCCGCAAACCAGAGTCGAGTTGCAGTTCCGGAACCCCACCTCCTGGTTAACTACGGCGACCGTCAGGTCAAAGGGGGAATGTCCGATCGCGAGGCAAAATACTGAGACCATAACGACGGGAAGCAGCGTGACGACCGCGAGGACCGTGAGATTTTTACGCAACCACAAGGCGTTCTTCCACACCAACGCCTTCATGTGGCCGCGTTCGATGGGCCACCTTCCGGTAGCTTTAGGCCGATCCGCCCGCGCGGCGATCCCTACGGTGCGCTTCGCCTGGTTCTGTTCCACGCTCAGCGCCAAGAAGACCCTTTCGAGCGTCTCCGCTTGGTGCCGCTTCATCAGTACGGCGGGTGCCGATTCGGCCATCAGGCAACCGCCTCTCATTATACCGACCTGAAATAGTCATTAGCCTTAAATTGAGGTTCAGTACGGTTGAAATTCTACACAGTGTTGTTTTCATAATGGTTTCCGACAAAATACTAGACCGTCGAGGACAACTCAATTAAGCGTGCCGGTGTCGTATTTTTTTCCTACAAAGAACTATTGTTTACAATTAGTGTTTTCGTTGGTAATCAAGCGAACTCTTTAAACGGCAGACCTCGAACAAGGGGTTGGGTACCTTTCTCGCGGGGATAGAAAACGATTCAAACTTACACGATTTGCTTGCCGCGCCTCCTCAATGTAATGCGTCGTAATGATAATGGTAACTCCGCCGTTCCCCGTAAGGCTCTTGAAGTGTTCCCAAATTAGCTCCCTCAACGTGCAATCCACCCCGACCGTCGGCTCGTCCAGAATTAACAGTTCGGGTTCGTGCAAAAGCGCCACCGCCAGCGACACGCGTCTCTGCTGTCCGCCGCTCAAGTTCGCCACCGAGCCCTCGTGCGGTGGCAGCGCGAGCAGATCGACGAGGTACCTCGACCTCTCGTCGATTTTGGCCTCGTCCATTCCAATAACCCTCCCGAAGAACCTTAGGGTTTCCGTAACGGTGAACTCGCCGTACAAACCCGTCGCCTAAGGTTTGAAGATGAGGTTACGCGAGACGGTTCCGTAGCTTACCTGGGGCATGTACCCGATCCGCGACTCGTTTCGCCCTCCCGCCCTTTCCCCGAAGACGTACACGTTCCCAGAATCGAGCCGCTTGATGCCGACGATGCAGCCCAAAAGTGTCGTCTTCCCGCACCCACTCGCACCTAGCAGGCCGTATCTACGAAGAACACTTTTGAACCCTCATTTTTGCCGGGGATACATACATGGATCCTTTGGGCACGTCCATTGAGAGGTCGTGCAGTACCTGAACGCGACCATATCTTTTAAAAGCGCCTTCGACCGCCACCGCGCTGCCAACGCCGTGACTGACATCAATTTCGTTTCCGCCATTATTCGTCTGTAAACTCCAATCACGTACCTTGTTCACCAATGCAGAAAACACCCCCTCGGTGGTGGAATTCTCGAGTAAATCACCGAACATTGAAGTTTAACTGAACGCTACGCTGTTTCGCGATGAATTGACGTAATGTTCTGATATAGTAACCTTTCGAACTTTTTTTAGTTCTTATCTGCTTATCGTGGTATTTTCGGATCAGTTCGTTAACTGTTTCTATTGCTCCGAGTTCACCTAATTATTTCTGGTCGATTTTTTCGCTTTTCAGGACTCACACAACAGAACGTGATTAAACGTGGCCGTTAAAACTGTGCTCCTGATAACTTCAGAAATGTTTAAATGTCACGAGAACGAAAACATTTCGTGCAGAACCACTCATTCACAATGTCGCGCACGTGAACGAATGTTTTACTGCAGCTCTTGTAGCAGGAGGTCATAAAATGCGCGGTATACTACTTCTATGATCCTGATAATACAATAAAATCATCCTAGTATCAGAAGAAATAAATTCACAAGTAGCTCCTGATAGATTTAAGTACGTTTTACGTTTGTTGTCGTATTAGGTGATCATGTACCATACAACTTACTTAATGCTGTGCTCCTGATAATCTCTTAAAAATATCAAAATGTTTTGATATCAGAAGGAATATACGTTTGTTTGGTCTTAACAAAGATTATTACGCTTACAGCAGTTTTTACGAATCTGTGCTCCTGATAATGCATCAAAAATCGTTGGAAAGGGTTTCGATTTTAGTTTGAACTATGTGTTTTTGCTACAGTTTCCGTAGCAGGAGATCTTCAAGTTCAGGGAGTATCCGGACATACAATTTTGTATCTCTGTGCGCCTGATAATCTAAGAAAGTCGTCGAAAAAGCTTTGGTATGGGGCGGACATGTAAGGAATCTCGAATTTCAACTGTAGGCTTGGAATTCCCGCACGAGGGACAAACTTACCCGTCTCAGGGGCGAGATCCTGCTAACACAAAACTCTTCGTGATTTATATTTATATATATTTATTTTAATGCAACTAATACAAGTACAGGACAAAATTTCGATCTTTACAATTCCCCCCTCAAAACCATATTCCTAATCTCCCTCCTTCTCATTTTACCGGCGTCCGACAGCGGAATCGCATCGACAATCTTGACGCCGCCCCTCAACCTTTTCCTGTCGTCCACCCTCTCCTCGACGTACCTCTCGATCTCCTTCGCCTCGACGTTCGCCGCCCGATCCTTTAACACCACCAAAGCCATCAGATGGTTTTCGTCGAGGTCGTGAGGCAGCCCGATCACCAACGATCCGGCGATCTGCGGGTGGGCGGCGAGGACGTCTTCGATCCACGCGGGGGGCACGTGAAAGCCCCGAAACTTGAGGAACTCGCTCAGACGGTCCACGACGTAGAAGCAGCGGTCGTCGTCGTAGTAAACCACGTCGCCGGTCTTGTACCATCCGTCTTCGTCGAGTAAGTGGGAGGAGTCCATCTTGTAGTAGCCGCTCAGGTGGAATTTCGTTTTCAGTCGTAGCTCCCCCTGCTGGTTGGGGCCTAGAAGTTCTTGCGTTTGTAGATCTACAATCTGATCAAAGTGTAAGGTTGGGAGGGGGTGCCGAAGCTGGTTTACCTTATAGGAAATACCGGGACAACCAGTACCGCAGGAGGTGGGTTTCTTCCGAATGAGTTCGCGATCTCTGGGGCTGTTCGGTTTGAACACTGTGATAGTGACTGCCATTTCGGTTTGTCCATACCCTGTGTAGAGTTCACTGTCCGGGAACGCTTTCCGGATGGTTTTAAGCTGCGACTCGATTAGGGCGGCTCCGCCCACTAATATATGTACCAAGCTGCTTGTGTCGACATCTATTGGCCTGGCGTTGCTTACGGACACCAGGTGAAATGGTACCGCGGCGATCAAGGTGGGCTGCAGTTGGCACTGAAATTACGGACTAGTTTCTTGTGACTCACCTTGTATTTATCTATCGCATTCCATACGGCCTCGACACTGAATCTCGGGATAAAAAGGCGCGTTTTGCCCCCCAGCACAACTGAGCAGATGCACGACGCCACAGACACCCAGTAGAGAGAGGAGAAGACGAAGTAAACATCCTGCACGAAGCCGCAATCCCTGGAAGAAGTCCAACGTTAGGAAACTCGCACCGGAGTAAATCCCACGTACAGAAAGAGCTTCCACTGGCACATGAAGCCGTAGTGGTGCGTGCAAATGCACTTCGGCAATCCCGACGTTCCGCTACTGAAGAATATTATGCAGGTTTCCTTCAGGTCCTTCGCCTCGTAGGGCCTAAACCGATCTTCGTCTTCGATCGGTGCCAGGAGCTCGTCAAAGTCCGGTCCGAAGGTGATTACCTTGGTGTCGCTTCCGCTTCGAGCGAGCGATTCGCGGAACGGCGTCCTAAGCTCGGGCGCCACGAACGCCAACTTCGGATTGGCCAGGCGGAGAAGGTGGGCCGTGTCGGTTACGCTCAAGCTGGGATCGAGACCGCTCACTTTCGCCCCCAGGAACATACCGGCCAGGTACGGCACGCACGCGTTGAGGTGGTTGTGGGTGTAGATCGTCACGACGTCCTCGTCGGTTACGCCCATCGCTCGCATCCTGTGGGCGACCCGTGTGCATTTTTGCAGTAGAGAACGGTAGGTGTCTGTTTCTCCGGTAACGCCGTCAATCTGTAACGGACACGAAGGTTTAGTGATGGGGGAAGGAGGGAGGGGTGGAGGGGTCTACCTGAGCAATTGTGTCCAGGTGCTTTTTCATGGAGGCGTGTAGGACGAATCCCAGGCCTCTCGGATCGGGGGTGTAATCCAAATCGGGCATACGCACGATCCTGTCATCGTCACTGGAATCTTAAGTTAATAGGTGTATCAGGATCACAGAAACGCGCTATGGTAAAAAAAACTGACAGATCAAACACCTTTCCGTGCCACGCTTTCCTTATACGTGGTCTCCTGATCTATAAAGTTCTATTCAATTCTAACCGGAAAGCAGAAATCCGACAAGGTAACAATTGCGGCTGAGAGACAATGAGGAAACATCTTCCGTAAAATGTTCTCCTGATATTTCTTGTTGTATTAGGATCACAGAAACAAAGAAGCGCAAAATTTATTGAGCTTCACACGTAATTTGAGAAACGGTAGAATTGAGATCGCCCAAGTGGCATGAATCCACCTTGAGATCGCCCATTAATGTTTGCTGTCAAAAACCATCCAGCGTATTATGTTCTCCCGATACAAATCACAATTTAATATAAAAAAAAATTGTGTCAGGATTACAAACACAGTCAAGTTTATCGGGCAATGCCTCCCCGCTGATTATCTTGTTGCGATACAAGCCTTTATTGTTGCCAAACTTCTCCTGATACAAAATTCTGTATCAGGATTACAGAATGTAAGCGTATAAGAATCCGAAACACACAATTACATTTCTCGAATTTCTTACCTTGTAAACCACTCATCTTGCTTGCACTCAACAATTGTAGTGTTTGGGTGACTAACGGCAGCGGATCTGATCCGTATTATCATTGCGATAAGAAATTATCAATAATTACGCTGTAATATTTCCATTAGAGGTATAAGAAAACATGGACTCTAGACTGTCTACCTTTTTTTAGATTAGATACCAGCTTTCTTTTAGGTGCCTAAGAAAATGATGCCCACCTGTAGATGCTGGGCATCATCTTCATAGGTTTGCCTTTTAATTTAATATTGGTTGCATAAAATCAATTTTGAATGGAAGAGTATGACAAAGAGGTGCGTGTGACCTACCCAAAGCACCACGTCACCTAGTATCTCCGAAGTTAGGCCACCGACTCAGTTGCAAATGCAATGGGTATAACGATTTCGTACAAAATATTGATCACTTTCCGCGCGAAAAGGTGTGACTTGATGTACTGACATTGAAAACGCTTTCGTGGCATGCGACCTATAAAACCCCCCAGAGAAATTTCAGCCTTTCAGTTAAAACTCCGCCACGCCCGCGCGCGGGTTTGGAAATGTCTAACGGCTCGCTCGACTTGTACGCCGAGGAGTCCATCGATAGCGAGGTGACGAATTCGGTCGGCTACTGTAAGTTTATCGATTCCTTTCGGATCTTTCAAGGCATTTTTCTAGCGAAGAGCTTCGCGACGCCCTTCGGCCCGTTACACTACATGGGTGAGTGGGGGGGAGGGCGCGCGTTTTCCTCAGCTTGATCTGCCCGTTTCAGTGGGAGTCGCCGGAGTGTCGCTGGTGCTGTTTATCATCTACGTGGTGTACCAGCAGGCGAAGTTCTCGCAGAACCAACACCAGGAGCAGGCGCCGAGAGAGACTGGTGGTGGATGCGAGCACAGATTCTGTGCAAGGGTCCAGCTCACGAACTCTTCGTGCTCTTGCCTCTTGGACACTTTGGCCAGAAATCCGATGGTCACCGAGCGAGTCGGCGCACGACCGTTGAGGAACGCTCGAGTCACGGGCTACTCTTCAGCTTACCCGCAGGATCTACCGCCATCTTACGTCAGCTCGGTACGTTACGATTGCCCGCCGAGCTATGAAGAGGCGATTACTTTCAATTTTAATATAAGCCAACACATTTAAACATTGTTTATACAATAAATAATTACCTACCAACATTTGTGTTGAACTGGTCGCGATCCATACTGAATGAGGGAAAACGGAGCGCTTAAGTCCCCCAGAGTATTCTGGAGCAGCAATTCGATGACTCTCTCTGACTGTACCAAGGTACAATTATCGTAGCAGTGCTAACAGTAGACTTTTTGGGTGAAAACATCGCACCGGGGGGTCTGGGGGGTGTGGAATACTCCCAGCAGCACCCTCAGCAAAAGAGAACCCGTTACCTCTTTTTATATTGGTGACTTTTGGAAAAAGATATTCAAACCTTCGTCTGCTGGGGGGTATGGACCCCCCGGTCCTGATTTCATTTATGATCGTGTTCAATTTTCAAGGCTGTCATCACAGCTTTTAGAAAAGGACAGCCAAATCTCTCTTTCAGGATCGCCCATGGTCTTTTCTCTCAACTTATCGTAATAGTACTAGACCTTTTTGGGTGAAAACATAGCACCGGGGGGTCTGGGGGGTGTGGAATACCCACAGCAGCACTCTCAGCAAAGGAGAACCTTTTACTTCTTTTTATATTGGTGACCTTTGAGAAAAGATAATCAAACTTAGGTCTGCTGGGGGGTATTCCAGACCCCCCGGTCCTAATTTCACTTATGATCGTGTTCAGTCTTCAAGGCTGTCATAATAGCTTTTAGAAAAGGACAGACAAGTCTCTCTTTCAGGATCGCCCATGGTCTTTTCTCTTCACTTTTCGTAATAGTACTACACTTTTTGGGTGAAAACATACCACCCGGGGGCCTGGGGGAGTGGAAAACCCTCCAGCAGCACCCTCGGCAAAAGAGAACCCGTTACTTCTTTTTATATTGGATGACCTTTGGGAAAAGGTAATCAAACCTTCGTCTGATGGGGGGTATTCCATACCCCCCAGACTCCCCGGTACTGATTTCACTTATGATCGTGTTCAGTCTTCAAGGCTGTCGAAGCACATAGGTTCTTTGAGGGGGAGTGAGGAGGCACCCGGGAAAACCACATAAGATGTTGTTCCCAGGAGGATTCCAAATTTCACTAGATCTTAAAGGAGTGAAACTAAAACTAGATGGAACCTGACTACCGATTTCGCTTAGAAGGCCAGCAGATCATCGTCATTGATGTATGTGTACGCGTGACTAACGGAAAGCATCCTGTATATCGGAGTTCGTATTACTTCTCGAAACGTCCCCGTATAATCGATAATTATAATAACATAACCTAGCATTATCGATTTTAGCGTTAATGCATTTTTTAAGTATTTTATTTAGTACTAATTAAGTACTTGTACTAGTCATTTACAGTTCCTCGATCGCGCGAATATGTGAGCCGCTTTTCGGGTAAGTGCCGAATCCGATCGCATTTTGAATCAGAGACAATTTTAGCAATTCTCGCCGATCGGGAATGCAGTATTAAGGAGGGGGTTCCAAATGGAGACGCAGGATTTCAAATTTAGCCTCTACGATTACGATATAGCGACCGCGAATTGCGTGAACATCTCGCAGGTTAAGTCCGATTTTAGGATAAGCGACGACGAGGATGAGGACGACTCGCCCAAGAAGTTTTACACCCTGACGAATTTCGTCGTCGAGCCGTCGGTCGACGTTAAGGCCGAGCTGAACGGCGAGGCGAACGAGTCGACGGACATACCGATCGCGATCATCGAGACTCAGAGCAAGGAGTACGACGAGCTGAACGGCGAGGGCGAGTTTATTAATATTAACGTCGCGAAGCCGGCGATTGAGAAGAGGTACGTTAATCAATACCTGTTTAGTAAAATAAAGGGAGTCATTTTTGTGCTCATTTACTGCTGAGGGGTGCAGATTTTGTGCTCTCGTATAGTGCAAGTAACTCGGAAAAGAAAAAAAAACAAGTGATATAGGCAAGTAACTTCGTATATAGGATCCTTTTGGTTCAAAATCGTGTGGCTGTCCGTCTGTGCGCATGATGACCCTAGAGGGTAAGGTCTTAGCTCGGGTTTTAGGGTCTTGACACTTGGTATATAGGATCCTTTTGGTTCAAAATCGTGTGGCTGTCCGTCTGTGCGCATGATGACCCTAGAGGGTAAGGTCTTAGGGTCTTGACACTTGGTATATAGGATCCTTTTGGTTCAAAATCGTGTGGCTGTCCGTCTGTCTGCATGATGACCCTGGAGGGTAAGGTCTTAGGGTCTTGACACTTGGCATATAGGATCCTTTTGGTTCAAAATCGTGTGGCTGTCCGTCTGTGCGCACGATGACCCTAGAGGGTAAGGTCTTAGGGTCTTGACACTTGGTACATAGGATCCTTTTGGTTCAAAATCGTGTGGCTGTCCGTCTGTCCGCATGATGACCCTAGAGGGTAAGGTTTTAGCTCGGGTTTTAGGGTCTTGACACTTGGTATATAGGATCCTTTTGGTTCAAAATCGTGTGGCTGTCCGTCTGTGCGCATGATGACCCTAGAGGGTAAGGTCTTAGGGTCTTGACACTTGGTATATAGGATCCTTTTGGTTCAAAATCGTGTGGCTGTCCGTCTGTGCGCACGATGACCCTAGAGGGTAAGGTCTTAGGGTCTTGACACTTGGTACATAGGATCCTTTTGGTTCAAAATCGTGTGGCTGTCCGTCTGTGCGCACGATGACCCTAGAGGGTAAGGTCTTAGGGTCTTGACACTTGGTACATAGGATCCTTTTGGTTCAAAATCGTGTGGCTGTCCGTCTGTCCGCATGATGACCCTAGAGGGTAAGGTTTTAGCTCGGGTTTTAGGGTCTTGACACTTGGTATATAGGATCCTTTTGGTTCAAAATCGTGTGGCTGTCCGTCTGTGCGCATGATGACCCTAGAGGGTAAGGTCTTAGGGTCTTGACACTTGGTATATAGGATCCTTTTGGTTCAAAATCGTGTGGCTGTCCGTCTGTCTGCATGATGACCCTGGAGGGTAAGGTCTTAGGGTCTTGACACTTGGCATATAGGATCCTTTTGGTTCAAAATCGTGTGGCTGTCCGTCTGTGCGCACGATGACCCTAGAGGGTAAGGTCTTAGGGTCTTGACACTTGGTACATAGGATCCTTTTGGTTCAAAATCGTGTGGCTGTCCGTCTGTCTGCATGGTGACCCTAGAGGGTAAGGTCTTAGGTTCTTGACACTTGGTATATAGGATCCTTTTGGTTCAAAATCGTGTGGCTGTCCGTCTGTGCGCACGATGACCCTAGAGGGTAAGGTCTTAGGGTCTTGACACTTGGTATATAGGATCCTTTTGGTTCAAAATCGTGTGGCTGTCCGTCTGTGCGCATGATGACCCTGGAGGGTAAGGTCTTAGGCTCTTGATACTTGGTATATAGGATCCTTTTGGTCCAAAATCGTGTGGCTGCCCGTCTGAGCGCATGATGACCCTAGATGGTAAGGTCTTAGGGTCTTGACACTTGGTATATAGGATCCTTTTGGTTCAAAATCGTGTGGCTGTCCGCCTGTCCGCTAGATGACCCTAGAGGGTAAGGTTTTAGAGTCTTGACACTTGGTATATAGGATCCTTTTGGTCCAAAATCGTGTGGCTGTCCGTCTGTCCGCATGATGACCCTAGAGGGTAAGGTCTTAGGCTCTTGATCCTTGGTATATAGGATCCTTTTGGTTCAAAATTGTGTGCCTGTCCGTCTGTGCGCATGAAGACTTGGTATATAGGATTCTTTTGGTTCAAAATCGTGTGGTTGTCCGTCTGTCCGCTAGATGACCCTAGAGGGTAAGGTCTTAGGGTCCTGACACTTGGTATATAGGATCCTTTTGGTTCAAAATCGTGTGGCTGCCCGTCTGAGCGCACGATGACCCTAGAGGGTAAGGTCTTAGGGTCTTGACACTTGGTATATGTGATCCTTTTGGTCCAAAATCGTGCAACTGTCCGTCCATGCGCACAATAGCTTTAAAATGAAGGTCTCACGGCCTTGAAACTTGGTATGTAGCATAGGGAAAGGGTCGAGTCTCTGTTTCTTGGGTGGTTTCAAATCCTCTAGGTGGTATGAAGCTCGCAGGGTGTGCGAGGCGCTTCTAGTAAGGACAAGCATATCGCATATTGTAAAAATTAGGTGTGCGCATGCGCAAACTGCGCAATGTCATCTTTCTTATTTATGGGTTTGTATATTATTGCTTACAGGTACGTTGTTGAAACGTATTCCAATGATCTCGACCTTCATAGTGTAGAGAAGAGGCCGGCGAGCCCCGAGTTTTGTGAGCCGGTGGAGGCGGTGGCGATGGACGTCGACGTGGAAGCGTCGTTGAGGTGTAAGGATTGCGATTTTACGACGTCGAGCGACACGGAGCTGAAGGCGCACGGAAAGACGCACGCGGCTCCCGCGCAGTTCATTTGTAAGATCTGTGGGCAGTTGTTCAAGCACAGCTACAGCGTGAAGCGGCACATGCGCATTCACACGCGGGACCCCGCCTACAAGTGCAACGAGTGCAACTTCGAGTGTCAGCGCAGTGAGTCGCTTAAGGCCCACAAGAAGACTCACTCGGAGAGTTCTACGTCTCACAAGTGTAACATCTGCGCGTTCACCACGTCGAGCAAGTCGTCGCTGAAAGCCCACCTCGACAGTCACACCAAAGACCCGCTTAAAGGCGAGGACTGTGATCTTAGTGCCACACGACTACTTTTAGGTTTAACGAGTGATAGTGAAGATCGGCCATGTAACTTTAATAGCATTAGCGAGCGGTACAAATGTAGCGACTGCAATTACAGTACAACAAAGCTAGTTCACCTAAAGATGCACATGCGGAAACACAGCGCCGACGTCCCCTTCAAGTGCAAACTCTGCGACTACACCACGGCGAAGAAGGGCAACTTCGTCGTGCACTTGCGCAATCACACCGGCGAAAAGCCGTACAAATGCGCGTCGTGCGGCTTCACCTGCAAGCAGTTCATCCACCTCAAGCGGCACATTAAAAACCACGTCAACGAGGAGGAACTGTTCGGCTGCAGCAAGTGCGAGTATAGGACGGGCGAAGGCCGCGAGCTCGAGCTGCACATCAAAACTCACGGCGGCACCTCGGAGTTTGTCCTCGACGAGCTTCAGTTCGATGACGAGAGCTCGGACGCCCACTCCAACTCATCGGACGCCTTCCTCACGGAGCCCGCCGACACCCGTCGCCGCTCTACGAAAACCAAACTGCACAAGTGCCCACACTGCGAGTACATGACCAACCAGACCGGCAATCTCAAGCGCCACCAGAAGACCCACTACAAAGAGACGCCCCCCTCGCCCGTCTCCGTTCCCGTGGAGACGCCGCCGGCCAAGCTCGACGTCCTCGAGTGCGGCGAGTGCCCGTACAGGGCGACGCGTAAACACCAAATGGACATTCACATGCGGGTCCACAACGGCAAACAGCTCTACGAGTGCAACCTCTGCGATTATAAGTCGATCAACAAGTACAACCTGTCACGACACCAAAGGACCCACGCCTTCGACGAGACGAACGGCACGACAAAGGAGCCGGAATCGGCGGGGGGATAATTAGGTAGTTTTTGGCATTAACGTCGTAAAGTTATTTTTATAAGGTGTGTGTTCGGATTGATGTCAATATTTATTTAACGCATTTGTGTTGTGGACGCTTTTTTGGGGCGCGTGCGCAAGAAAGCGTCTACTCCTGTACAGTGTAAAATTACAAAAGAGAACTTTGCATGGTAGTTATTTATGTATGAATGTTACCTCCCTACGAATTACATCGACTGTTGTGTTGGTTCAATTTTTTTTAAATAGCAGCGGTACCTTTATTATTATTATTTTTTTTTTTCTATACATTGTTAATTATTGTCGCAGTATTTTATTTACTGTTTTCGTCGTACTACATAGGATTAGTTTATATTTCCAATTGTCTATCTCTGTATGATGTTATTGAAATATAAAGTTTACCACTCGTGTGCAATAATCATTCTGTTATTTTTTTACAAAACCAAATGATCATCCAAAATGAACCACCTTTGAGCACCTCAAAAATGAAACAATCAACGCAAATTATTTTAGTTCCATAGGAACGAGTCTCTTTTGCCACACTTTGTACATAAAAGATCAAAAGAAATTCTGCATGAAAAAAGGCACAATAAAAATATGAATGCAAACGGGTGGGAATTACCGCCGTGGTTTTTCTAAGGGACGACGCTGGTCGATACATTTTACATTGCCATCTAACGTCACGTACTAGAAACGGTCAGATTTAAATTCGAAACGGTACACCAAAAACCCCGAAGAGGGCGCCAAATTTCGTGTTATTAATAATAGAAAGATTGTTTAAACTGCAACGATTAACATTAAACTAAGGGCGAGTTTACAACCTTTCGCAATTGCAAACGACGCCCGGACTAAAATCGGCCGCCCCCGTTACCGGAATCAAATCTAAATTCGAACGCGTCCGATTTCGCGCCGAAATTTAAATTAAAACAAGATTAACATAATATTGGGCGTGTTTAAGGTCGCATTAGTGTCGACGTACGTCGCGCGCTGATTTGTGGCCGATCGTAAAGAAGCGCGTGAGAAATGTCCGCTCGTAAGAAGGTCGGTGCTCGTCGAATAAAGGCGTAGCCATTTTGATTTTGACGAATATTGACATACGTCTTGCAGTCTAGACAGAAAGTCATTTGTTACTCGGGAAGTGACATGTAAACATTTGCAAATTTGCTGTTAAAAAATCGGGGCGGTCACATGTTCAGCTGTAAACGGCCGTGATCCGTTGGTCGAGTGTGCGTTCGCGTTGCCCCCCCAGCGGGAAGGCCGATTTTGTTTTTTGTGGGATACGGAGTGGCTTAAAAAAAACCTGTGTGCGGATTAGAATGATCTGTGAACGACGAGGTGAAAAATGCTGGAAAGTGTGGCATCGCAACTATCAAGTTTTCTGATGGAATGTAAGTCCTTCACTTGTTGACTTCTCCCCCATTTACCTTTATTCGCCCCCGAGCCTCGAAATATTTAAGGTTAGGTTGTAAATTTATGACCGTGTATGTGTATGTGCACTGCAATTGTACAGTGTGCGTCAATCGATTCGATGAGTAAACGGCCCATTCGAATGCAGAATCTGCATTGCCATATTTTCCCAGTCGTATTCAAATTATATTTCTAAACAGCCATAAACATTTGAGACATGTTCCAAGTTAAATATAAAGAAAACCGGGAAAACTCACACCACTCTCGCGTGGAGCTATATACATTAAATAAAGATGAAAGAAAACTTTTCCGAATGCAAGTAAAAGAGATGAAAACGTAAAGACAGGGAGAGACGGCTCCCGTAGAAAGAGAGGGAGGCGGAATGGATTTGCTGCTGTTTTCTGTTTTGAGATTAGATGAAACACTTCATGCAGCGTGAGCTCAAGATAGCTTTTTGGGTATCAACCGACAACGAAAATATGAGATTAAACGGAAGTGGCTATTGTATTGACTTGGCGAGCTTCAAATCAAAATCGCCTTCACTCTTCACTTGTTTCTTGTCTATTGTATATTGATCTCGCATTGAAATGCTGTTTATACCGGACGTTTTCTGTGTAATTAAAACCCTGTTCGTTTTGACGCGGCGTGCACGGGGGGACGATTTAAAAATATGTTGTATTGTACAGGATGTTTCAAATCACTCGTATCTAATAACTTCAAAGGCGAATTTATACAGAAACACTAGAAATGCATTGGCGCCTTTTCACCTTCGATGGAATCCTGATTGTCTTATTGACAAAACACATTTTTTCATCTAAATCGCACTTCTTACATTTTATATTCTCCTGATACAAACATCTTTTTTCAAAATGAGCAAGAAAAGGTCATCACTTACTCACTTTCTGGCGCTTTATGGTCTTTTGATAAAATTTTTTTTATTGTAGAAATAACTGCATTAGGAGCAGAAGCACTTTCTTACGATTTATGTTCTCCCAATACGAATTTCCGGTGTAAAAATTGGCGGATTCGCAGTAAAAGAGGGTCTGAGCTTATTTAGCACACAGTTTCTCTCGTTTTATGTTCTTCTGATATGAGTTTCTTATGTAAAGGGAGATGTAAAGGGGCATTAGGAGCAAAAAAGAGGTGTAGTTTAATTAACATGCCCTTTATCATGTTTTATGTCCTCCTGATACAAGATCTGGTTGTATCAGGGCCATAAGAAGCTGTAAAATTGATTCCCGCGCACTTTCTCACGTTTTACGTTTTTGATACAATTTTTTTTGTAGAAAAACTTGTAATAGGAGCACATGCTCACTTTCTTACGGTTTATGTTCTTCTGATACGAATTTCTGATGTAAAAATTGGCGTGATTCAAGCACGAGAGATTATAACTATAAGCTTTATTAACGTTCTTAGGTTTTATCTCGGGTTTTATGTTCTCCTGATACAAATTTCTGTTGTAGAAATTGGATTCGTAGCAGAAGAGGGTGTATTGGGGACACGGGAAGTTGTAGGGCACGCATTTTCTCACGTTTATGCTTTTTTTATTCAATTAAGTGTGATAGGAGCACAGACACTGTTCTGACAATTTATGTTCTCCTAATGCAAATTTTTGTTTTTAAAGTAAGTGTATTAGGAGCACAAAAACGAGCAATGTTAATTTACATGCACTTTTTCATTGATGTTCTCCTGATACAAATTGCTGGTTTTTTTAATTTTCCGAGGGTATTCCATACTCCCCAGACCCCCCGGTGTTGCATTTACCACCAAAACCGTCTGCCTCGCTACTGTCAGTACAGTTTTCGGTAGAAGACATCATCGAACGCAGCTCTGCCGCTTTTTCTGATGCATTTTCCATTTTCTTTTGTTTCGAACTTTGCGGCGAGGACTAAGAAAACTGTGCACCTTTTTATTGCATCAAATTTAAATTGTTAACTTTCGCAAGTACTGAAGAATGAATGCATATAACACTTAATTGGAAAATTGCATCCGCTCGAAGCGACACGACCGCGCTTCGAAACTTTTCCGCACTTAATCCGCTCAAATATGCATCGAGTAGAAACTTTAGATTGTTTGAAAAGCACGAATTTTCTTACTGCGTCAGATCTAGTTGAAAAATCTCATAAAATGGCGCTGTAAGATAGCGTCTGTCTCTTTTTAAGACAAAGATGACGTAATGCTTCTGTCATTTCGTATTCAAAGTTCGTTGGTACCGAGACGTGTCGAATGGTTCCGAGACGGCGGCGTCTGGAGGGCTCTGAATACACCTATGACGCGATGACTTCACGAGGGATGGTGTCGTGCCCAAATGGCATGGATTTGCGACGTCAGAACCATTCAAGAAATCTTGGTGTTATCCTCTTGGGGGCCATGTAGAGTAGATCCCCTTGAGTCACTTTTCTCTGGTTTATAGTGGCTTCTGAAGTGCCAAAATTTTAAAAAATGGCAGTGGCGTACCGGAAACCGTTTGTATTAATTGAATTATCGAGGAGCGTGGAAGTTTTTATTTGCCGTGCAAATATCAGAAGGCGAAGGTGACGTGTTAATGCCTTCGTAATTTGCACAATTATCCTGCAAGTGCTAATTAGCGCCCCTTCCAGTTGGTTTTACGGTCACTTTACGAGGTGCGTAATTGACGGATTAGTTTTAATGACCGTTAATTTTTTCGTCCCATCCATCCATCGCGCCTCGATCCTGCGAAGAGCAACGATTATGTCATTAAGATCCCTAATGAACGGCTGTACCTGGCACGGGGATTTTTAAGGGCTGCAAAAAAAATCGAACACGAAAACGAGCAGCGCCGCCTTAGATATAGACGATAAACTTAATCTAAAAGACCATCCGTTGCTGCATATAAAAAACAGCTGTTCCGGCGATATTTGGTTAAAATTAATAAAAGAACACCATGCACGATTTGTGGCCTTATATAAATACTTCATAAGTCAGCCGAGTTTCGCTATCGCTGTATGTTTAATTCATTCAGTAACCGAGGACGGAACACAATTATTGTACTCCCGAATCCGTCCCATGGTGACACTTGTACATAATCGCCTCGGCGTCGCTCTCTCTCTCCCTCCGACAGTCCTCTTATCGTACGACCGTCCTTGTCTAACCCGCACGGATACAACTAGCGACATCTTCTATGCGCTCGAGCCCTTCCTCTCCAATACAAAGAATACAGTGCATTTTCCACATTAATTACCGAAACCCGGAAGCACTCGTCATCGGTGGGTGGGAAAGATTATTTTTCCAAACGGTTATTATGTAATTAACTGCTTGCGCAACACGTTATTACTTGTAAAATGTAAATTATTAAGTTTCACTTGAAGGATTTCGCGTCAGGGTTACGCGCGCCGAGCAAAGAAATTTTAGAACCGGTAGCGCAATTTGTATAAATTAGCCTAGAAAAAATAACGAAGGTAATAAATTAAGCGATCGGATTTTCGGCGAGGGGGGAGCTCATTGCCCGGCGCTCGGACCGACAATCATAACGCCATTACGGGAAACAATTTAACAAGCACCGTCTTCGCTCGGAATTAGTTAAATTAAAGTTTAAATTAGAGAAGCGCCTCTTGTTCGCTCGTTCGCCTTAGGATTATTGGATTTTTTATTGTTATTGCTATCGGAAGGCGAAACGCTTTTAATTGTATCGCTCCCGCGTTTAGAAAATTATTCTTCGAGGGTGCACGTGCTTTTGGAAGAGAAAAGGGTCGAAAGATTCCCCCGGCAAATGCGACTCGTTGATAGCGATTCTGTGAAACATTCTGTATACAGAAATTAGTTTTTCGAGCCATTGTGCAATACCTTATGGGGTAGGAGTGGGGAGGGGGGGGGGCAGATTTCTACTTCACTCGAAATTTTAATGCTGTACAGGGTGGTCCAAATTCGGACTGGGATCTCCGTAGGTTAAATGGGGGCGCAGTGTGACTAAAAAAACGCTTTTGAAATTTTTGAAAAATCTTTGAAAATAACCGAGATATCACCAAAAAACTGAAAATGTCAAGGTAACAGGGGCACAGGAATTCGAGAAGCTGTAGTGACACTTTTTCGATCATTTTATATTCTCTTGATCCACGTTATTCTTCCAAAATGATGAAGTAGATGAAGAGCGCAGGAATTCAGGAGAGTGTAAGGTGATCAAAGATTGTCAAACACCCTGTGTCGTATTATATTATACCCCGGAATCTGTTTTGTGCCTCGTGAGAATCATGTCAGTTATTTTCAAGACAGAGCTTTCAAACCTCTCCTTTTTTTTCCTTGGGGGAGGGGGGTGTACGGACCCAGGATCCCAGACGCTACCCCCCAGCACATTAGGAATCGATTTATTTTTCCTGGGGGGTAAAAAATCATAAACGTTCTTATTGTCCCAAACATTTTTGGGGAGAATTTACCACCGGGGGGTCGGGGAGTATGGATTATCCCCCAGTCTACACCCCCTGCACATTAGGAATCGATTTCTTTTTCCTGGGGGGCATTCCATACCCCCCGGTGTTAAATTCTCGCCAAAAATGTTTGGGACAATAAGAACGTTTATGATTTTTTTCTCGGGAGTGCCTTCACGGTGTCCTTTATTTGTGGGGTACAGTACACAATCCACGGGGGGTATGGAATACCCCCCAAGAAAAAGAAATCGATTCCTAATGTGCAGGGGGTGTAGACTGGGGGGTATTCCAGACCCCCCGGTGGATTATGTAGGGTGCCCCACAAATAAAGGAGAGCGTGAAGGCACTCCCGAGAAAAAAATCATAAACATTCTTATTGTCCCAAACATTTTTGGGGAGAATTTAACACCGGGGGTCTGGGGGGTATGGAATACCCCCCAGTGTACACCCCCTGCACATTAGAAATCGATTTCTTTTTCCTGGGGGGTAAAAAATCATAAACGTTCTTATTGTCCCAAACATTTTTGGGAAGAATTTAACACCGGGGGGTATGAAATACCCCCCAGGAAAAAGAAATCGATTCTTAATGTGCAGGGGGTGTATACTGGGGGGTAATCCATACCCCCCGGTGTTAAATTCTCCTCAAAGATGTTTGGGACAATAAGAACGTTTATGATTTTTTACCCCTCAGGAAAAAGAAATCGATTTCTAATGTGCAGGGGGGGGACCCCCGGTGGATTATGTAGGGTGCCCCATAAATAAAGGAGAGCGTGAAGGCACTCCCGAGAAAAAAATCATAAACATTCTTATTGTCCCAAACATTTTTGGGGAGAATTTAACACCGGGGGGTATGGAATACCCCCAGGAAAAAGAAATCGATTCTTAATGTGCAGGGGGTGTAGACTGGGGGGTAATCCATACCCCCGACCCCCCGGTGGTAAATTCTAAATGTTTGGGACAATAAGAACCTCCAAAGATGTCTTGGGACAATAAGAATCGTTTATGATTTTTTACCCCTCAGGAAAAAGAAATCGATTTCTAATGTGCAGGGGGTGTAGACCCCCCCCCCCCCCCCAGACCCCTCGGTGGATTATGTAGGGTGCCCCACAAATAAAGGAGAGCGTGAAGGCACTCCCGAGAAAAAAATCATAAACATTCTTATTGTCCCAAACATTTTTGGGGAGAATTTAACACCGGGGGGTATGGAATACCCCCAGGAAAAAGAAATCGATTCTTAATGTGCAGGGGGTGTAGACTGGGGGGTAATCCATACGCCCCGACCCCCCGGTGGTAAATTCTACCCAAAAATGTTTGGGACAATAAGAACGTTTATGATTTTTTTCTCCGGAGTGCGTTCACGCTGTCCTTTATTTGTGGGGCACAATACATAATTCACTGGAGGGTCTGGGGGGGTACGGAAAACCCCCCAGTCTACACCCCCTGCACATTAAGAATCGATTTCTTTAGCCTGGGGGGTATTCCATACCTCCCAGGGGGTCTTGAGGGTATTCTTTCCGCCTTTTCCGAAATGGTCCCAACATTTTCTACTTGGTAGGCTTTATCGTCAATTTTAGTTTCTCTACACTACCACCAGAGGGGCAGCGCGATAGTCAATTTTAAGTCCTCCATCTTCACCCTAATTTTAGTTGTATAGTTTTCCATTTACCACGTTTATTATTAACAAATGAGCGTCTGAAGACCAATCCTTGGGCGATATTGGCCCAATTGTTTTACTTTACGAATCAGCTTTTGTCTCTTCTTTCAGGTAGAATGATATGGATTGTGGTGTACAAAGCGCAATGCTAAGCGTTGCACCGGGAAGCGATGCAGCAGCACAACAGCCCCTGTCTGCTGCAGCACTGTTCCCTACGTCAGAAGGCGATCAGGCGCAGTTCGAGGCCGACAAGCGAGCTGTATATAAGTAAGTCCTTCCGTCCCCTACCCCGCGATCTGACCCGACCCACTTTTTGCAGACACCCTCTATTTCCACTACTCGCCTTACTCTTCGAACGTTGCGAACTAGCGACCCAATCGTCCGACCCCCAATCCAGCGATGCGTTCAACATGGACATTCAGGCGTTCGTACAGCACCAGGAGCGCGACCGCAAGCCTTTTCTCGCTAACGAACCGGAAATCGACGGACTGATGATTAAAGCAATACAAGTTTTACGAATTCACTTATTGGAATTGGAAAAGGTGCAGGAGCTCTGCAAGGACTTTTGTAATCGGTACATTACCTGCTTGAAGGGGAAGATGCAGTCGGAAAATTTACTGCGTTCTGATTACCCGCAAGGTAAGGTCTTACTCGATTCTCACGGCAGTTGTGCAGTATCTCTTTTTAGGACCTTCTGTGATGAATAATAATTTAGAGAGTAGTAATAATAACAATAGTTTAATGTCACACGCCAATTCGGAGAGCGGCTCAGATTCGAATAGCCCAGTGCAATATACCATAAGCCCCCAACAGGTGAGTGCGGTTTTCGTAGGACAATCGACTAGGTTTGGCTCGATTTAGGTTATACCGACTCCGACGAGTGTCTTGGAGCGACAGTTGGACACGCCCACAAACTACGGGGTGCAATCGTACGCCGTTCCTCCGCAGGCGATACCTCCCCAGCCCGCTTGCGAAAATATTGTCGTGCACGGATCGACGCCCCTCTCCCAGATCGGTGTGACCGCTTGCCCGCCGCCTCCGAGCGACAGTTCCGGGCAGGTCTCTCCAGCGCCCACCACGCCCGGCGGATCGGAGGAGTGCGACAGCGATTTCACGTCGAGAGGTCGCAAACAGAAGCGGGGGGTGTTGCCGAAGCACGCGACCAGCGTCATGCGCTCGTGGCTGTTCCAGCACCTTGTGGTCGGTGGGCGAGTCGCTCGATTGCACCTTCTCATCGTCTGTTTTAGCATCCGTACCCGACGGAGGACGAGAAGCGCCACATCGCCGCCCAGACGAACCTCACGCTGTTACAGGTGAACAATTGGTTCATAAATGCGCGCCGGCGCATCCTGCAGCCGATGCTCGACGCGAGCGCGCCGAACGACAGCAGCGCGACGAGCTCGCCCGCCCACAAGAAGAAGAAGGTGCAGAACAACAACAGGCGATTCTGGCCGCAGGACTTCGCGAGCATGCAGCCTCAGATCGACAGCGGTAAGTCGACTCGCAGTTAGCGCTCGACTGACTCGTCCGCTTTAGGCATACTGTCCAGTTCCGATGACGACGGCGACTCGTACAGCAGCGACGGCGAGGAGGGCAGTCTCGTCATCGACTCGTCGGCGCAGGGCGGCGAGGTCAACCAGAACGGTCACCAACTCGATCCGCTGGCGTTCGATAACAGCCCCAAATTAGAGAGGCCCTGAGGTATTTCATTTCACCCGTTAAGCCGTAGGCGATGGTGCCATAGCCGTAAGTGTATACCTCCCGGGTCCGGATTCGCGGACTCGGCCCGTTGTTACTTGAAGATTTTAGACGTGCGCGCGCGCGTGTGTTCGGTTATTGTTTACAGTTGTATACGTTACTTGGAGGACGAGGTAAGATAAGGCTGACGAATGTTGTTTGTTTGTTTTTTGTTGTTAAAATAGTAAACTTGTATACGTAAATGAATACCTCAATTTGAATTAACACGACGTAAATCTGAGCTGGAGAAACGGAACGGTCGCCGCTCGGGGGGCCGATTCCTCTTTTCCAGGTTAGAAGTCGTACTACCTATTACTAGTGTATACGCATTGAAAGATGAATCCAAGCTCATTCCAGTATTAAAGAAGAAAGTGTAAATTTTAATTAATAAGTAATACGTAATATGCCGCACCTTTTCCTGTGTAATAAATAAGCTGAGCTAAAGTGAACGGCGGCAGATTAAATTTTTAAGGTTATGTTTTCGTAAGATATCTCTGCCGTTGCACGACAGCATCGTGTGCAGTATTAGAATAGGGTTTTTTATAATTGCAAAAAGTTCAGAAGGTACTCTCGGGCTTTGGCACCTCAAAAACCAGATTGCAACGGTGATGACGCGCCCTTCTATATCTCGATTATGGTCATGGCAAACCTGAACTAAGGCGAGAAGACCTTTTGATCTTTGTTGAAGTATACATACATGGAACTAATATACGTAATTATACAATAAGTATATTAAGATAGTCGTTTCCATCCATTATAAGAGAGAATGAAAACTTTTATTATCGTTGAGAAGTTCATAATCAGCGCATATTACTTTGTGCCATCTTAATCTTATTCTAGTATGACATTGATAAAGTAAATTTTGATAAAAAGTACAAATATTTTTAAAGCGCGCCCGCTCGCTTAAACTATGATTTGAAAGATCTTCCTGTATCAATGTCATCCGCTGCACGTATACGTAATTTTTAAGCGATGTACATAATTTTTTATAGTTGCTGCTGTAGACGTGAGAGAGGTCAATTAATTGACGACAGTATCCGATGTTCAATATCGGTTCGCGCCCGATGCTACCCATTGGACATTTTGTGGTATTATGTTTTAGTTGCTATGTCAGTCTGTGATACTTAAACGATTGCTCTAAAGAAAAAAAAGTCATTACAAGAAGCGGTGTAGACGATTTTTGCGAAAAATTACTAGGACGGTCCCGGCCCCGGGACCGTTTGTTGCTTACATTTTTGAAACAAAAAAAAGGAAGCTTCGTGTGACTACGTGTATACGCTAAATACTCAGATAGTTTTTAAGGGTCTTAAAAATTAGGATTAGTTGAAATTGAAAATTTTTGCGTTGATATTTGCTGGCATTGCTTAAACAACTAATCTTTTGGTGAGTGTACCCGATGAAATTTTGTTTCTTCCCTCGTTTGCTTACCTACTAATCGATCCCATTTACTAACTAGGAGTTTTTAGGCTAAATTGTTAAAAAATCGAAGCAATCATTTCAGCAATGGTAGCAAATAGTGTATTTTTTATGATTAAATAACTGTTGGTAACCTACGTGTAACTTTGATTGTATCATTAATAAATGAACTTATTAAAAAAAAGCTTGAGCGTTTGCCACGTCTGCAAATTACCGACGCAACCCAAAATACGCCCAAACCACCCTCAATACGGTGAAAGGTTCCACCCTGTATATACAGCTTACGACGATACATACATTTTTGAGAGTTGGCAACCATGCAATTTCTAGGTGGGAAAAAAAGTTGCCTGCGCCACCTAGAAAGCACGAACGGGAGTTACGTTTGGCATCTGGTCTTGAATGGAGGTAGTGAACGTTTCGCTCCATAAATGTTTGTTGTTATTTTGTGTTATTTAATGCAGGTAGTAATTTTTGCATTTCTTTATATCTATTTGTGTTTTGTATGCCGCATTTTATATTTGTTGTGTGTTTGAATCTCTGTTTTTGAAATTTACTTTGTTTAACCGCAATGCAATCATATGTGTGATACCGTTATGCTATTGTTTTTTAATTGTTTACATTTTTGGTGTAATGTTTGCTTAATTTATGTTTATTGATGTTGATTACTTGGTCTTGTCCTTGAAGTTACATTCATATAAGTTTTCATTTTATTTTAATACTTATGTGGAAATTGCTGATTCGTTTGATGTGTGTACTGACTTGTTGTATGTTACTAACAATTTTCTCCGTGAATGAAGCAGTCTCGGGAAGGTGGAAAAAGAAACTGTAGTCTATATTTATGTGTTAGGGCACCTAATTCCGTGCACTGTCTTCGACATCCAACTGTAGGTTCGAAACCCCGAAACCACGGGCGGACTACCCATCTTGCAGGAGCGAGATTACGCTAATCAAAGCTCTTCAGTTTAGAATCTATGTGTGATAAATGAGTGGCGGATTCAATAATTTCCACATATTTTGTTTTTAGTCAAATTTGCCTACAAGGCCATGTAGTTTTCCATCTTGCTTTCAACAAAAGGACTTTATTGCCCCAAAGATGAGTCACATCCTGTACTTTTAACCCTTTCTCAGAATCTTGGTACCTGCTTCTACCTGACCCATTGTCCCCAAAAACTTGCTTTTAACCTTGAGTGTAACCATCCTTGTGTATATGCATTTACTATCTTTGTTAACTACTGCTTAAACTTTTACAAAATATTTTGTTAATTAACTTTTGGACTGTTTTAATCAAACTGCAAGGTTTTTACTCTTTTTATCCTTGGCAGTACTTTTGCGAGAGTACGACACCTTTTGGCTTTGTTTGTTTTGTTTATATTAATGTACATCAACTAAATTTCCGGGTTTTCACAATCATAATAATTACGATCATTATTAAACAAACTTTTCACAATTTCAGTGTTTTATTTAACGTTCCTTCCCTATTGTGCTTCAGGTCAAAGCGTTGTCTACAACTAACGTAAGGGGGCCCTGCCTTAGATGTTTTATCACGTGCCACTTTTCAAATTTAAGCGGGATCTTGTTTAGTTTTAGAGGGAATAGTCATTCGGGTGGCCATTTTTTAAAACGTTGCCAGGTTTATTTTATTTCCGTGTTCTTGTAGTGTGAAGTGAGCGTAGAACCTGGGGGTTAAGTACACTACAACGGTATAAGCTCAAGCAGGCACCCGAACGAGTTCACCTGCATGAAACTAGATGGCGCTAGTAGCAATCTTCACAAGTAGCATCTTAGTTGAACGTGCTAAAGAATCCAACCACCCATAGGTGGCTGGTAGTCTTCGCAGAAGCCCCACAGAGCCGTCCCTGACTTTAAACAGCCGAGCAGGTGACCTTCCGGTCAGCGGCAGTCACGTAGAAGGGTAAAGTTGTATTATTTATCACTAAAAAATTACATACCACCCTACTGATTCACTTTAACCGCAGGGGTGCTTCCGGTCGCTTACTCCATGGTAAAACATGGCCGCTCCAACCTTGACCATGTCCACCAACACCCGCCGATACCACCCAAACCCAACCCTCCCTCCGCATTTTACTTTTATCACTTCTTATCACTCACAACCTCCACCCACTCACGTTCCCTAGAATCATATGCATCCAAAAAGAAAACCGCGCTATGTTCCTCAATCCAAATGCAAATATCGCCTTCAAGTTCACCACCACCTATCCCACAACAACAACCAACCCCTCATACCGCTACTGTATAGGAAAATTCCTTCCACCATCCAAACCCAAAAACAACTACACTTCCCTCGCTACATTCCACCTCCCACTCACTGCTCTAAAAATGAATTGCAACCACACCACACTTTTAGACTGCAATCTACCCATCGATCCCGAGTTTACCCGCAAACTCCAATATCTCCTTCTCCCAACTAGCAGGCCCCAGAACCCAGATCTTTTCCTGTGTTCTTCGTAACGTCGATCAGGACATTACCGAATCCGAAATCCTTGACGCTATCCCCCTACCCCGCATCACTAGAGTAACCCGCACCACAAACCAACCCACAATTTTCATCAGAATAATTACTACCTCCAAAACTTCCCTCAAAACCCTGATCATCCAAGACCAACCCCGAAATACTGTTTCTTTTGCACCAAACTCGATCACCTAGCACTCTAGTGTCCTACGCGATCAACCACATATGTCCCACGTGTGGCGGAACCTATGCAAAACCCTTTCCCAACCCAAATGCGGACAACTGCAAACGTCGAGAAATCCCTACCATAACCTCCGAAACCGCACCGCCTAAACCAGCAAACACCCAACCCACAGCATCCGAATCCGCATCCCTTCTTAAACCAACTTCGCTCCGCCGCCTCTACCGCCACCATTAATAATAAACAGAAAAGATTTCTCCAATGCTAACCGGGAAACATTCTCCCAACTCGTGTCCAATAATACCCCACTACACCCTTCATTTGACACAGCACAGGACCACCCCCATATGGATCACGAGCATTACGTACTACTACTGTTGCTGAAAGTTCCAGAGGAAGGTGAATTAACTTTCAGCGTTTGCCACGTCTGCACCAAACGTCACGAAAATGAGAGAGAGAGAGAGAGATCAAGGTCGCCATCCGAGGACTAGCAGCATCCGTAACACCCGAGGGGGAGATAGAAGAAGAGCTGTAAGATCACGGATTCGCTCCCACCTACGTGACCAGGATCCAGAGCCGGCGGCGGGGCCGAAATCCTCCCCGATCACGCTCAAAAACATTCCCGGGCCACAACAAATTTACGACGTAGGACAACTGGTGTTTTGCCACAACATTAAAGTGACATAATTCTGCAGCTACCTTCCGGTAGCAATGTAGCACAGTATTTCGCCTGCCAACGATTCGGCCACTCCATCGTCGCCCATGGCACGATCGCGCGAACTGTTCCGGAGAACACTTTGCCAACTACCGCGCCTGTTCTGCTTATTAAGCGGAGCTCGCTTAAAGGAACGGCACGGACCCTGTCCACCCCCAACCGCTCCTAGCTGCACCGGACATTGTCACGGAAACAAGTAAATCCACCCCTACGTCTGAGGAAGAAGACCGTGAGCGGAAAAAGAAGAAGGCACTCGCCACCAAGGCCATCATCCAACCACCGCGTGTGTCAAGGTCCCAACCCTCAATAACTACCGTGGAATCGCCCACACCGCAACCAACAGCACACCACGACCACCCACCCTCAACAAGTACTCTACCACCATCAACAACAATGAATCCTCCGCCCAGAAAACGTGCCATCGCCGCAGTTGCTACGAGCACCCTCATCGCAGCTAATCAACAATGCACCGGCACTACTTGTTACCATTTCTTTTGGGACACCGTGTACTCGACGCCATTCTAATCACAGACAACACTGACTCTGTCGATGGTACAGGAGACACTCACTTGACAGTAACATAACCTAAAAATGTAGGTGAAAAAACAAATATTTGCTATTTATTGGCAAACAACTTTAATTTATAACGAAATGGTTGTGAAATGTCGCATCTGTAACTTAATTCTCAAACACAAACTTAAAGTAATCATCATCTTCGTCTTCACACTCGCTTTTGTAAATATACTTCAGGTACGTCCCCCTTCGCCGTCCCACCAAAACTGCATTCTCCCTTTCCAGGTGTTCTTCTTCCAACTATGCTGGGACAACACGAGCAAACGCGCCGACGAACTCGTCGACGTCGTCTACACGTGGGTCAACGGTTCGGACCCGAGATTCCTGGCGAACCTGCGCGCGTTTCTACGAACCGACGTGTCGACGACGACGCAAGATTACTCTAGTCAACGTTTCGACGACAAGTACGAGCTGAAATTCTCGTTGCGCTCCCTCGAAAAGTACGCCCCTTGGGTCAATCACGTTTACATTGTCACGAACGGTCAGATACCGTACTGGCTGAATTTGGACTATGAGAAGGTGACGGTGGTTAGTCACGAGGAGATTTTCGCGGACGGCGACGATTTGCCGTCGTTTTCTAGTCCCGCGATCGAGTCTCACTTGCACAGGTTCGAATTTCGATCGTGCGCCCCTTTTGTAATTAATTTTTAGAATTCCCGGATTGACGGATCGTTTCGTGTACTTCAACGACGATATTTTCCTAGGCAAGACCGTGTACCTCGACGATTTTGACAGTAGCTCGCGCGGATTCGTCGTTTACTTGGCGTGGCCGTTGCCGATGTGCTCGGTCGATTGTCCGTGGGTGTATGTCGGAGACGGGCAGTGCGACACGTCGTGCTACAACTCGAATTGCCAAATGGACGGCGGAGATTGCGACGGTTATCACGTAGGTAAGCGACGTTCTGTGTCGGAAGTGATAGTGTGCGTTTTTAGGGGCAAAGCTTGTGGAATGGCAGCCATTATTGGGATAAGTCGGAGATTATCCGTTACCAAAGAAACTTTAGTGATACTAAATCAAACCAAAGAGCCCTATACCAAAATGTGTCGGTATCTGGCCGGTTAGGACTGGTCTCGGTATGTGATAACACCCCCCTGGTCCACCCTTCTCTATTTTACTATTCTGCAGGTACCTACGCGAATTAGTCGATTATTTATGAGAAACGCGACGAATGTCACCCGTCTCGTCGCCGAGCACAACAAGCAGGTGATTTTACAGAACAAACTGACGCGTAGGAAACGCGAGCAAAGAGCCACCGCCAAACCTCAGAGCGCAGCGTTCGACGCCTACGGCGCATCCCTTCAGCACACCAATCGCGTCTTAAACCTCAAGTACGGGTTCCGATCGCGATACGCCCCCGCCCATTCGCCGATAATGATCGATCGACGCATAATGGAGGGCTTACAGGCGACGTTTCCGAAGCAATTTCTCAAGACCTCCCGGAATCGTTTCCGTAGCGACGACGACATGCAGTACGCGTTTAGCTACTACTACTATGTGATGAACGAGAAGCAGTATGCCGACGTCGGGGAGATCTTCGACAGATTTGACACGGACGGGTCAGGGTGGGTACTGGTTTCCCCTTGGGCTGTTATCGAAACGATTAGTTTGTAGAACGTGGTCCGACCGTGAGATTCGCACTTTGCTGACGAAACTGTACGACTTGCCTCTGAGCTATGGGACCGTCGACCACTTCGAAGAGTTGCTTTTGAACTGCTCGCGTCAGCTGGAGACGGTCGAGATGCCGACGCCGGAGTTTGAGAGATATGTCGACTCCAAGCTTGTAAGCATAATTAGGGCGGTGGGCGGGGCTATGTTCCTGGTGGGTAGGCAACCAATTAGGCATCTGTGACGTATCTTTAGTTGCCTACCTAAAGGCGCATGCCCCATAGACTAGCGTATGCGTATTTTAGCCGACAGTTTCGCGCGATTTAATCATCCAATGTGGCGCCCTCTCCGAAGTACTGAAGGTGAAATTCGGCACTCGTCGCAAGTACAAGTACGAGACGATCAACAACGCGCAAAGTTCACGCGTCACCTTCAAGATGCTCAATTCGAATATAAGCGAGGTCGTCGGCCATCTTGACGAGATACGGCGCGGCACGAAGTAAGCGCTTTTTGCTTAGTTATAAAACCGACCGCTAGGGTTTTCTTGTCTGTCCATCTATTGACGCATTTTGGTACTACAAAGTACAGTGTCGCCAACCTCAGAAAGCTATAATTCAAATTGGCCAATAGAAAGCCTCCAAAATAACGCGGTACATTCCTCCATTATTATACTGTTTTGTTTATTTATTTCGTGCTATTTTTGTAGGTGCAAAATCAATAACGCCCAATATTCCGCTTTCGACATTGTTGATAGCCGCCTTGAATTTCGGGCGCTTCACACAACCCGCACATCTGAGGGTTTTGACACTTTTCTCTGAAGTGGCCCTCCAGCCACACATGGTTTCTCGCATCTTTTCCACAGCTTGTGGGTTACCCATTGAGGCATTTCTTCACTTCAACCCTTTTTCTACGGCGGCACGAGTTTATTCCAACCCATATCCTTTCTAGGCTTCCTCGGACTTAGTTGCCAATGACACATTCAATTGCTATCAATGTCAACATTGGTGAAGTTATGTCTTTTTTTGTGAGCTTGGTGCCACTGTACAGATTCCTACAGTAAGATTTGCGACCGTTACTGCCCTCTACTGGTCGGTTTCGTAGTTAAAAAAAAAACAATAGAATCTCCGAACACGATTTTGTTTTCAGAAAGTTTGTGTGCTTGAACGACAACATGGACGAAACCAAGTACAGCGAAAACGAATTGATACGGGCCGTGCTGTACGATTTCTATTTGTCGCTCTTTCCGAAACCGAGCAGGTTTGAGTTGCCGAGCGATTTTCGCAATCGTTTCTTGTACTTGGACGAGTTGAGTCGGTGGAAGACGTACCATTTTAAGCTGAAACTCTGTACTTACCTGTGTATAGGCGTCCTGTGTTATTTGACCTATTGCAATTTACTGAAAAGGCGATTTTTGTACAGGCTGTTTAATAAATTATTTTACTAAAAGGTTGCAGGCGAAATGTACGGGTACAGTAGGCAGCACACAATACACGTATTACATATTGTGTTGCGTACAATACCGTATTATACAGTGACGCCTAATTTTATGCAACCAAAATATCTTCTTGAAACAAACAAAGATCGGGCTGTCATATTAATTATTAATTTGACTATTCAATTCATCTAACATTTGTCACATTTCGACCAGTGAAATGTCGAGATTTCAAATTGTTGAGCCAATGGGAACGATAATTCATAGTATTTCAGCGATAATTTCACGTGTGGTATTTCAGCGACAATTCAACTCATGTATAAAAAATCGCATAAGCCGCAGTGAAATTGTCACTTTGACAGCGGCAAAAGTTACCTGCAACTTTTCCAGCGACAAATGCACTAGTGGTTTTTTCACTTATTCATTTTCGAACCAATAATCGCATTATCCTTTCCCATATGACTAGTTTGACGTCTGTCAATAATTGATTAATTTGGTGAATTTCTTGTTCGTTAAATTGTCCTGCCGAATTACACTCGAGGTTTGTATTTAAACCGAGTAAATTTGGGTTGTGGCAATTCAAATCTGTTTCCTTTTAGCAATTGGACTCGAAAAACTGTCAACCTAAAAATGCTCCACCTGCGGTGTCGCATTTTTATTAGTTGACAGTTTTTCTCGTCTAATTGCTAGGCAACAGATTTTCATTACCTAAACAACCCAAATTTACTCGGTAAAATACAAACCTCTTGTGCAATTATAAGTGACAATTCAATGCGATTATTCAATGACATTTGTCAAACTTCCACCAGTGAAATGTCGCGAAATTTTGTCGTATTAACCGGAACATTCTTCTTAGTTTGTTAATCAATTTCGACAACCCACTTATCACCACATCTTTTAATTTAATCACTCATAACGAATTAGCTTGGAGCACAAAAGTTCGAATAGCAAAATGAAAAGCAACTTCCGTAATTTATTTTGACGTTTATTGTTGTCATGGAAATACATTCGCGTGGGTAATTATGCTTAATTTTTCTTTTGATTCATTGAATAGTCCTCCGAATACCATTCGTAGTCGAAGTATTTGTAGATTATTTTTGAGCTGCTGTTCCACTCATGCTAGTTACGCTTTTTAATACCACTCGCGCAAGCGCTCGTGGTATTAATCAGCGTAACTAGCATTCGTGACAGCACCTCAAAAATATTCGACAATACTTCGACTACTTATGGTATTATATATGAATGTTGTTGCTTTAGCTTCACTCTTATCGGCACTATACCAATTGGAAATATCAACTTTTGCTTTAGTTGAATACAACGCACACGAACCGAAATTAGATTAGGGAAGTCAAAGCGGTAATAGTCAATTAATATGACAGGCAGATCCTCATTTGTTATTGGTAGCTACTTTGGTTTCATAAAATTAGGCGTCTTTCAGGAGACTTTTTATCATGTAAATGTCTGCATGAATATTCATGTGTAAATGTTCTCAATGCAACGTGGCCGCCAATCTCAACCAATCAAAATTTAGACACTATTGTGGCCACAAGTCAGTGTGGTACGTGCAACTTGTGGCGAGATTTTAAAGTCACTAGATATAGAAAGTAAAGTACCGCAATCATCCGCCATTTTTGGGCAAATTTGCTGCCAACTTAAAAAAATTGACAAATAAAATCTGAATAGCTGTAATTTTTTATAAAAATATATACAGATCTCTCCAAACAGGTGGAACAATCCCTAACATTAAAGTTACTAGAATCTGGTAACTTCCGCCATTTTTGGGCAAAAATCATGCGTTCTCTCTCTAACACACGAGCCCAATGGATTGCGGTACTTTCTATATTTAGCGACTTTAGCGAGATTTATATCAAGTGCGCCATCTATGAGCAGCACGAAAAAATTTCAGGTGTTGGGTGTGTTCGAAAGGGTTTCCTGGTAGAAAGTTTCAAATTATATCGGATCATAGAAGTTACTCATGTTCTACTGGAGAACTTATCGAGGAGCTGTTGAAAGAATTTGGAAATAATCTTCACGTTTCGCTAATGGCTTCCTTCCGCATCGATTAATTGTGTTAATAAGCGCGGAGAACGGCCTACTGAGATTAATCTAATTTCCTCTCGTGGTCAGATAAACGTTCGTTTTCCCATCCTTTTTTCAACCTGAGCTTGAAAACAGGAAGAGACCGGTTAGGATAACGAAAGTGGATTAATATACCGTATTATTTGAAAGTCTTCGGGGGGTAGAGCAAGAGGCCTTACTTTATCAACCCACGTAGACCCACGGGCTAATTAAATTTGTTTTTGCGCCAAGCGTATCGTACCGCAATCGGCGCTATCGGTTAGCTTATAAGGCGCGGCGTGGACGTGTCGACCGTCACCCGCAAGCTAAACCAGCGAAGATGCAAATCCACCTTTATTTCTTGTTCGTCTTCATTTTGCTGTTCGTAACTGGCCAGAGTAAGTAGAGAGAACAATATTTTTTGAAGATCTCCCGAGTGCAATTTCTCATTGACAGGTCAGGCGAGAAAATGCGACTGTATGAGTTTTTTACCGAGCAATTTGGAAAAGTGGACCTCTTGCATGATTGACTGTGGCGATTACTAGACATGCTTGTTAAATATGTGTAATAAAAATAATTAGAGAATGTACTGTAAACGTGTTCTATGGTTGTGCAGCCCCCTTTGGTGGGTACTGGACCCCTCGTTCGAAGTTGATGATTGCGGTTCAATGCTAAATCGAGCCCATTTTTCAAAATTATCACTTCTCAACGCAAACTGGTAATGGATATTGTACTTGTGCATGCTTTTTTGTTCGAGAGCACCAATGTGGGCTACTTACAAAACAACTCTCAAGCCATCCCTTGATCCATCGTACACTTTCCTTCCTGACTGACTAAGAAAGGTCAGATTCTCTGATAACGTCCGCCACTAGTAGTACTCGAACCTTCTGTCTCACCAACGCCCTTCTCGCTTAAGCGCCAACTCATTTTCAAACCAATCATGCACTTCGCCTAGTATGTCCAGCCTGGTAACCCATCGAGCATCAAAGAGCAAACCACCCTGTATACATGTATAGGCGCAAGAACCACTTCCACTGGCTGCGGTTCTTTTGCATGAAGACATCTTCGTGACGGCTGCATTCGGCAGAATGATATAGGGTCCTCCGTAATAGTACGGGCTTCTTTTCATGTCTTTCATTTTATTGGGTGCAAAAGTTAACAGATTGAGGGAGGTAAATTAACAGTTTTTATTAATAAAATTACAAGATGACTAATTTCATAACAGCTGATGCTTAATTTTTAATTTATCGATCACATGCTGTGGCATACAGAACGTAGGATTAACAGGTTTAATTGAATCAAATCCCAAAAGTGACAAGGCGGCGAAACCAAAAACGGTATGGTACGGATCGGCGACATCGCCGGGTCGATCACTGAAACCTCCCGTCTCGACATCCTGACACGCCAAAATGAAACGCTTGAGGGCGGGCGCGCTAATCCAATGCAATCGACCCAGCATCGTAAGCGAAGACAGCACCCACCAGCTGTAACAGACGTCGGGCAGCTTCTCCGGCCGACCGTTGAGACCGCCCGAAGGTAGCTGTCGTTCGCAAAGCCACCACGCCAACGTATCTCGATCCACGATATCCAAACGACCTACAAATTAATGGACAATACGAATTAAAACAAAATCCGCCGCACCTACCGGTTATTGAGAGAAATCCGAGGCAGCAGTAGACCATTCCGGCGTGGCTTTCCGAGAAGGGTCTCGAACCGAATCCCTCGTCGAAATTCTTACACGACTCCACAAAAGATACCGCCTTCTCGACGTCGATCGCATCGAGCCGGTTTAACAACGCAAGTGTCGCGACCGCGCAGAACGAGAAACGCGTATCGACCTCGCCCCACTTGTCGCCGGTGAAGCTACCGTCGGGCAGCTGCAGCGAGGTCACGTAATTCACTACGGCGCTAGCGTCGACCGCGTCCAACCGATCGTACATGCACAAAATTTGAACGGCGCTCAGAGTGTAGAGCAGGTGCGGATCGTGGTCAATGCACGCGCTGATGCCGCCCGTCTCCGGATCCTGACATCGTTTAATGAAGTCTATCACGTCGTTCTCGGGCAAGATGTGTAGTTTATCGACGAGCTCTAGTGCGGTAAGGCCCCAATACATTCCGGACATTCGGAGGTAGTCCGACATGCCAAACTCGTAGTCGTCGTCCGATTTGCCGTACCGTTTGATAAACTCGACGTGCTTGTCGAGGAGGAGCTCCTTTGGACTGTCTTCAGGTAGTTTTATGTCTTTTATTGGAATGGCCATTGTTATTGTTTTCAAAAATTTTTTTGAGGTTATGATTGTGACAGCTGTCAGCTGACTGGAAACAACTATCATACAGTGACCATTGGTTATACATACCGAATTACATACAGTGACTTATGCGAGTACGATGTGTTGTCTACAAACCAGGCTACGTAACCTACGGATACCAGTGAATCTGGCATTATCCAAATTCAAAGTAAGTACGAGGACACCATAATAGGATAAGGGTAACATGACTATTCCTTCGCAATGCCAAAATAAAGATTAAAACAAGTTCTTTTTTGCGTAAAAAAATAAACATATAAAGCTCTCGTTCTGACATCTGTCGCAAATTGTTCAGACTAGTATGAGTTGGATCTACTTCTCACAGATGTCGCGACGTTTTATACGCAGTTCCTTAAATTAACGTTAGATATCAAAACAGTACAACAAAAATGGCAACATTGTAATTTATTTTGTTCGGTTATGTTTATATAAACAATTTGTCTTTGTCCCAAAAAATGTAAATTAAATACGTTTAATGTCGTCCTTCGCTTAACACTTTCTTTCAGGAGCGACGACATAAGAGACACGGTCCTGCAATGCCCCTTTAACCCGTCCCACGTGATCTGGAAGAGTCGCCTTCAACGACACATAATCAAGTGCAGCCAGAACTACCCGAACCACTTTGTCTGCCACTTCAACGCCTTACATCGGTTTCTCACACGCGAAGAGCAGGTCACCCACACCTTCATTTGTCCGGACATGAAGTTCACACAACCGTGGCGGTACGGTTCGCCCGACGAGGGCCGGAGTGTAATCAGCACGCCGATATTTACCCCGAACGCCAAGGCGTTTAACATGGAAATTGAGAACTGGAGCGCCGAGTACGAGTAGAGTTTATTGGTTATGCTTGTTCGCAATGTGACGATCTAAATGTGATTTGGTAAATAAATGTAAGTTACAGATATCGCATTTGTACGGTCGGATCTTCATGTGACGTGATTTTGCAAGACCGTGGAAGTCGGGAAGGATTTAGGGCTCGCAGGTGCCGCCCCAGCAGGAGTTTGTTGCGAAATTTCTGTGTGCACTCCAAGTCGGGGACGGCATTGTGCTTCTTTATGCATCTTCAAGGTGTAAATTGCTCGGCGCAGAGTTGGCATTTGTACAACTTGATCCCGGTGTGCGAGAACAAATGAAGTAGGAAAATCACAAAGGTCACATTTAAATGGCCTCTCGCCGGTATGCGAACGCATGTGGATTTTCAACTGTTGACGTTGTTTGAAGTGCTTATTGCACTGTTTACATTTGTACTGTCGCTGGTTCGTGTGCATTTTCATGTGTCCGGTAGGCCACTTTAAACCGCACTCAGGCTGAAAGGAAAGAGATAGTCTAAGGACTGAATGTACACCTGGCAAAATAAGTCGTTCTAATCAATCTGATTAAAATTTCCCATTTATTAAATGGAAATTATTCTTAAGCACCCTATATATAATGCAATGGGACTACTGGTACGATTGCTTTGAACTACACTTATTTTGTTTTTAAGTTTTGGAAATTTGAATAAGTGATGTTTCGCGTACGTTTTTGATTAGATGGAGAAAGTACATTTTAAACATGGGCAGTTTAAAGAAAATGAAACGAAAAAGCGTCAAATCAAAAATGAGACGGTTACATTTGTGCAAAAAGTATCGGTAAGTAGTTTTTGTTGTAATAAATTAGTACATCATCCTGTTAACCTAAAACGGTTTTCACTTGTTCTAGTTGAACTACGAACCGTAGTTCAATTGCTCTGTTCGATTAGTAGTTCCCACAGCTCACTTAACCTAATATATTTTATTTGTGTATTTTTGTGGTGCAATGGACGAAGAAATTAAAGGCGACGGCTTACAAGAAAGTAACGGTTTTATTCACGAAAGTCTCCAGTTAACGCCTCCCACAATCGTTAAGTTAGAATCGTTAGATGAGCAGATTGATTTAAAACCATCGGACATTTCGATAGTGAAGGAGGAGCTGCTGCACATTACCCCCGGCTCTCAGAACGGCGACCCATCAAAGTGTATCTTTCTGTCTCCGTGCAAAGGTCCGGAGTCGGTCTCGCAAAGCGTGAAAGCCAGCCAGCACTCGATTAAAGAGGAGACGGACGACGAAGTGTCGACACCTCCCGAAGTAAAAGTTGAGGTGACGGAAGCAACTGACGAATCCAATTATCTGTGCCGCGTCTGCAACATGACCTTTCTCAACAAGCGCATATATAGCATGCACTTTAATGTCTCCCATCAAGTGGCACCCCTCGTTACCCTAGTCACTAAGCCGCCGACTCCCCCCACTCCCCAAGCGAGCACTAAGCCGACAAGGCGTAGACGTCAAGATAGGTACATCGTTCGCAGTTTTAACCTTCGGCATAATTTCTCTCTGTTTCAGCATTCTCGCCACAAGAAAACTGATCGAGTGCGTACGAAACAATCCCTCACTGTACGACAGCGGTAACGAAAACTACACCAACGAAGATTTCAAGCAACTGACTTGGGCCACCATTGCGGCCGAGTGTAAATTTTCCGACGGTAAGTGCCCTGGCGTTTCCCCTACCCCGTACACTGTCTAAATCCTCGAATTGTTGTAGGTGCGAAGGCGCAGGCCGAGTGGAAGACCCTCTTCACGCGCATGATCAACTCGTTGACAATCACCGGCCAGGGACCGTCGAACCGAACGCAAAAAACGTGGCAATACAGACGAGAGATGGAGTTTGTGCTTCCGTTTGTGACCGACGACGATATTCACTCGTTGCAACGCCTACAACAGGACGCGACAAGTTCGGATCGCACGAACGACATCAACTCGAGCTACAACATGCGGCAACGCATCGAGGTTCCGCCACCGACGGCGAAGCGAAAACGGACGAGCACCGCTGAAACATCAACGAACACTTCTGACGGTCAGCCGCTGGACATGTTTTTCCTTTCGATGTGCGCGACGACGAAAAATTTACCGCCGTACGTTCAGCTCCAAGTTAAGAAGAAAATCTTCAACGCTGTGATCGAGGCCGAGGAGATCGTCGCGGCTATGCATAACGATCAGGCCACGCAAGAAGATCAGTATGAGAACAATCTGTCGCCCTTTTCGGTTCGATCCAATGCCGAAGAGGAGTGGCAGGAAGATTAGTGTTTAGTCTTTTCTTACGTTTATAAAATATGATATGGTTTCTATTGTGCTAAAAAATTGTTTGATTATACGTTCGTCTATGATTTTGTTGAATTTCTTTGTCCATCATGTTCTCCCAGTAATCAAAAAAATTGTAAGTGTCTAAAGGGCCACCCCACACACTCTTAGGCGCCACATAAAGCTTTTCTGGCCACACAGACCCCAACCATCAAGGTCTCCTGGTAGCAAAAAACATTTTACATAAGTTTGTCGACAAGTAACAGTTGCAGTATTAGGAAAGGAAACACCTCCTCGCACTCGCATATGATCCTGATACAGATTTGGCAAATTTTTAAATCGAATGAAAGCTTTGAAATAATTCTGACAGAGCTAGAAAAAGACCTCTTCGTATATTATGTTCTCCTAGTAGCACGACAACATTTGCATAAGTTTTTCGACAAGTAACAGGTGTAGTATTAGGAAAGGAAACACCTCCTCGCACTCATATGATCCTGATACAGAATTGGCAAATTTTTAAATCGAATGAAAGCTTTGAAATAATTCTGACAGAGCTAGAAAAAGACCTCTTCGTATATTATGTTCTCCTAGTAGCACGACACCTTTTGCATAAGTTTGTCGACAAGTAACAGGTGTAGTATTAGGAAAAGAAACACCTCCTCGCACTCATATGATCCTGATACAGAATTGGCAAATTTTTAAATCGAATGAAAGCTTTGAAATAATTCTGACAGAGCTAGAAAAAGACCTCTTCGTATATTATGTTCTCCTAGTAGCACGACACCTTTTGCATAAGTTTGTCGACAAGTAACAGGTGTAGTATTAGGAAAAGAAACACCTCCTCGCACTCATATGATCCTGATACAGAATTGGCAAATTTTTAAATCGAATGAAAGCTTTGAAATAATTCTGACAGAGCTAGAAAAAGACCTCTTCGTATATTATGTTCTCCTAGTAGCACGACACCTTTTGCATAAGTTTGTCGACAAGTAACAGGTGTAGTATTAGGAAAAGAAACACCTCCTCGCACTCATATGATCCTGATACAGAATTGGCAAATTTTAAATCGAATGAAAGCTTGGAAATAATTCTGACAGAGCTAGAAAAAGACCTCTTCGTATATTATGTTCTCCTGTTAGCACGACACCTTTTGCATAAGTTTGCCGACAAGTAACAGGTGTAGTATTAGGAAAAGAAACACCTCCTCGCACTCATATGATCCTGATACAGAATTGTCAAATTTTTAAATAGAATGAAGGCTTTGAAATAATTCTGACAGAGCTAGAAGAAGACCTCTTCATATATTTTGTTCTCCTGGTAGCACGACATCTTTTGCATAAGTTTGTCGACAAGTAACAGGTGTAGTATTAGGAAAAGAAACACCTCCTCGCACTCATATGATCCTGATACAGAATGGCAAATTTTTAAATCGAATGATAGCTTTGAAATAATTCTGACAGAGCTAGAAAAAGACCTCTTCGTATATTATGTTCTCCTAGTAGCACGACACCCTTTACACAAGTTTGTCGACAAGTAACAGGTGTAGTATTAGGAAAAGAAACACCTCCTCGCACTCATATGATCCTGATACAGAATTGGCAAATTTTTAAATCGAATGAAAGCTTTGAAATAATTCTGACAGAGCTAGAAAAAGACCTCTTCGTATATTATGTTCTCCTAGTAGCACGACACCTTTTGCATAAGTTTGTCGACAAGTAACAGGTGTAGTATTAGGAAAAGAAACACCTCCTCGCACTCATATGATCCGGATACAGAATGGCAAATTTTTAAATGGAATGAAAGCTTTGAAATAATTCTGACAGAGTTAGAAAAAAACCTCCTCGTTCATTATGTTCTCCTAGTAGCACGACACCCTTTACACAAGTTTGTCGACAAGTAACAGGTATAGTATTAGGAAAAGAAACACCTCCTCGCACTCATATGATCCTGATACAGAATTGGCAAATTTTAAAATCGAATGAAAGCATTGAAATAATTCTGACAGAGCTAGAAAAAGACCTCTTCGTATATTATGTTCTCCTAGTAGCACGACACCTTTTGCATAAGTTTGTCGACAAGTACAGGTGTAGTACTAGGGAAAGAAACACCTTCTAGCACTCATATGATCCTGATACTGAATTGGCATATTTTTAAATCGAATGAAAGCTTTGAAATAATTCTGACATAGCTAGAAAAAAACCTCTTCGTATATTATGTTCTCCTAGTAGCACGACACCTTTTGCATAAGTTTGTCGACAAGTAACAGGTGTAGTATTAGGAAAAGAAACACCTCCTCGCACCCATATGATCCTGATACAGAATTGGCAAATTTTTAAATCGAATGAAAGCTTTGAAATAATTCTGACAGAGCTAGAAAAAGACCTCTTTGTATATTATGTTCTCCTAGTAGCACGACACCTTTTGCATAAGTTTATCGACAAGTAACAGGTGTAGTATTAGGAAAAGAAACACCTCCTCGCACTCATTTGATCCGGATACAGAATGGCAAATTTTTAAATCGAATGAAAGCTTTGAAATAATTCTGACAGAGCTAGAAAAAGACCTCTTCGTATATTATGTTCTCCTAGTAGCACGACACCTTTTGCATAAAATTGTCGACAAGTAACAGGTGTAGTATTAGGAAAAGAAACACCTCCTTGCACTTATATGATCCTGATACTGAATTGGCATATTTTTAAAGAGAATGAAAGCTTTGAAATAATTCTGACAGAGCTAGAAAAAGACCTCT